CAGGTAGCTGTTGGATTCCTGACCGGTCAGACCCTCTCGCACGCCCCTAGGTGCTCGTTTTCTGTGCCTCGTCATGGGTCGTCTGGCAAGATGCTGCACGACCCTGCCGCCGTGCAGCCGTGCATACCCAGCCTTGCCCAGCCTCAACGCAGCCTTGCCCAGCCGCCCGAATTCTCTTTGTCTGTGTGCTTCAGCCTGGCGGGGTCCATGCGCCCCGCATACCATCACCTCTTCAGCCCGGAGACTCTCCCGACAGTGGGCTGGCATGGCGTGTCAGCAGATCTATCTTGCTCCTGTGCTCCTGGCTGCTTCAGCGGGGTAGGGGCTGGACGGGTGATACGGGCTGCTCAGGCGGTTTCCGCTCGCTCGGCAGCTCTAACGGCGCTGGTTACGCAACTGATCAAGAGTTTCAACAACAGACAGGTTGTCGTAAGGATGCAGAAATAGGACCGGCGACTTAACATAGAGAATGAGGCTACAGGCAAGAGAGTTTCGGGTTAGAATTCAGTCAACATATGCTTCAACGTAAAGTTCCAGAGTCGGACCGAAAATCCTGAAACGCGAAAGCATATGGGCAGCGAAAGTGATTAATCATACTCGATCCTTACTCCTGGCCTCCAGACCTGTGACCGGCCCGGCAGCGGGGCGGACAGGCAGCAGAGACGGACAGTGGTGAGGGTAACCAGGAATTAATCGGGTGGGGAAATCAGGTGGGGGGAGAAAACCGCCCGTCTTCTCTCTGGTCCAGATAGGGCTCAGCCAGGTACGAGGTGTCAGAGGAGAGACGAGGCGCGGCGAAGGGAACATGAGGGACTTGAGCAGAGGGCGGCCGCTGCCAGGGAGGTTGTACGGCGGTGGTACGGCCGCCCCCCTTCCCCCAGCCAGCGCGCAGCCCTGCGCACCCAGGGTTTGGGAGGCTGCGTTTGGGATAGGAAGACATGCCCAGAAGATCCTGCAGGAGAGCACTGCCAGGATTCGATATGTTCAACTGCCTGGTTTGGGCTGACTCTGCCACGGGTTCTGGCGGTTCTGGCGGTTGCGGTTCAGACAGATTCAGGTATGCGAGATGTCAGGAGGTCAGGACAGCATATCCTCTCTGCAGGGCAGCCAAGGTTTGCAAGATGGCCGCCGACATGGTTCTCTGACAATCATGAGGCCACTACGTGCCATCATCGCCGCCTTTGGTAACTTTTCGCGATCCCATGCAGCCATGAACCATGCAAGCCATGCACGAGCACCCACGCGAGATGGCCCGGCACGGAGGGTAAGGGGACAGAGGACAGAGGCGAGAGCGAGCGAGAACTACCAACTGCCAGAGCACCAGAGCCTGAGCTGCGCGATTACTGGACTCTGATCACAGAGATCGAGGAGTTATCTTTAAAAGTACGCCGGCCAACTCGATGCCGAAGTCCTCCCCCGTACTCTCATCCCCAAACTTTCCACTCCCCTCTCGTACACTCTCAACAGGTTAAGTACAGACGGTTGCCACTGGTCTCCGCGCTGCTCTTAACGTTCCTCCTGTCCTACCCCTTGACCCCACACCTCGACGTTCCGAGCTCACCAAAGTCGACTACTCTTGACTCCAGACGCTTCGACAACCTCGGTTCCCCCAGCTATCAACCCCAGCGCCAACGCCTCCTCATAACCAGCACGCACGGTCTCGCCTGTCTTTCCCCTCCTCGCTCAGTTCTATTTGGTCTACCGCAGACCATCTAGACTCTTGCTTAGACCGCCGCTTGCAACGACTGGCGTCTCTGACTGGCATTCGCTCATAGTTTGTCTGCTCAGTCTAGCACCGCTCTGTCCGCTGTCCGCCTACCATCGGCCATCTCTCATCGCCTCCGCCTTTGCGTTGGACCTGAGTGCACCAAAGTGCCGGACGCCTGACGCCTTAACCGCTCTTGGGTGTCCGATCCAGCGTGCTAAGTGTTCCGCCCCTAGCCCTTTGGCCGCACCCTAGCACGAGGCCCTAAAGTGTTGTCTTACCCGCTATCAAGCTATTCATTTAGTCCGAGTAAGTTCATATCGTGCTATGCCGTATGGCCGTCGCCTCGTATGCCCGCAAGCCGTGCGCAAAGTCATGCGCGCAGCATGCGGGCAGCCTGGCCCCCCTCCTCCCCCCTATTGCCGGTCCAGCATGCCAGCGCGCGCGAGGTAGACGCTGACATAGCGCTTAATTCAACGGAATAACAAACCCCTGAACCTCATGCTACCTATCGCTAAAATCGACCCAACCCGACCGACCCTGTTGTCACTCTTCGTTCCTCGCCGATTCCTCACGCTCCTGATCTTTCCTGGTCCTGTACCTGGCTCGCTCTCTCGCTCGCTTCACCATGTGTGCCGTCGCTCGCCTGACTGTCTCGCTGTCTCGCTGCTGCCTGCCGACATATCCCCTCGACTTTTGACCATCGCAATCGTCATGGCGCTTGGGACTGGCCATCGGTCACTTTGTCATTCGGCTTATTACTCGCCGTATGCCCTGCCCCTCCCCCTCTCTCCCAACTTGGTCTTCCTCCTTGCACCACACCTGTCACGGTCCGTCACATACCTTTCATCTTCAGAGCGTTCACGCATACACGACCTCGTAAACGTCTCTGGAGCTCTGACTGTTACTGTATCAGCTCTATCCCCCTCGACGAAACCTTAAAGAGGATTGCATAAGTCTTTGTAAGTGCCAATTAAGGTTTGCCGGTCACCTCCTCCACCCTCCCTCCACCCTTCCACCCTACCTACGGAGCCTCCCCGCTCCCTTCCCCATCTTCCACCTCGTTCATCACACGGTTAGACGGGTCAGACAAAGAGCTTGCGTGTTCCCATCGACGGGCGGTATCCAACGAGATAAGCGCACCCAGAAGTTCGGATCCCGGACGACTGCCACTCGCACATCGGGTTACGGCACTTTCAGCGTGGGGACAGGCGGCTATGGGACCAGCTCGCTGGAACGGCGGAGGGCGGTCATGTGGTGTCGCCCACCGCCCGACCTCTATCTCGGCGCACTGGTGTACGTGAGCCCCACGACGTACACCCACCTGCAACCTACGCCGCCCGTCCGGCTCAACGTTTCGGCCGGGTACGCATGTTTGCGTGTGTGCTTGTGACGCGATCAACGAGGCGAGGCCATGGAGAAGCAGACGACGACGAGACAAGTTCGGCGAGACAGGTTGCGACAGGGTAGAGCGGAGTGTCACTTGCCGACTTGAGCAACTGTCTCAGGCCCGCAGCGCGCGGACGGCGAGTCTCGAGCGCGCGCGCGCGACAATTTCCTCGACAGCGTTCCCAAGGACGCGTCGCGAGAATTCCATGCCCGATCTGCCGTGCTTCTGCATCTCAGACAAGCAAGCATACGCCAGTTTTCAGTGCCTGCTGCACAGACCGCAGTTTCGACCGTGCTCCTCGCGCGGACCTCCCTCCTCTCCCCTTCTATGCCTGCCTACCTCTCTCATCAGCCTGCTTCGCCAGTGCGCAAGCTCGGCTTTTTCCCGCACTTCTTCCGTTCATGTGCAGCCAGCGGTTGGAGCCGCCCCAAGGCCGGGCGCTGTCCGAAACTGGGCCGGGGGGCGTGGAAGAGCGAAGGTTGGGAGCGCATGGCATGGATGTTGGTGGCTCTGGTCTTGCGGGCGGGTGGATCTCGATCCTACGACCCCTGGCACAGAAGCACTGACCGCCACTTGTCGACCACTCCACCCTCCTCCTCCTGCCCTCGGCCCTCATTCCTAACCCCCCCTTCTCTTCCCCTCCTGCTGCTTCCTGTTTCCTGTACTCGCTCCTGTCTCCTGCCCTCTCCGGCTGCAGGCGTGCTGCACTCCCTGGACGACCCCGCAATCTTCCCGTGTCTGCGCCGAATACGACCTATCGATCGTAGCGGTCGCTGGATCACGACACTCCGGCTCGACGCCACCAAGCCCGACCGACTCGCGCAACAGTGGTCAGTCGGTCTGCTTGACTTGGTCGCCGCCACTGCACACTGCATGGGCTCAGTTCCTGCTTCTCTTGTCTTTGTCCATTGTTCTTCTTTCTCTCTCTCTCTCCCATGTCTTCTCGCCCTCTCCCCTGCCCCCTTACCCATAACCCCACACACCGCTCTCCGTGTCCGCGCACTCCGCGTGCCCTTGCCCCTCCAGCTCGCTGACTGTCCTCAAAGACCCCAAGCACGCTCCTCCATCGCTCCAATCTGAACTTAGATTCCAAAAGCTCAAGTGCACGTACATTCGACGTGAGTCCGTCAACACATAGACAGCGATCACCGTCTGCCATCAGCCTTACTTGTGTCCTCGGCTTTGGTAGATTGTGGTCGTTGTCCGCTTGTGCAACCGTACCGTAATTGGCATCGTGCTGACGTCCTTCCTCGTTGTGTGTCCACTCCGTCGCCCGCACCTGTTCCTCCGTTCGCGACATTACTGTGCCTCCGTCTGAACCACGCGTTACCCCCAGCAGTGCAAGCGCTGTTTGCTTCCCCGTCTGCAACTGTCACAGTATCGATCGAACCACGTTCTGTTCCGTTTAAACGACTCATCGGCACTCGATCTTCCGGATCAGCAGCAACCCACAGCAACCCGTGTCGGATCAACTGTCGCGTCAAGGCCCCTCCCCCTCCTCTGAATCAACGCCCTAGTCACTTGGTCGCCCTGCTCGTCGCGCGCGATCGTGTTGGTTGATTCTCCCATCTCTAACACCTCCTTTATTGCTTAAAAGGGCAGTCTTGACCTCTACCGTCGTCGCCGTGTCTGCTACGTCGTCGACTCTGTTAATCCTGTCTCCCCAAACACCAGCAACCACCATGGACGTCCTTGATGTGAGCCCCCGTTCTTGTTTTCTCCCCCATCTCGCCACTGCCTCCAAACACAGCACACCGTGTGTAGGCTAGCCTCGGAAAGTCTAGACGACTTCTTCCTTCCGACTTCTTCCTTCACTTCTTCCCCTCCGTTTCCCCCTTGGCACAGCTTGCTAACATTGCGTTCTCGCACCTTCATCATCTCTCTTCCACACCTTGCACCACCACCATGTCTTCACGCTCCTCTACACCACTACAGCTCGTCAACGACAGCAACCATGTCGGCCCGGGCCACGACTTCCTCGTGCGCCCCTTTGTTTGCAAGTACGACCACTGCGACCGCGCGTTCGCCCGCAAGAGCGACCTCGCGCGTCACTTCCGTATCCACACAAACGAGCGGTAAGTTACAAGGCTTGGACCCAACTGACGTACAGTCCTTTCCAGTGCATGTACCGTGGCTGTGGCAAGGCGTTCATCCAGCGTTCTGCTCTGACCGTCCACACCCGTGTCCAGTGAGTTGACAACTTCGACTGCCTTGCTAACTTCCAGCACTGGTGAGCGCCCCCACCACTGTGAAACCTGCAACAAGGCTTTCGCCGACTCGTCTTCTCTCGCTCGTCACCGCAGGATCCAGTGAGTCCAGTCTTTCACCGCCATTCCGCAGACACTGACATGCCTTTTCAGCACCGGAAAACGCCCTTACGGATGCAAGGTTCCGGGCTGTGGCCGCCAGTTTGCTCGCCGCAACACCTACCTCAAGCACTTCAAGAGGCAGCACCCCGATCTTCCTCCTCCCACCTCTAGCTCTGTCCGCGCTCTTCACGTGCCCAACTACCGCCCCACAGGCTTCATCCCCGGTGCGCCTGGTGCGATTCCCGCTCCTGGCAGCGACTCGCAGGACTACAGCGCCAACTCGTCGGTGTCTGGTCACCCTCACGCCTTCGCCGCCTCTCACCCGCCAGAGGGCGCGGCGTACTACGGCGGCGGGTTTGTCAACGGACAACTCCACAGCAGCCAGCTCGCCGCTCCCGGTGGTGGCGCCCGCCTCTTCTTCCACCCGACTGACCCCGCCGGACAGGGCGCCTACCCCGGACTTCAGCACCACACTCCCCAGGGAGACGCGTCAAACCCGAGCCACCAGACCAGCCCCTCTGACCGCACCCCCGGCGGCGACCTCCAGGGCAACAGCAACGGCCTCACCTACGGCAACGACCAGACCGCTCAGAACGGTCAGCTCGTCAGTCCGGACTACACCAACGGCACCGAGTCCGTGTTTGCGAACCAGGAAGCGGTCGCGCGCATGAACGGCGGCGGCAACGGCTTCATGTTCATGAAGCACGACCCGCACACCCTCCGCCAGTACGGCGCCCCGATGCCGATGGTTGGCGCCCCTTGGGTCGGTGGGGGTTTTGCTCCCGGCCAGCTGTCGATCCCTTCGCAGCTCCCCCTCCAGCCCTCGTACTACCCTAATGGCCAGCCCAAGATGGAGAATGGCAAGATGCCCAACGGTCGTCTGTGCCAGTCGCCTCTGTCTGAGCGCGCTGCCAGCCCCGACCTTGTCGACATCAACTCTGTCCCGACGATCAAGTTCCAGCAGCCCCCCAACGGCTACGGAAACATGCAGTTCTCGGTCGACTCGCACGGCAGCATGGTTTCTCCCCTCACCACCGCCTCGATGATGCCCGGCACTCAGGGCCAGTTACACGCTGTTCCTCCCCACATGCAGCGCTTCCACTCTGCTCCCGGCATGCCCATGAACCACTCTTGGAGCAACCCCGACCCCTTCAAGTGCTCGACTCCGGGTTTTGAGCAGCGCCCTCCTCAGCAGCAGCCGCCCTCAGTCCAGCCGCGAAGGAGTGAAGACGCCAACAGCACTCAATGGGACGAGAACGCCGACGGCCAGACGATGAGCCGGGAAAACTCTGCAAACGGAAACGACGACGCCTCTTCGAGCAAGGACGCCAATGAACCCGCTCAACAGTCCAAGGTCGAGTGGGGACAAGCCCCCTCGTACCCTAATGTTTCTGGTGTAGTTCCTCGTGGCTCGATCCGTATGTCTTCGGCCGCGTCAACCGCTTCGACGACCTCTTCGCTCATGAACGTGACTCAGACTCCTCAAGGTCTCCCTCCTATCAGTATCTTCCCTCTTGGTGGCCAGGCGGGTCAGTTCAACAACCTCTCGTTCCCCATGGGTCACCAATGGCAGCAGCCTTTGCAAAAGCCGGAAGCCATGACTCCGACCGTGATCGGTAAGCCGATGTTCGGCAACCCGCACATGGAAGAGCAACTCGACGAGCAGACCATCACTCTCGGAAGCCCCGTCCAGCACAAGGACCCTTCTCAGCGCGATCGTCAAGTTAGCGGAGTCTCGGCTGTCGGATTAGGTATTGCCAACGTTACCTTTGACGAGAGCGGACTCGACGTCAAGGAGGAGCAGTGGGCTCCGTCCGAGATTGGAACCGATGGGGAGGACGAGCTCGAGTCGGAGGAGGATGACGAGGACAACGACTCGGATGACGACTTCATGCCCGGCGCCAACGGCAAGAAGCGCGGCGCCACTACCACTGGTGCCAAGCGTGGCCGTGGCCGCTCCGTTCTCGGTCGGCCAGCTCTCAAGCAGAGGCGTATCTCTGCCTAAGCCATTGAACGCGCTGTCGGTCTCGCTGCGAGCGACCCGCACCGCAACTGTACAACCATCTCCGAAAAACGAACGGTTCGACCGCCATACCCCGTATCCCATCCATAACACATTGAAACGGCATTTCCCCAATCACGCGCTGGACGTCAGGGGTCGAGTGAGCATCTTCGCCTCCTCCGCCCCCATCCTCCAGCGCAACGGCATCATCAGCAATCACAATCACACGCACAACAAACGAACGGTTATCACTCTAGACCTCTCCTCCTCTCCTCTTTTTGGTATACCCCCGGCTTCCTTCTTCCTTTCTTCTTCTCTCTCTCGCACTACCAAATCGCCATAACCCCCAAGCCTCATCCACATCCACATCCCCACCAAACGTCACGTCACGTTCACGTCCACACAAATCAATCCCGGTTGTCATAAAGCAAAGTCTCAAAGTTTTTGATAGAACGGCGCACGATAGCTGCCGTTTCTCCATACAGTTTGTACATAGGTCTCCATAGGTCTCTATACGTTTTCTCTCTTCCTCGTCTTTCCTCTTCTTTTGGTTATACTACATGGGTTCACGAATGAATGATTTGTTACGATTCAGCACCAAGCTTGGGTTGCAGGGCGCAAAGGCTGAGTGGCTAAAACTGAAAACTGACTAAGTTGGCCATCAGGGAAGCGGGGTGGTGAAGCGCATCTGCAGTATGTATGTGTAGTGATTTCAGGCCGTCGATTCGAATGCAAGGAAGACAGTCGCACGACCATATGCATATGCGTCTATGTTCTAATGCTAAGCAAGGTAGTACCTGTCTCCAATATGTCCCATGCCGGGGGTAACGACCCAAGCGACCTTCTCGACCTCCTTCTCCGCCATACCACCCCTATGTCTCTCCCCACTCCGTCTCGTACCCATTCCGTCCTCAGGCGAGATATCCTCAATATGCTCGCTCTTGACGAGTCGAGCCGCGAAGTCACCCTCAGACAGGCCCTCCCCGCTCGAAGTGGACAGGGACTGGAACGAGATCTTGAGCTCGCTGAGACCCGTGTCGAGTGCCGCGGTCACGACTCGCACGCCGGGGAATGTGCGATGCAGCGTCGCTACGGCGTGGCGGGAGACGAGGAAGGCGAGGATCGTGATGTTGGATTCTGGGGTTAGTTTGCGTGTCTCTCTTGCAACTGGGGTGCTGGGAGAGGGTCTGGGTCTCGGTCTGGGTCTGAGTCTGGACGGTGGGGTTGTGATCACATCGGGCTGTCACTTCAACCTCGCGCATGGTCGCAGGTGGTCTGTGTGGGAGCCAAGCGAGGCCCGATCTCAGAGCATGAGGTCGTGAGATTGTGAGAGCCCAGAGCGTGGGGGCAAGGGGGTGGAGCGCGTGGAGCACTCGCAGCTGTCTCTCGACGGAATTCAGAAAGGCAGCACGCGGTCCAGGATCCTCGATCCTCGAGGCGCAGCATTGCCCGGAGGCAGGCAGGAGGCAGGAGGTAGACAAGCGAGATACCCGAGCTGCGCGAGCTGCGAGCTGATCGACTTGATCGCCAGGCGGTGCGCGATCGCGTTCCGCGCGCTCCTCGCGACATCTCTCCGTGGCGGCCGTGCACGCGCTGTTGTTTGCGAACCGCGGACCGCGCACCGCGCACGACGATCACTACACAAGACGCAGGGGCATGATCGCCCGCAGGCGCTGGCAGGGGGAGGCATGTGAATCGCAGGCAACACAGACGCGTGCGCCCTAGACCGACAATCGCACAGCCACACCCTCACGACAAGGAGGGCAGGGATGTTTGGTCCAGCCTTAGATCCAGCGATCATCGTTCCCAGATCACCGCGGGTAATCATGAATGTCTGTGATCTGTGGGACTGTCGTACGCACGGCACACGGCACGCGACACGCGGCGCAGCGCACGCGCGTTGTGTACCGCGTGAACGATCGCGAACGTCACGCATGCCAAGATGCAAACAAACGCGGTCCAGACCCATGCCGCATGTGGAAGTGTGGAAATTAACTCACCGGGAACGCCGTGGTCGAGGAGCACGCGGACGGCCATGACTGTTGTCAGCTTACCTGCGCGATCATGGCAGCTGGAAAGAGAAGCACTCACGCGCCGCGGCACCCGTGCCCATCTGCGAGTCGAGGAGGAAAACCTGCTTCGTCTTCGCCTCCGCCTGGCTGTGAAGCGAATCGGGAAGGGAGGTCGAGAGCAGCAGCGGCTCGCCCGTCTTCGGGTCCGACTGGATCAGCATGCTGCCCAGCGGCACATCACGGATGACGCGGCGGAGACCGTGTGAGAATGGTCCGCCAGAGCGCAGGATCGTGATACCGATGATGGACTGGGGTGAGCTTCGAGCTGAGATCGCCATAGCTGTCCGAGATCACGTACCTCCTCGCAGTTGCCCATGCCGACGTGCTGGACGCCGGTCGGTGTGCGGATCTCCTTGTGCTGGTGCGGGAGGAAGTTGAGCGCATGCTCGACAATCAGCGTGGCGAGACGTTCGGTGTAGAAGATGAACTCGGAGCGAGGGGTGCGCTCGTCACGGAGGATAGTCATGATACCCTGGGGAGGTCAGCTAGGTCTATCGACGACTCAGCATGAAGGGGGACGCACGATAAGCTGGCTCGTTTGTGGCAGCAGCTTGATGTGCTTCTCGGCAGCGAAGTCCTCAACGATGTGGTGCGCATGTTTGGCCAGGTCGCGGCGGAAGCTGAGCGTGCGCGCATCGAGCTGGCGGTGAATGTGGGACACAAGTAGCTCGATGGCTGTGTCGTTGTTGAAGCCGGGGACAATCTGACGTCAGCTGAGCGCACCAATCTTTGAGCTTACAATATCGGCATAACGCGAGGAAGGCTGGACAAAGTTGTCGTAGCTGTTCTTCACGAAGCGCAGGTACTGGTCGAGAATGCCGACAACATCGCGACCGCGCTCGGCCGTGTCGCGCCGGATGCGACGGGCGAGCATAAGGTCCGAGTCACAGTTCTGGTGATAAGTTAAAGTCTTTCGGCATCCAGCTCACCACAAACACCTTAAGGTCATACAAGTCGCGCATCTTCGGGTCCTGCAGAGCCATAATGCCCTCTCTGCTCGTCAGCTTCTGAAAGAGGAACGCCCAGCTACTCACACGATGATCACGCTTGCTCCGTACAGATACTGCTTCTCCGGCATACGCTGGTGATGCACAAACGAGTACACCGGAATCTCAGTTGAACGCCCGTGCTTCAGGCTGTCGAGGCACTGCCGGTCAGCTCTTCATAGGACCTGTATAGTTCGTACCTCGGCGAACAGCTCCATGTCGATAGAGTTTGGGTGGTCTGTGGTCAGTTACAGAAGCAGAATCAGGAAGCTCACCAAAGTCAAAGTCATTATTGTAAGCCTGCTGAATCTCTTCCTCGGTGTGCTGCTTGTAGAAGGCGTCCTGGCTAAGGATGAGGACTGTGGGGATGTGGTTCAGAGCTGACATGATAGCCTTGGCGACGGAGGTCTGGCGTCTAGTTAGCTAACAACGTCGCAAGCCTCAACTAATCCACTCACCTTCCCCGACGAGCTTCCTCCAGCGATGCCGATCACATAGGCAGGGACTACCTTGCCGTCGGGAGTGTACCAAGGGGCACGCCCACGAGAGGCCATGACGACATTCTTGCCGGTGGATACACCCTTGACTTCGGGGTCGGGAGGGGACATGGTGAGAGATCGAGAGACTATGCAAGAACAGGGGTGTGAGGGAGGCGGAGGAGCGATAACACACAGCGCGACGAGGTTGTGTGACGACGAGGAAGGGTTCGACGGCGGTGTTCACTTGGCGTGTGCAAGGTGATGGAGGTGGCCGCATCAGGTGGTCATGTTCTGCGGGGTAAGGGCCAGAACAGTGCGGGGAAGACAGCCACGTGGTCTCCCGCTGATAAGATTGCAGAACAATGACGTGTCCGCCATCTCTCGCGGCCAGGTCCCATCTGACAGTGCGCGTGCTGATGCGGGGAGAGCTTACGCTCAGTCGCGTCTGCCGCGGGTCCGTCAGTGCTTGTTGACAACATCGACCAACCCCACCCCTCCGACAAGTCTTCACACTTTCTCTTTCAACGCCACCGCGCCGTCCGACGCGCTATGGCCTAGTACTACTCTACTCACTATCTGTCCGACACTGTCCCCGCAATCGCCTCGACGATACCACAGTAACCGCATTAGAACCACAACAAACAATCCCCATCTCACCAACCGACCGAGCCCGACAGCCCTCCGGCCTCCGCGTCGCTCGACCACCTTCCTCCAACCGCCGTCCCACCGACAACCCGATTCACAATGGACGGCGAACCACCTCAGGAGGAGGACTTCTCGACCATCCCCCTCGTCGAGCGAAGCACGCACAAGGTGGGTGCGGGGCACAAACAATGCCGATCGCTCTCTCGCCTGAGCACGAGACCTCGGGCTTTGACTGACACGAGCAGAACTGGAAGGCTCGACTGTCGGCGTACAACGATGTGATCTCTCAGTCCGCCAAGACGGCGTCGGACACTGACCCGTTCTTTCGGCCATACCTCAACGACCCAGGACTCCTGTGAGCTCCCCTTGGGAGGCGTGTGCTGACTCGTCTCAGGAAAAAGTGGTGTCTGGACTCGAATGCCGTGGCCCAGGAGAAGGGTATCGAGGCTGTCTTGGCTATTGTGACGAATAGCGGTGAGACGAGCGCCAAGTGAGTGTTGTATCGCTCACAGGATGCTGACAGCTGCAGGTTGCGGCCAGAGATCGTCCCCGCCATCGTCGAGAAGGCCCTTGGAAACTCGCGAGCCGGCACGAAGAAGAAGGGAACGGAGCTCTGCGCTATGTTCGTGGAAGTCGAGAACACGGGCGAGGGCGTCGTGGTAAGTCACTCGGGCCGAATCACCGGCTGACATGCAGGAAAACGTTCTCGTTGGATTGGGTGCCAAGCTGCCGAAAGCTGTCGCAGGTGCCGTCGCATGCCTGAAGGAGCTTGTCGAGTGAGTGACATCATGATGTACAGATCTAACTCCAGATCTTTCGGCGTCCAAGCTCTGGGAAATGTCAAACCGCTTCTCAAGGCCCTCCCCAAGGTGTTCGCTCACTCTGACAAGAATGTGCGAGCAGAGGGCACCGGACTAGCGACAGCTCTCTATACGTATCTCGGACCCGCTCTCATGCCCGCTCTGGCCGACATCAAGCCTGTGCAGATGACCGACCTGCAGAAGTCATTCGAGACATTAGACGGAAGCGGAAAGGGCGCAGGTTCTGGAAAGCCCCAGCGATGGACGCGGAAGGCGCAGCGGGATCGGGAAGAGGCAGTGGGCGGGGACGACGACGGTGGAGATGCTGGCGGTGAAGAGGAGCCAGCCGTTATCGACCCGATGTCGCTTCTCGACCCCGTCAACGTCCTCGACCTGTTCCCCGGCAATCTGATGGAGCTCATCGCCTCCTCAAAGTGGAAAGAGCGTCTCGAAGGTTTCGAGGAGTGCAACAAAGTGCTTGCGCAGCCGCAGAACGGCCGCATCTCCGATTCCAACATTGGTGCATACGGGCCGCTCGTACAAACAATAGGAACCAAGATTCAGAAGGACGCCAACGTTAATGTTGTGATGGAAGCGGCCAAGCTTTTGGAGGGTCTGGCTCGAGGTCTCGGCAAATCCTTCGGGCAGTTCCGCAGCTCTGTCATGACCGGATGCCTGGAGCGACTGAAGGAGCGTAAGGCCAACGTTGTTGAAGCGATTGGCAAGGCTCTCGATGCCGTGTTCTTGACTGTAAGCTGGTTACAACTGGTCTAGCTGACTCCAGACCACTCTCTCAGACATCGTCGAAGACGTGCTCACGGCCCTAAAGTCGAAGAACCCGCAGGTCAAAGCAGGCACTCTGGGCTTCCTTCACCGAAGTCTGAAAGTGACTACGGAGGCTCCAGGAAAGGACCACATTAAGCCCATGGCGGAGGCGCTCGTCGGTCTCCTTACTGACTCTGCGGAGCCGGTCCGTTCAGCCGCTGCGGAGTGTCTGGGTACGATGATGAAGATTCTGGGAGAGCGCGCGTTCAACCCCTACGTCGAGAACATTCCGGAGATCCAGATGACCAAGATCAAGGAGGCGTTTGCGACCGCCGAAATCAAGTATCGACCAGGAGGGGCTAAGAAAGCCGCGCCTGCCGCTCGCGCACCTGCTGCTAAGCCCGTTGCAAAGGCGCCTGCCGTTGTCAAGAAGCCTCCAGCCGCCAAACCACCATCACCGACGAAACCCGCCAACGATGATGAACTCTTACAGGACTTTGCGGCCCCGCCTAAGAAAGCGATGCCCGCACGATTCGCAAACCGATTAGGCAAGAAGCCGACACCAGCCGCGTCTGAAGAGTCTTCACCGGCGCCCGAGTCGCCCAAGAAGGTGAAGCCGGTTGAGGACCAGTTGCTCGATGAGTTCCCCGACCCCCCAAAACGCGCTATGCCCGCCAAGTTCGCCAGCCGCTTCGGCAAGAAGCCCGCTGCTGCTGCTTCGGACGACGCCCGGTCAAGCGCTACTCCATCACCGACAAAGGCTCCCGCAGCTCGAGCACCTGCGGCCAAGCCGGCTCCGAAGGCCGCGCCTGCTGCCGGTCCATCGAAGCCTGCACCGGCTGGCAAGCCTGGAGCGGCGAAAGCTCTGACGAGCTCACCATCGGAACCCGTCAAGTACCGGTATTCTTCAGACGACGCTATGGCCAAGGCTGAGGAGCTCATTCCAGCCTCCTACCACACCAAGCTCGCCGACAGCGCGTGGAAGGTCCGATTGGAGGGCGCCGATGAGATGGTGACCTGGGTCAGCGAGGGTGGCGGTGAGGAGGTCGAGAGCGAAATCATGATGCGGTTCCTCAGCAAGATTCCGGGGTGGGGAGAGAAGAACTTCCAAGTATCCGGCAAGATCTTCCAGGTCATTCAGCTCATGGCGGAGAAGAGTGCGAGTTTCGGGAAGCCCGCGGCTTCGCTAGTGATTGGACCGTTGACGGACAAGCTAGGCGACCTGAAGCTGAAGAAGCCCGCTGGAGAGGCACTCATCGCTATTGCTGAGAAGACGTCACTGGCCTTCCTCCTTGCTCAATGTGAGTCGCGTCCTGAAGTGCACTGCTAACTCCAGCGTATGAGCCAATGACCAAGCAGAAGGCGCCCAAGGCCCAGGCCGATGCTCTCGCGTGGATTAAGCAGCAGGTTATCGACTTTGGTGCTGCAGGAATCCCGCTCCGCGAGCTGATCGCATTCATCAAGAATGCTCTCGGAAGCCCCAACGCTCTGGTGCGATCAAACGCGACGGCCCTCTTGGTGCAGGTGAAGATCTTCGTTGGCGCAGACATCTCCGGTTTCATCGAAGACCTGAACCCGACACTTCTTGCCACCATCAACAAGGAGTTCGATAAGGTCGACGGACAGACGCCGCCGGAGCCAACGCGCCAGCAGGCCGACCTCAAGGAGGTTGCGGGCGGCAAGGGCAAGGGCGGCAAGGGCGGTGCTGCGGACGCCCTCGATGATCTCATCCCTCGAGTGGAACTTGACAAGCTCGTCAACCAGACCACCGTCCTGAAGGACTTCAAGAGTGACGCCTGGAAGACGCGCAAGGAGGCCTTTGAGTCCCTCAACGCTCTCCTTGACGTCAAGTCTAACCAGAGGCTGAAACCAACGATGGGTGAGTAAACAAGGTACCTCTGATAACTAACGTCCAGGCGAGATCGCGACTGTGCTGAAGAAGGCAATGGCGGATACAAACCTCTCGGTCAAGATGCTTGCGCTTGGTATCATCACCAAGATCGCGACCGGAATGGGACAACCCATCGAGAAGTACTGCCGTGTTCTAGTACCGGCGGTTGCGAGCGTGTGCGCCGACCAGAAGGCGACTACCCGAACAGCTGCTATCAACACGCTGTCGGCCATCGCTGATGCCATCGGCTCCCTGGACCCAATGTATTCCGGAATCGGCGCGTCGCTCGAGAGCGTCAACCCTGCCCTGCGCTCGAGCGTGCTTGGCTGGGTTGCTAGCCGACTTGCAGACGACCCGCCAGGACCTTCGGCTGACCTCTCGCCCCTTGCTGGTCCTGTAGTCACATGTCTCGAGGATCGCAACGGTGATGTGCGCAAGGCCGCGAGCGCGATGCTGCCGTTCGTTGTCGGCAATGTCGGCTACGACGCCTGCATTGACAAGACGACCAACCTCAAGCCCGCTTCCAAGGCTACCATTGTTCCCATGATCCAGGCCGCGGCCGCGAATGCCCCATCATCGTCGTCTGCTGCCGCCCCTCCGCCAACGCCTGCCAAGGCTGCTCCCGCGGCGGTGGCTACGCCGGCCAGGAGCTTAAAGGCTCCTACGGCCAAGGTCACTGCTGCCACGCCGCGCGCCTCTGTACCGAGGCCTTCCGGTATCGCGCCACCTGGCCGTTCTCTTGCAATGAAGGCACTCGGATCAGCATCCAGCCACCGACCGCCATCGGCAACTGGAGAGCGGCCACTGGGTATCCCGAAGTCTCGCATGATGGCTCCCCGTCCGACATCCTCTGCCTCGTCTCGACCAGCTGTCGCTTCACCGACTGGACGGACATTGCCGTTTGTGACCAGCTCCCCTGACGCCAAGGCGAACCGGTTGAAGCGCGATGCCGCTCGCTGGATGCTGGAGGCTGGAGCTCGCAGCGACACGCTCGAGTACCTTGCACACCAGATGGAGCCGCACACCTCCGCTGACATCTTCACGCTGCTATTCAGCAAGGACCACCGTGCAGAGGAGGATTTCATGACTGGACTTGCTGTCATTGCCGAGTTCTATGACCCCGAAACTGCCGGCGAGTTCGGCCTGCCGGACAGCGAGCTCGACGCCATCCAGCTGGCTAACAATGACCTCGCACTGAAATACGCCGCCATTCGACTCATGACCAACCACACGCAAGTGAACAACCGGTCACTGGAAGTCATTTCTAATGTTCTCGATTACCTCACTCGTTCAGGGGAGCGCCTGACAGAGGTCGAGGTGCGCCTCTTCGTCCCCGCCTTGGTTATGAAGCTCGGCGACCCGAAGTTTGTGCCAAAGCTCACGCCGATCTTTGATGGTCTGGACAAGATCATCCCTGCGTCCCAGGTGGTTCAGCTCCTGGTTCAGTACGGTCTCGAGGAGAAAGGCGCCGGCAAGACGCAGAAGAATGAGAGTCTCGCGCTCATCGAGAAGGCCTTCAAGCGACGAGGATCGGTGCTTCGCAAGGACGAACGCGGCTTCTACGAGGCCATCGCCAAATGCATCGCCGACCCTGGAACGCGACCAAATGCACTCAACCTCATGGCCCTTCTTCAATTACAGGGCGAGTCTCGCAACCTGCAGGCCGTTGTTGCGGGCATGCCGACATCTGCGAAGGACATGCTCGCCAACCGCCGCAATGCTCTGTCCGCGTCGAAGGGTGCTAGTGGTATCCCTCGTCCTGGTGAGGCTCCGGCCTCCCCCCGCCCAGGGTCTCGAGCCAGCTCCAACGCCTCCTACGGCACGCCGGCGTCGTCTGCTCGTATCTCCCGCGAACTGTCTTCATCCACGTCAGCCCGCCCTCAGCCGAGAGGAATCCCGACGCCGGCGGCTTCGAGGTTGCCGACGACCACGCCCGCCCGTGGCCAGCCGCGCGGCATTCCAGCTCCCTCGGGCATCCCCGGTTCCATCAAGCGACCGGCTGCGCGCTCGTTGGCTAATGACTTCAACGGAGCTGCAGCTCCCTCTCGCGCCATGCAGCCTCTTGGCCGCGCTGCTGCTCCACCGCCGGAGCCCGAGCTTAGCGAGGCTGCCATGCTCATCGACGCCATCTACACGGAGGATGTCGAGGAGGCGGCTGAGGCGCTCAAGGCGACCGCCGCTGTTCTCGATGAGGACGAGGAGATCTTCATCCCGGAGGCCCGCAATCTCATCAACGGCCTCTGCTTCCAGCTGAACAACTTGCCGAAGGACCCTGCAGCGCTTCTCGAGCCTCGCAGCCTGCGAAGGATGAAGCATTTGATGCGCACGATCCATATCACCTTCAGCAAGGCTCGTCTGGTGAAGAAGGTCAAGCTTGAGGGTCTCGAAACGATGTTCGCGGGCATCAGGCAGCAGTACGCCTCAATCGAGGTCTGGAGCGAAGCCCGCGGTGACGACAATCAGAGCGCGAACGACCTGCGCGACTACATGAGCATGGTGCTCAGCAGCATGATCTCCACGCCGAGTCGCGAGGCGGTATACACGATTCTCTTTGAGGGTCTCGTCGAGCTCTGCAAGGACATGACGCCCAACCCCGACCCCAAGATGGGATCCGAGATTGGTGTCATCCTGCAGTGCACGTACAAGCGTGTCCGTTCGATCGACGCCGACTTGCGAAACGAGCGCATCCGCGCCGGAACGCTGCTGGCGATCATTGAGAGCCTGCTGCAGGTCATTCCGCCCGTGCAGTGGCGCAGGCGCCCCAAGTATGGCCTGCCGCACGGCGACCTTCCCCTGCGTGTAATTAAAACCCTGCTCCAGCGTGTGATTGGTGAGTTGCATGGCCACGGAAACATCAACTGATCCCAGTTTACACCAAGGAGATTGGAGTCGGCATCTACGACTTGCTGCAAGAGCAGTTCGGTGCCGAGGCTGACATGACGACTGTGTACAGCTACATCTTCCGCATCTGTGAGTTAACGTGATAGGCCTCTGAATTAACATCAGCCTCCGCAGATGATGCAGCCGCTGCGAATGCCGCCGCGCAGAATGCGGCTCAAGCACCCATGCAGCCCCCGGCGGCGCCCGCCCCTGTTGTCGCTCCGACGCCAGTGGCTGCCCCCGCGCCGATTGCTGAGCCGGTGCCCTCGCGGGCCGACCAGTTCTCCCGACAGGAGAGTGAGGACCGCGTCGAGGCTCTCGAACGCAACGACCACGTCGAGCGCATGGAGCGCATGGCCGAGCGGATGGACCGACCGCCGTCGCTGTCTCACTCGCGCCGCCGTTCGGGCATTGACCGGCCGCTGAGCATCGCGAGCTCGGCAGCGTCCCGCATGTCCATGGGACCGGACGGCATGCCGAAGTCTCCCCCTCCTGCGCGCGACGTACCCGAGGCCGAGCGTCTCGTGCGGCGCCTGACGGACACGCGCGACAACGAGCAGCGCCTGAACGAGCTGCACGCCTTCATGAAGCTGTCGCCTGAAAACGAGGCCGAGGTCCGGGCCGCGATCGCGTCGACGTTGAACCCCGCCGCACAGACGTTTGTGTGGCGTGCGCTGGATCGCCGTAACGCGGTAGACCAGCCGGTGCAGCCTCTGTCGCCGCCTTCGCGCTCGCCCGTGCGCGAGCTCGCCTCTCCGCCCCTGTCCGCCACGACGTCGCGGCAATCGCTCTCGGGCTCAATCAGCTCGCGCCCCTCCTCGATGGCGCCTGATGAGCAGATGGAGAAGCTCAAGGCCGTGTTCGCGCGCGGGTCCCGCGTCTCGCTCGGTGGCGCGCGCACGAGCTCCAGCCCCAACATGAACAGGCCCCTCAGCGAGATCGACTCCCAGCAGGTCAGTCCCGAGCGCTCCCTCCACTCCTCGGCCGACAGGCCCAAGAGCGAGATCTCGGGCTAGAGTAGAGTGTGGTAGATGAAACTGTGTAATAACGTGTAATGAATGAATGCATCGGAAGTGGCTTGGTCGTGCGTGCTTTGGGTGGTGGTTGCACTTCGCGGGCGGGAGTGAGAAGTGGCGGATGGGCATGATTTCGAGAATTTCTGATTTCTTGGGCAGAAGTTTGCAAATGGGCCTATCGGTCGTTGTCCAATGCCCGTTGCATGCTCATTATTTCACTATCTTTATTCAGGTATCACTACTGTCACTCTTGTCCGTGCTGTCTTGTCTCGTTGCCAGGCAACTGTCGAGTCTCTTCACTCTGCCCTCCTTCTAAGCGAGTCCGGGCGCGCCCGTCAGGTTAGTCCAGCGTCTGGAGGATTTCCTTCAGAAACTGGTCCGAAGACGGATTGTCCTCGTCCCAAGCAGAAGCCTGGGTGTCAGAGGCAGAGTCTACACAGTCGCACTGGCTCGTAGGTGTCGCTGAAGCACTGGCAGGCTCGGTTGGGTTGGCAGTATCGGTCACAGTGACCGGATTGGCGGTGGGCTGGGAGGCCGGCGAAGAGTCGTTGGCGCCAGCGTTGGACGAGTCAGGCAAGTTAGACGAGGGGCCAACATTCATCATCTGCCCGTCATCCTCCGCCTCCATCTCAGGCTGAGGTACGATGGGCAAGCTAGACGTCCAGTTCATACTCGGCCAAAGCGCGGGAGACGAGAAACGTGCCAACCTCTCGTTCGTCGCGAGCACATTCTTGCGGAGGCAGCGACGACACGTCTCCCCGATTATAACACACTTGCGGCACTGAGACTTGGGGACCGAGACGGAGCTCAGGATGAGCACGGCGCAGCGGTGAGCGCCTAGATGCCAGGCGGCCGACTGCGGGGCGATTGGGGGCTGCGAGGGACAGAGCTTGGCGGCGTCAATGAAGAAGCGGCGGGGAAGCGGCTTGGGGAGGGCTGCAGGCCAGAACATGTCGATTTCGTCAGGTGTGAGGCGGTGATCGAAGAGAGTCGTGTCGAAGGTTACGGCAAGGGTGGCAGAGGTCTGGTCGGGCGCGGTGTTGAGTTGAGAGTTGGAAGGCGGGGGAGGCGCGGGCTGAGGCGGCGTCGATGCGGCAGGTGCTGGCTGAGCATTCTGCGTGGTGTGTGAGACCGAGGAAGGCTGGGTCGTACTGGCGAGCTGGGATGTAGCTTTGAAAGGGGACTTGGAGGAAGCCGACGTGACATTCCACACGTCAAAAGGGGGGGCACGAATGACCGATACGGGCTTGGCGGGCCTGATGGGATGAGTCACACGGCGGTTTGGGACGGCATCGAGGACTTTCTTGACCATGTGCGTCTTGTCCTGACCGACAGGCTGAATCTTTGGGCCGCCTGATCCGAAGAGCGCCTGATTCAGTGCAAGGGATTCAGATGGCTGAGTGGTCGAGAACAACAGGCGTGAGTTCGAGGGCCTAGGACAGACATCCTGAGTGACGATAGGCGGGAATGAAGTCGTCGCTGTGTTGAAAGGGCCGTTGGTGAACGAGGGTCCGGGGGTTGCGAGGCTGGTTCCGGTCGCCGCACTACCATTGCCCTTTTGAGTTGCCTCGTTGCCATCACTGATGACAGTGTCATCAGTGAAAGTAAGAGCGACGGCCTGGGGAGCCGCGGTAGCAGCCCTGAAGCGACCAAGAGTGCTTCTGAGAGTACCCTTGAATGCCTTGAGAAGCGTTGAAGCTGCGGGGCGGAGTGACGGCGCTGAGGAGTGTGGCCCGAGAGGGGTAGGCTCCAGTCCGCTCATCTTCTCTACATCCTCCACTAGTTCTGAAGGAGAGTCTGCATCAACGCCCATCGAGGAGGATGTGAGGGAGCTCTTGAAGGGGACGCAAACGCGCTCGGTATTGGTCTTTGGCCGCGAGGGGATGCCGAGTGGGAAGTTCCTGTCTGCCAAAGGGCCAGTGCTGGGCTTTGCGCGGGAGTGGGTACGTGTCGATGAGGGTGTGCCGGTTGAACAGGACTCGACGACGGGCGACAAAGCAGGGTCTGAACGAGGGCACGATGAGCTCTCGAGACAAACTTGGGAGGAGGTGTCGAAGCTTGTGGTAACCGGGAGGGGCGAAAGCCCCTCAGTAGTCTCAATTTTGCCGCTTGCTGCACGAGTGGTGCCGGCCCAGACAGCTGGAACGTTGGAGGGCTCTTGACCGTCGATGTTGGGAGCCGCGCGTTCAATAATCAGCTCCGCTACGCCATCCCTGTTCGTCTCCTCTTGCTTGCTGTTGCCACCACCCGCGGGCGCTACCGTACTCGCACGCACGGTGCGATCAGAGAAGTCCGAATCGGTGGCCACGTCCTCCTCCGACGGGTCCCGTTCTCCCCCGTCGCCGTCCTCAGAGTCACCAGCACCGCCACACCGTGAAGATCCTGCTTCGAGGGAGTAGGCGACGCCGTTCCGCTCCTGCAGAGCCTTCCTCTTCGCCTGCCGCTTCGCTCTTTTCGAGGTTAAGCTTGCCCTCAGTTCTTCCCCTCTGAGTCGCTCCGTCTGGTGGCGCTGTTGCTCGCGCCTTTCCCGGCGACTGATGGTAGATGAGGGCGGCGTAGCCGCTGAGCCCAAGACAGGCAGAGACTGGGATGGTGCAGGCCGGCCCTGGGAGGGCTTTGTAATCGAGAGCACAGGCAGCTTTCCGTCACTGTGTGGCGCTGGCAGTGAGCATTCAACGCCTTTATCTCACTCACTGTTCTCGGGGGAAATAGCGTGCACTGCAGGGGTTGAGGGTGCAGGCGGAGACTCAGAGCTGGAGTGTCCGTCCTCGATGAGCTCCGGCAGACACGCTGGACTCGAGTCGTCGCTGAGCCGCCCGCGCTTCGCAGACGCAGATGGCTGTCCCCTCTGAACAATGCCGGGGCCGGCCACCCTCTTCTTGAATCGTCGAATCCTGGACGGCATGAAAGATTCTCAGTAGAGAATGAAGGCGGGGAAGTGTGAGAAAGACGGAGAGTCCCCATTGTGACGACACTTATGTACGCGGCTGGGAAGCGTGTGCGTCGCAGGCCTCGCACCCCCCTCGCCACTCCTCGCGCAGCTGCACACATGCACCGGAAGCTGGCCGGGATCTCGGGGAGATCGCTCTGTTCGCACTTGCCTAGTCCCATGGTCAGGCCAAGTAAGCTAGCTCTCGGTCCGCTCTAGACTTGAAAGCCTTGAAGGCGATAGGTCCAGGACAGCTCTTCTCCTCCTCTTGATGGCGAAGCTGCTAGCTTTCGACAACGTCGTTTCTCCTATCATTCCTACCGCGGGCTTTATAAGCGCAAGCGCATTGTTGCAGTCTCCAGTGCTCACCTGGTGAGGCCATAACACGCTCTGCAAGTCTTCACCATCTTTCCTTCTGCTACTGCAGGCTTTCAAGGACTTTCCCTTTCTCAGGAGCGATTGTCGCATTGCCTTCCTTCGGAACCAATGTCCTCCAGGCTCATTTAAGCGCCACAAGTCAGCACTACAGTTGGCTTCTATCTAGACATCAAAGTTGGCATGCTGCACTCTAGGAAAGTAAGGATGCTTATTAGCCTAAGCATGTCCTCCCCTTCCCCGTTCAAGCAACACCTTCAGCGCCCCATGCAAGCTTCTGCGCCTTCAGCGTCCTTCATTTACAACTTGCAATACAAACATACTTAAGTCACGTGCTCTGATTGTGATGATGAGGTTAATTGTTATTTGATAACAATTTTATTACGTGTGTAGCACCACCCGTCGATCGCCACTCAAGATTTCTGAGTGGAGGTCGTGAAGTTACGAGTGACTGACTTGCTTCGCGAACACCACCGACGAGCAGCTTGCAGACTCCGAGTCACTAGCAGCTATGGACTTTCACCCGCTTCAGGCGCTGCCGACAGCGCCTCGCGCTACCTCGAGCATCAACCCTCACTCGCGCCACTTCCACTCGTTCCGTCACCCGCTTTTCATCAAGCAGAACGCTCCCGTCACCCACATTCACTTCTCCCCGGCTCGCCCTCACCGGTATGCCGTCACGTCCAGCACGCGAGTGCTCGTCTACGCTCCTAAGACTGGAAAGGTCGTGAAGACTGTGTCAAGATTCAAGGACACGGCGCGATGCGGAGAGTTCAGGAAGGACGGCAAGCTCATGGTTGCTGGAAGCGATGACGCGATTGTTCAGGTGTTCGATGTTGGAAGCAGAGCCGTCCTGAGGACATTCAAGGGACACAACCAGTGAGTTTGTCGACCGAAGGTGAACTGACATTAGGCCGGTGCATGTTACCCACTTCTCCAACCATCTTCCCCAGGTCCTGTCGGGCTCAGACGACACGACAGTCCGGTTGTGGGACGTCTCGACTCAGGAGTGCCTCACTACTCTCGAAGGACACACCGACTACGTTCGCGCTGCTGTTTTCACCGCTCCCCACCTCATTCTTTCCTCATCTTACGACTCGACCATCAAGCTCTGGGATGTTCGTGCTCCTGCGCAGTCGAACTGCACCATGACAATGCGCCACGGAGGAGCACCCGTTGAGGATGTCCTCGCCTTCCCGTCGGGAGGTGTCGCCATGTCTGCCGGTGGACCGATTCTGCGCGTTTGGGACCTGGCTATGGGACGTTGCGTTCGTGCTCTGAGCAACCACCAGAAGACGATCACCACCCTGGCCTTCGATGGCTCGAAGGGCCGCGTTCTCACCGGTTCGCTCGACACCATGGTCAAGGCGTACGATGTCGAGGAGTGGAAGGTTGTTCACACCATGCGTTACCCCGCCCCGATTCTGTCGCTCGCTGTCTCGCCTGACGACACGCATATTGCTGCGGGTATGTCGGACGGCACGCTCAGCGTTCGCCGCCGTGACGCCAAGGCGAAGGAGGTCGCCGAGGAGGAGGCGAAGCAGGCTGCCATCGCCAACGGCGCCTACGAGTACTTTGCCGACATGGAGGCTGTCTTTGGACGAGGCCATGTCAAGGCGAAGGGTGCTGCCCTTGGACCCGTGATTGGCCCCGCCGACGAGTTCCGTGTCGAGACCAGGAGGAAGGAGCGTCTCCGCGACTACGACAAGTACTTGAAGTCATTCAAGTACTCCGCTGCCCTGGACGCGGCGCTGAAGAAGACCGTCCGACCCACGACGACGTTTGCGCTCATCCTCGAGCTCGTTCAACGTGATGCGCTCCGAATCGCCCTTTCCGGCCGCGATGACGTGACCCTTGAGCCGCTGCTCAGCTTCCTCACCCGTCATGTCACCGACCCGCGATTCGGCGAGGCATGCGCCGACGTTGTTTCCGTTCTCCTCGACCTCTACTCGCCCCAGCTCGACCACTCCCCGCTGGTTGACGAGCTTCTCGCCAAGCTGAACGGTCGTGTTGAGCGTGAGCTTGCGTTCCAGCGCGAGCTTTTCAAGCTCCGCGGAGCGCTCGACATGACTCTTGCTCAGGCCGCCATGAGCCGGTTGCAGTCATAAATTGGGTATCAAATAGCATTATAGACCATCTGATGTAACACTAGCATTCTATTTCTCTAGTCGTGCCCGATAAAAGATCGCACGAACGAGTTCCAGTCGAGTGGCTCCGGCGTCACAGTCTGGTCATCCTCGCCGTTCCAAATCACAGCCCAGCCGTACGCTCCGGCGTCCAAGCTACCGACGGCCCAGTGCCAGCCGTCTAGTCGGGCGTTTTTGCCGTCGATTTCGAGAGCAGAGACCTGCCCGTCCCCGACATGTACATTTATCCGATCGAGTCCAAATGAAATGCCCGTTCCAATCGCCTTCGTATAGCCCTCCTTCATTGTCCACAACGTAGTCAGGTACTTCGACTTGATGATGCCGCTTGTCGTGGACAGTCCCAGTCGTTCGTCCTTGGTTAGCTGACATTAGCTTGAAGATTAAACATTGACGAAGCTTGCCGCTGACCTGAAATGAGATGCCTTCCTCGAGCTCCTGCGGGTCTTTCGGCAGGTCCATGACATCCACGCCGACTTCCCCGTCCCCAACCGCCAGCAAAACGTATTCGCCTTCATGCGTCGTGTTGAAGCCAACCTTGGCCGTTGGATCAAGCAGGTACGGCTTCCCTCTAGGAGCTACGCCAAACTTGGGGTGCTCTGAAGGAGCAACGATACCGGCTTCGCGCAAGTACCAGGTCGGCAATAACCTCGCGGCCAGGGAGCGGACCGCATCGTCCGGATGCCGGAACCGCCGAACGCGGTCTTGGGCGCGCTCAGGCAGGTGGTGCAGAAGCCGATCAAAGGTCTGCACATTAGCTGATTTCTTTCGTGAACGACGTCACACCTCTTCCGGAACCTCTTGCGGCATCTTGAGTGAGAAGAGTCGCACCATCCTCGATGACAGAGCGAAGGCAAGATTGCTCAGCACGACTCGGAAATGACCGAGATAACTCGATCGCACAGGGGCTAATGAGAAGCAAGCAAGAATTGCTCCCGCTAATGCGTTTGTTTACAACCGAGAAGTTGAGGTTGACGTCAACCTTCGAATTTGCTGTCTCTCCATCGCTATCAGTCTCGGCTTCAAGGGCAGCTCGTAACATGACATGGCCTCGTCATCCCAAAGCTTCTGGGAGGAAGCGCTTGAGATAGCAGAGACCATCGACCCGCCCCCGGCTAAACGACCGCGCTACGAGCTCTCTCCCGACACTCCGGATGCCGGGCATGAGAAGGAGGGGCAGCGCCATGAACCTTCTTCTCCACTCGGCTTCGGGGGCACCGAGCTTACCTTCATCCCTACACATCTGCGCACTCATGGAGCGACTGATGGACTCGAAGCGCACTCATACCTGCAGCGAGCAGAGTATGCAGCGAACTCGTTCGGGGATATCGCCTCTTACATGAAGAACAAGGACAAGAAAGTTCAGACGCAGAACCGTGAACTGGCCGCTGCCTCCAATCTTCCACAGGTGTTCAAGGGCTTGACATTCTACATCAACGGCAACACGAAACCAAGCATGGAGGACCTACGCAAAATGATCGTGCAGAGAGGCGGAACTGTTGTGCCCTTCCTCCGCAGGAAGCGCGAACTCGATTACGTCGTTGCACCCGTTCTCACCATCGCCAAGTTCAAGGAGCTCGAGAACTACCGCGTAGTCCGCGAAGGCTTTGTGCTTGAGAGTGTCGAGAGGGAGAAAGTCGTCGATTGGCGGAAATGGAGGCTGAGAGCTGGCAATGAGCAGGGTTTGGCCGGTTTCGTCGCTCCAGCCAGGTCCGAAGTGAAGAAGCCACTTTCAATCGAGCAGGAGCCTCCACAATCATGTGAACCTACACCTCGGCCAGAGCCTTCACCTGTCACTATTGCCTCCTTGAAAGTTGGTGGAAGTTTGTTGCGGCCGCTACGGAAGCCTTCGGCTCCCCAACGGCCTGCGCCGCCACCTGTTAAAGCCTCTCCGGCACCAGCTCCCCGACCATCGGTCCCTGCCCCCGCGACGGACACGATCAAGGTGGTCCCCGTTGAACCACGAACTACACTCGCGCGACCGCTCAAAACAGCTGCACTTCCGCCATCGAAAGCCCAAAGTGGCCCTGTCCCTACGCCCCTGCAATCGGTTGTCCTGCCAGACTCCAGCAGTTTCAGCCCTGCGAAGTCGAAGGCGACGCCTGCAAGGGTCGCAGCGCCTGAGGTCTTAGTTGTCCCGCCGACTGCTGAGCAACTGTCCCAGCGAGACAATGCTTCCCCTTTGCTGCGACACTCATCCCCCACTCCACACGTGAGCCCGAACCGACCGCGGCACGGCATCCAAGCGCCGGAGGGGTTGCCGTACGATATCTCGTACCGCAGCAAGGAGGCAAACAGGTTCGCAGGACGGTTGATGCAGGACGACGACTTCCGCGCAATGCACACTGCTGAGCGAGGCAACGAGGCTGGGTTTATCGACAGCTACTACCAAAACAGTCGACTACACTTGCTGTCTACGTGGAAAACCGAACTTCGACTTCTGGTCGCAGAGGCTCGCAGCTCCGCAGAGCACGTGCCGACTGTTCTTCCTTCGCAGGGATCAGAGAAGGTGATTTTTCACGTTGACTTCGACGCTTTCTTTGTCTCTGTGGGTCTCGCGAAGAGGCCAGATCTAAAGGGAAAGCCCGTTGTCGTATGTCACTCTTCAGGTGGCGGCCGGGCGAGCACGTCCGAGATCGCGAGCGCAAGCTACGAGGCGCGTGCGAAGGGAGTCAAAAACGGCATGAGCTTGGGGCGCGCCCGAGAGTTGTGCGGCGACGACCTCGCCACCATTCCCTATGAGTTCGATACCTACCGCAAGCACTCTACCGCTTTTTACCGCATCTTGTTGGGCTACGCCGACGAGTTGGAAGCTGTTTCCATCGATGAGGCATTGCTGGAGGTTACGGGTGCCGTCACCGCCCGTGAGATGGCGCCGGACGAGGCCGAAGCCATCTCTCCTGATCCAGCCGTGTGCGTCGCTGAGCAAATCCGTTCCGACATCCGCGACGCCACTGGATGCGAGGTTTCGATCGGCATCAGCCACAACATCCTTCTCGCTCGACTCGCCACTCGCAAGGCTAAGCCAGGAGGTGTTTACCGTCTGACAACGGGCAACTGCGACGAGCTGTTATCAGAGCTGGATGTGAAGAGCCTTCCCTCCGTCGGACACTCGATGCAAGCGAAGCTTCAAGACGCATTCGGCACTACGAAGTGTGGTGACCTCCTGGCCTACTCCAAGCAGCGCTTGCGAGGAGTTTTGGGACCGAAGACGGGAGACACAATCTACAACTTCCTCCGAGGCATCGACGACCGAAAGTTGACCCCCGACAAGGAGCGCAAGTCCGTCAGCGCGGAGATGAACTACGGGATCCGGTTTAAGAACCAGGATCAAGCGTTACACTACCTGCAGGACCTTGCAGTGGAGGTTTCGAAGCGTCTGAAGGCGATAAACGTGAAAGGCCGACACATGACGCTGAAGATCATGCACCGGCATCCCGAGGCACCTGTCGAAGCACCCAAGTTCCTCGGGCACGGTTGGTGTGAGACCTACAATCGCAGTGTGGGGATTGAGCGTCGCGGGCAAGCTACGGATGACGCCACAATCATTGGCGAAGAGGCTGTCAAGCTTCTCAAGGCTATGCGACTAGACCCGACCGAGCTTCGCGGCGTCGGTATCCAGATCACCAAGCTTGACCACGGCCCCAAGCAGGCCGAAGTCGAGAAGGGGCAAGGTAGACTGTCGTTCGCCAAGCCAGACCGCAAAGGGAAGGGGAAGGAGGTGGCGATCGACGATGGGGACGATGCGGGCGAGTCAGTCGGCATCTCGAGCGAGCCATCGCCTATCCCAGTTCCAGGTGAAGCCTCTCCGCAGCCTGTGACTGAGGCTGTGTCGCCGGCACCCGAGCCTCGCGAGGTCGTCCCGGTTCTGCCAACGCAACTCGATCCCGACTTCCTGGCCGCTCTGCCTGTCGAGATACGACAAGAGATTCAGGAAGAGCACACGAAGCGCCACGGTTCACGCTCCGGCTCGCGATCAGCTTCTCGCTCCGGCTCTCATTCACCTCTGCCCTCTCCCGGCCCGAGCCGGAAGTCGACGCTTAACCCCGCCGCGCACATCACGAAGCAACTGCGACCAAAGCACAAGACGCAACTCGACGCAGCGATGATAGCGCAGGGTGCGCTATACGGCGCCTGGTCGCGAGCAGATGCTCAGACGCTGCAGCCTGGATCTGCTGGCCCATCGCGCGGGGACCGGAGCCGGAGCGTAAGTCTTGCGCCGTCAGACGACGGCGAGATGGTGGGCAAGTATCGCGCCGCGGAGCTGCGGGCGCTAGGCATCGACGTAGATGTCTTCTCCGCACTGCCCGAAGATGTACAAGCCGAAGTCATCCTGCAGGAGCGGCAGAAGGCGCGCAACTTGCGTCTGCGGACGCATTCGGCTTCCCCGGCAAAGGTCCGCCCACCGCGCCAACGCTCGCCTCAGCCCGTGCCTACCATCTCGATTCCGGTCAGGAGCAAGCCCGCTCTCTTTGGCGCGCGGGAGGCGGACGACGTCGCCGCCGTGCTTGCCAAATGGGTGGAAAGTCGTGAGGAGGGTCCGAATGAGAGGGACACGGATCGCGTGCTGAAGTATCTCTGCAAGTGTCTTGGTGGCTTCTCCGGGTTGGACCACGTCTCCCAGCTTCTGAGAGACATGAAGGGCGTCATTCGCGATGTCTGTGCCGAGGACAGCGCGTGGTGGGACACATGGCACAGCTTGTTCCACAGCATCGACGAGCGAGTACGGGAGATGCACGGGACTGGCCTCCGCGTCGATTGACCTGTGTATCACTAGAGTTCTTTGTTTGTAATTATCATAATGTACAGTGCATATCTCGGAATACCCGGTGGAGAATGAGACAGAGAACTATAAACGCGAGCTTTTGGACTGCTGAATCTTTTACTTCTTCTTCTTGGCCGCCTTGCCGCCCTTGCCCTTCTTGTCGTCCTCGGCCTTGCGCTTCGGCGCGTCCGTCTTCGGCTTGACGGTGAAGAAGCCGTCGAGGCGGCCCTGCTGCTTGGCCGCGAGCATCTTGGACAGCTTCGCGGCACCGGCACGCACGCGATCCTCCTTGAAGCCCTTCTCGCGAACGAGGAACTCGACGAGACCCTCGACGTCAGGCTGCTTCCACTCAATCTGGTTGTCAGTTCAAGCGCTACCTCTATCAACTCACCTCCAGGTCCTCTCCCTTGACAACATCGGGCGTGATGAAGAGCTTCTTCGCCTCCTCCCACGGCCAGTACTCAGGGATCTGCATACCACCCGCGGCGCGCTTTTTGGGCTTCTTCTTCTTCTCGACCTTAGGGGCGGGCACCTCCTCGCCGTCGCTGTTGACGACGAACTGCTCGCCTTCCTCCGACTCAATCTCGGACTCGATCTCCTGCTCTGCGAGCTCGGCGGCCTTTTCGGCCATCTTGCCCTTGATGAACTCGACGACCTTCTCAAGAGAGCCGTGCTCGCGCATCAGCTTCAACGCCGTCTTGGGACCAACGCCCTTGACAGGCTCGAGGTAGTCGCAGCCGAGGAGGATACAGAGCTCAATGAACTGGGGAGAGTTAGCAATTGCTTCCAAAGAAACCCACCTGGTCCATGGTCATGTCGAGGCCCTTCAAAGCCTCCTCAAGCTTGATCTCGGAGATGGGCATTTTCTTCGCCTCGGAGAAGGTGAGATGACGAAGAAGGATCGGAGTGTGGAAAGTGAGGGTGTCCATGTCCTCCGAGCCCGCAGCGAAGACCTTGCCTGCGCGAGCGAGCTCAGCACACTGAGCCTCTGCTTCTCCGGGAGCCTGCATGTCAGCTTGAGAGAGGTTGACTAGCTGGACATACCGTGACACAAGGGATACCCATCAGCCCGAGCAGGCGCTTGCACTCCTCGTTGTGCTCCTTGGTGACTCGGACCTGGCGACGAGACATGCGGTCAATGTCCTCAGCCGTTCCCGTTTCGCGAGCCTCCTCCTCAGCCTCCTTTGCCTCCTCGCGACGCCCGAAACGTTGTTTCAGCTGGATCTGTCAGCTCCTCCAGCAATTCAGAAAGCTGCGCTTCACTCACAACACCGCTCTTCAGGTCTGGCGGTTTGCCATCGAAGACGTAACACGGCTTTATGCCGTTGTCAACCATTCGGATGGTTCGATAGAAGAAGCCCATCAGATGACTGACTGTCAGTTGAGGATTTACTCTGAGACAACTGACCTTGTGACTTCTCCGTTGTCATTCATTAGCATCTGGCCATCCTGCTGCCTGACAGCGATAAGGAACTGGTAGATGGACCTGGGCTGTCAGCTAAACACCCCGGACTCAGTCAGCGAACTCACATGGATGCATCGATCGCGACCTTGCGACCGAAGAGCTGAGGTCAGTTGTTGTTCGGACAAGGCGAACTTACAGTCTTCATCTCGTGGTCCTTCATGGCACGCGGCGCGTGCTCCGAGAGCAGACCTGTGAGACCTGCCTGTCAGCTCTACGACCGCCTAGTAGCAGCTTACCTTTGATACCCATGGTGTGCGTTGGGTTCTGGGTGGTGGCGAGTGCGAAGGGAAGGATGGAAAGTCAACAACCAGGCGGCCAGTCAGGTGGAGGAAGGCGCGTCCCGGAAACATGACGCGCTCATGTAGGCTGGCGCGTCATATCGACGCGTGGGTTTGGTTCCGCGGTGGCTGGTTGACTGGAGCTGACGGAGGCGAGTGGCATCTGGGGGTGAAATGTCTCGGACACGCCGAGTCCAGACTGGAGTGAGCGGGCACTAGAGCCTGGCAGCCTGGGCCAGAAGTCGCAAACAGTGAGGAGAGCCAGCAGATCTTGAGACTTGGGTATGCTACGGATGACATACATTCACTTCTGATACATTATCGATTATGCCGTACGGTAAAGTGCTGCTTACCTCTCCCTCTTCCCCGCTCGGCCCATCTTCATGGAAGAGAGAGGGTTAGATGATCGAGGCGTCCCTGCTCTCATCGCAACCCATGTCCTTCCGCGAGAGTCGGGTCGGATACCCACCCGCGCTGTGTATCTATAGCAAACTGCAGATCTCCCACGAGTGCCCGGTACTCTTCCAGAGTGATGAAGTGAATCGGGCTGACTGGGCCGGGGGGCGGGGGTGCGTCCCACTCCCAATCGCTAGGTAGAACAAAGCGGGAGCCGTATTGGCTGTCTGAGACAGGAACACTGGAAACGGGCTGGCCAGCGGGACTGGCAAGATCTTGGGAATCGGGACCATCCATATCAACGTCGAGAGCCAGGGGGTCAGACTCGGCGGTGTGGAAGCTGTCAGCCGTAGAACCTTGGCTACCGGTCTCAGAGTCAGAGTTGCCGGACTCGTCTGAGCTGTCGTCCGTGTCGGAGAACCGCATGTACTTGAAGTCCTTGATCACGATCTCGATCGCTTTCTGTCGCATCCCTTCCTCCGCATTGTGGCCCTCAAGACCCCTGAGCCACACGGGGTGAGCATCGAGGCTGCAGGCGTTGACGACGACGAATGGCTTCATCTCAAACCAGGCGTCCGCTGCCAGCTCTCCGAACGAATTCCAGAGTTCTTCCAAGTACTCAGAGCAGGCGCCGGGGTCGGAGCTCATCAAGAAGATGGCTGTGATGCTTCCGAATGAATCGGGAATTCGGCGATCGAACTTGTCCTCTTCTCCCCAAGTGGTGAGGACAAACCTCTCAACGGTGGTTGGCGGCTTGTTCTTGACGCTGTGAGATGAGGGCCAGTAACACGCAGGACAGCCTCCATGTGCTGCAGCGGCCGAAGCGTAATGCAAGATGCGCACGCCGACAGGATCCCCCTTCCACTCCCAGCAATTGGATACGCGAACGGTTGTGAGCGATGGAAAGGCGTCGTACAGAATGCCAGTCTCATTGACGCGGCGGTTGCCCTCGGGCGGTTCGGAGTCGAGAATTTGGCAGTGCCGGAGTAACTGAGGTGCCTCGCAGATGACTTCCCTTGCGTCAAACGATCGCCCGAACTTGACGTGGAGCTGAGGGTTCTCAACATCCTCCCACGCATACACTGTCGTGTGGTAGAAGAGACGTTTGATGAAGTTTCTCCACTCATGGCACACCTGGCTTATCGCCATGAGGGTCGCTGGCGGGGCGTGCCCGAGCACTATGTCGAGAATGTGCGGGAAGTGCAAACCATCGAGGACCCTTGCAGGGCTTGCTTCGTCAGTCATAGTGTCCCGTTCGCGACTGGACTCACTCTGAGCACCTCATTGCTGAGGAAGATAGAATAAGAGTAAGAGGATTGGAGGGTCGGAAGATGGGACATCAGGAGTATGGGGTCAACGATCGCCTGCGAAGCGTCGGAGCGGAATCAGAGGCGCTTTCCCATTCTCCTCTGCGCCCTCTTCATGCGGACACACTCGCATCTGCGCTTCCGAACATTTTGATGTGGGCACATTGGTATGGACTAGCAATCATGCGATATGCATTGAGTAGCAACCAGCTGGCCCGACTACAGTACTAATAGTACAGTGACGAGTACACTTCACCAGCGGTAGCGGCTCAGGTCGCACTCGTGTCTGTCAGGTCAATGTGCTCAGTCTACTCAGTCATCACAGGCTCCCTCATCCAGCCCCGACAAGTGTCGATGGCGAACTGGTGTTCACCAACAAGAGCGCGATACGCTTCCAGACTGAGGAAGTGCACCGGGCAAACCGGGCCAGGAGGCAGATCCCTCATCGAGCTATCCCACTCCGCTCTGGTAAGGCCAGCCGAATCGGGGGCGTCGGCTTCAGTGGTAGCTTCCACGTCAACGGAGTCACTGGTACCCAGTTCGCGATCCGTCTCTGAGCCCTCGAGGTCGAAGTCGCCGTTGGCCGAGTCAATAGGTTCCTGACTGGCTTCTTCAAACTCCGACAAGCCCATCATGATCTCGTAGTACACGCCTTCCAAGGCCAGCAGTCGTAGCTTCTCCTCTACCTCACATCCGGACAGGTCTCTCAGCCACAACGGGCGGTTGTTGAGGCTCTCTGCGTTGACGACGACCACGGTTCGCTTGATTCGCCAAGTTTCGATGACAGCCCTGCTGAAAGTTTCCCAGAATACCTCGACGTCACCAGGGCACTCCGGGTGAGCTGATTCGAACATGAAGATGATGGCCATCGACTGGAACTTGAACGGCAGGCGGGTGTCGAACATGGCGTCATGGCCCCAAGTCGTGAGCACGAACTTGCCTACGCCCTGGCCGTAGAATGTGTAGGTTTCGCTATGATCGCTGCTCCAGTGACAGCACGGACATGCATTGCCGGGAGTGGGTGGGTGAGCGTGGTGCGTTATGCGGATGCCGCAGAGCAAGCGACTATCATTCCAGTAGTCACTGACTCTCGAGACTGCAAGGAAGGGAACGCGTGGTCCAAAAGGGCAGAAGAGTTGATACAGCGAGCGAACTTGGGTGGTTCAGAGTCGAGGATCCGGCAGTGATAGAGGAGGACCGCAGCCTGATCGAGGAGAGTGGTAGCTTGGAATGTCCGACCTGTTGAAAGGCGGAAGATGGGAACCCTCGGCTTCCGCTCTTCTTCGAAGACCGTTAAGTGATAGAACATGTGCTTGATATGCAGACGCCATTGACTGCACACTTGGCTCACGGCCGCTAAGGTCTCTGGCGGGACGAGATCGAGGACCGCATCAAGAACGTGGGGAAAGTGCAGGCCATCCAGTACTCTTGCAGGACTGTTGTCAGCTGAGAGCATAACGTGATGAAAGCTCGATTATAGAAACACTTACCTAGCGTTCTTCATAACTAGTGATCGTTGAAGAGGATGGTACAATCAATGAGGGTGCGTCCCCAAGTGGAAGTGGGCTACGGTAGATAACCCAGCGGTGATCAGCGGACGTGCCTGCGCCCTCCTCCACGCCCACGTACGCACATGCAAGTACACCTCCAGTTACCTGAAGCTGTTGCAAGTGCAAGTGTACCAAGTTCTTCAGCAGCCATGCATGCATGTCGCTTTTTGAACAAGGCGCCGCCAGAACTCCACATAAATGGCTCGAAATGTCCATAAAATGCGAAATTACGGAGGGAGGATAAACAGCATTACAGAAGTCTACACAACACTTCACATGCTCACATATCCGCGCTCCGTCTCGATTGCAAACTCGTGCTCCCCAATCGAGGAGCGGTACTCTTCAAGAGTCAAGAAGCTGAAGGGAGCGTTCGTAAGGCGGAGCCTCGTGGCGAAGTCTGTCGTCGCTTTGCAGCGTTCGAGGAGGTCGCGGACTGTTTGTCCCGTCCCACGGTGGCTGGGAGGAAGGTACACGCTTTCGGCGTTGACGACAATTACCTTGACGTGGGTGAAATGCGCTGTGCAGAGGATGCTGAGGAGGTATTTCAGACCTTCTGGGATATCGAGCAAAGGGCTTGCGTCGACGGAGCCTGATGAGGGGGTGGGTGCAATAGGCACAGTGTCGTCAGGTCTGAAGAGGAGAACGAGAGATCCGACTGCTTCCCTCCACAGCAGATTGTAGGTGTCCTCCGGCCAGCAGCCTTGCAAGAGCATCACAATCTTCGATCGCCGACGAGGAGAGACTGGGGTGAATTCCAGACGGTGCCCCTGCGGAACGACGACTCGGGGAATGTTGATCGGAAAGTACGACACCTTCGCCCAACAGAAGAGCCGGACAGTGTGGACTTGCGCGAAGACCAGCCATGGATGGATCTCGCCCGCCGGGAGTATTGATGAACTCAGAAGCGCATTGCCCGCCTTGTCCTCGAAGTCTAGGACGCGGCAGTGGCGCATCTGGTAGAGTTTATCTTCGTTTGCCCTCAGCACGACGAACATGATCGAAGGACTCGCTCTGGGACGCAGGACACACTCAACGTTTCCAAACCTCGCAGTGTAGTGGGCCTTGAGATGGTAAAATCTGTCCTTCACCACGCGTCGCCAGTGCTGGCAGACCTGTCCCACTCGAAATACGGTGATAGGCTCCGAAATGTCGATGACAGCGTGGAGGATGTGTGGGAAGTTCGACTCAGTAAGCACCCTGCAAAGTCAGCTTGTTCTAGAACCAAAAGCTTACCTTTGTGCACTCATGGTGAGGGGATGCTGAGAAGAGATACGAGGAAGAGGGAGGTGACACGTTGAGCTCGATAGTGAGTCATCCTTAAACAACCGATCTGCGCAGCAGGATCTTCATCCGCCTTCGCCGACAACTAGAACAGCTAGCTCAAGCAAAGCTGTAGACGTCTCCGTCTGCAACAGCACCAGTGACAACCCAGATGCCAAATGTGCATGTGTTTTGTTACCTACTCAAGCCTCCAACAGTACTGCACATCTGTTCCGAGTAGTTTCATCCCGCATAAGCGGACCGAGCAATGCGATGTGAGACATCGTTATCTGAATGAGAGCCGGACTCATCTACTGGTCGTCTGTGAATGATAGGGGCCGCTCCTCGCCCTCCACTCAAGCATATGCGTGCACATACGTCTTCTACCCTCTCTCATCGCCCCTCCCCGATATCCAAAAAGGGTCCAGGCGCCATCTGTCGACGCCCCCGAACACCAGCTACCCAAGGGCAGACAAGATAAGGTCCGACTGGGAATCGAACCCAGATTACAAGAACGACACCGCAGCTCGTGTTGAGAGACGAGGAGTGAGAATCAGAATCTTGTGTACTAACCGTTATACGATCAGACCTGTCGACGTTGAGAGGGGCGCAGCGCCGGCGAGTGCGGCGCGGGCTCTCGCCGGCTCTGCGCGCTGCTGCGTGCTCAGGAAGACGATACGAAGAAGCCCAATACCATCTGGGAAGGTAGAGCTATCGAGGTTTTGACGGACTGAAGACTGATGTGCCGCATCTAGGAGAGCACGACTGCGCCACCGTGGCTTCCGAAGGAGGTGAGCACAATAGTTGATCGCATGCACGTTCCGGCCCCCCCATGCTCCCTGTCGCTGTCCATACAACACACATGCTCGATTACAGTCATCATTGCAGTCTCGGATGAGAGGAAGAGTTAATCGAGCACCTGCGGGTTGTCGACGTTTGACATGAATCAGGGGAAAGCACTGACAGCAAACTCAAGGGGTGCTAGCCTCAGCTTCGTGTCAAGTTTTAAGCGCCGTTTCACATACCCCACAGATTGCCGAGGCAAGAGCTGACACTGCATGCGGTTGTGGCATCAGCTCACACGCCGTTCAGCATCTCAACTGCAGAGCTACCCCTTCGACGATCGACGAGACCCCGGGAATCAACAACTTTCCAACGATGTTCCACGAGCGCAGGCTCGGGCAGTCAAGGTTCGGAGAGGTTTCACACCGGAACCCAAGTTCTGGCCGAATTCTCCGAACCTGCGCGTGCCCCAGAATCACTGACATCAACGTCGTCCACCAAAATTGTTCTTGGACACGTCCGCGGTCGTTCTGGAGCTGCCTGGGACAGCCAAAAGCGAAAAAGAGAGCCTCGTATGGGGCTCGAACCCATGACTGTGTGATCAATCGGCTCTGAGCGTAAGAGTCACACTATCTACCGACTGATATAACGAGGCGATGCTCGAAAGATGCTTGTTGGAAGACGCAGCCCCCGGCCATGAGCACTCGACACGTCTGCGCAGTCCGGTGAATGAGAAGATAGAGCGTAGCTGGAAAGGCGGTGTCGATTGGTGAGATCGGGTGCGAAGAGGCGGGGTGGTTGGGGAAGGATGACAGGGCAGAAGCACGAATCCAGGAGAGGAAGGCGCTAACCAGCTCATCTTGACAGGGCACCGGTCACTCACCATCGACGCCGAGGTTCCTTACGCCGAGGGCGTATACGTGCGCCTCTGTGACTGCCCAGCTGCCCGATGTTGGCGTTCACGTCTGCCGTTGGACGCATCGAGGAGTGGGAAGGACGGACATTTGTCAGTGCGAAATGAGAACGGGGAAGACAAGTGGGAAGATGTATTGGCGCCGGCCCTGTTGGGAGACGTCGGTAAGCACAGGACGGAGGGTCTGGGACGGAGCGGTGGGCTCGCGGGCCTGCGCGGGACGGAGATGCTGGAATTGAAGGAATCGACCGGAACGACTGTGCTAGCCAGAGGATGGAGCAATGTCGAAGTGTACCAGTGTTGTGTCATGAATGTGGGGCGTAGACGGGAGCTCACGGACCCGCTGGTGCCGCTGCATGCCTGGCACGATTGCACTATGAAACCGACCGTGGTGTGGTCCTTCACGTGTCCAGTCACGTACAGTCACATCCGGCCGCATCCGGGGCGCAGAAGACGCTAAGGCCCAGGCGTGCAAAGGAGGTCTCTGCATGCCGCTGCAACGCACTCGAGCTGCGCACTACCTTGAGTGAGGAAGGGGGACGCGCGACGACGTTCGAGGCCTCGGCGACACACGTAAGAGTGTGCGCACCGCAGAGATCGCGTCATGCATCGCATAGTACCGCCTGCCCGCCTGGCCGCTTGGGCTGTGTCGCCTGTGTGGTGGCTCTGCCCTGGAACAATCAAGCTCGAACGCCGCATGCGTGTCGCGGAGGGTTCGGGCCAGGAAGCAGGAAGCAGCGATGCATGGCTGCAAGGGAACGAGACGGGCTTGAACCTGGAACATGGTACGGGCCGGCAGGAACCAGGCGTGGACTGGCTGGACTGGCTGGACTGGCTGGTCCGGCTGGGTCTGACTGGGTCAAACTGGGTCTGACGGTGCAAGCTCGCGTTCTCTTTGGTCTGCTTGGGTGTGCGACCCCTCCAGGGCCCAGGGATGGCGACGACGATGAATGGAGAATGGTTTCATGCGGGAGCTGGGGTGCTGAATGGACGGGAGCCCAGAGGCCACATAGTAAATTCGCGCCGCCTCATTAGAACGCGGTCTAATCGCTGCACCAGGACCGGCCCCGCTGGCTTAATCCCAACTGATAGCAGTCTGCTATTCCGACTCTTACCCCTTGCAGCAGACACCACTAGCAAAGGCCTTAAGCTCTGAAGCACGACAGGAGTAGGTCGGTCCTTGATCCTGCACAGGAGACACGACCATCGCTGCCGGCCTGCATACTCGCCGTCGCTTCCGCTACACGACGATACCTTCATTTCATTCATCATCTTCGACAACCCTCTCCATCTTTCAACCACCTCTCTCCTCCCATCATCCGCACGATCGCTGCCGACCTCGAGCTCACTTGCCCCGTCGCTTCCGCTTTCTCTCCCTCAGCTTCACCGACACACCACGACTTCTTCCTTGCAAGCGCGACCTTCCCCCGATAGTTTAGCCGTGGACGATGACCGCGTCCAACATCCCGTTCAACGTATCGGAGCACTACAAGGTCCATGAGGTCATTGGCGAGGGAGCGTACGGAGTCGTAGTGTGAGCCGAGGACGCTTCGCGGTGGGACTGACAAGCAGGTCGGCTGTCCACATTGCCTCGGGCACAAAGGTCGCCATCAAGCGTATTACGCCGTTCGACCATGCCATGTTCTGTCAGCGCACTCTGCGCGAGATCAAGCTGCTCAGGCATTTCCGGTGAGCCAGCACTCTATCCGTACCGGCGTCCTAACTTGCCGCCAGTCACGAAAACATCATCGCTATCCTTGACATTATCGCGCCGCCGTCCTACGAGCAGTTCCATGAGGTTTACCTTGTTCAGGTGAGTCTTATTGTTCAAGGTACCGTTATTGTCACGATGGACGACCTCTGGCTTAGCGCCCCGTCATATCGGGCTCGCACTTCTTTTCGCCATTGTTGACTTGGCGTATTCCTTAGAGCAAGGACTGGGAGCTGGAGCTGACAAAACAGGAGCTGATGGAGACTGATCTGTATGTGTCTACGGCAGGCTAACGAGATCAACGCGTCCTGGTATCGCTGACAGCAGGCATCGTGTTATCAGGACGCAGGAGCTCTCTGACGATCACTGCCAGTACTTCCTCTACCAGGTGAGTGTCATCGTCCTGCGCGCCTCTGTCGTCAATGTGCGACCAATTGTCTTGGAAGATTATTCCGCTGTTTCGATCCACGCGCGACCCCAACCTTAAAATGCTGACCAGAGCAGACGATCCGCGGCCTCAAGGCACTCCACTCTGCCAACGTCCTCCACCGCGACCTTAAACCCTCCAACCTTTTGCTGAATGCCAACTGCGACCTGAAGGTGCGTTAATGGCGCTAGCGACGAGAACTACGAAGGGCTGACGACGACAGATCTGTGACTTTGGACTGGCTCGCTCGGCTGCGCTGCCGCCTCCTGACGCCGGACCGAACGGCGGCAATGGCTTCATGACGGAGTACGTCGCGACGCGCTGGTACCGTGCTCCCGAGGTCATGTTGTCGTTCCAGGAATACTCGAAGGCGATTGACGTCTGGAGTGTTGGCTGTATTCTTGCTGAGATGAGTGAGTTTTCTGCGGCGATTTGCAAACTGATACCAGTCAACGGCAAGCCTCTGTTCCCGGGACGAGACTACCACCACCAGCTGTCTCTCATCCTCGAGTGCCTCGGCACGCCGACGATGGACGACTTCAACGAGATCACGTCACCGCGCTCGAAGGACTACCTGCGCGCACTGCCGTTCCACCGCAGGCGGGATCTGCGCGAGATGTGTCCCAAGGCCAAGCCGAATGCGCTCGACCTCATGCGCAAGTGTCTCACGTTCTCGCCGCGGAAACGTATCAGCGTCGAGCAGGCCCTCGAGCACCCCTACCTGGAGCCGTATCACGACCCGTCCGACGAGCCAGCGCGGACCCGCTGCAGCCCGACTTCTTCGACTTTGAGAACCGCCAGTCCCCGCCCAGCCGCGAGACGCTGAAGCGTCTCATCTTCTCCGAGATCCAGCGTCCGCTCGGGGACAACTAGATGGACACTGCATGCCTCGTGACTAACACGGCGGACGCTTCTCGGACCCGCACTGGTCTACACCAACGTGAAGAGAGAGCATCGGAACACGAAGAAAGACAATATATCCTCCGTCATATAAGCAGGTCGCAAGATCAAGAGACGCCCCCTCTCGCACCCCACACTGCCCTAGCCGGATGCTGAACATCGCACCTCGGCCCGACCTGGCGCAGCTTTACCCTATTCCTTGCCATCCTGCTATCTACCCCGCCCCCACCGGCCCCGCCACCCCTTAGCTCTAAAAATACCTATTCCCCCAAACACCAACCCACCTACTTACGCGCGATACTCGGCCGTTGTATGCATACGATACGTTCTTCGCTCAGTTGTCTCTCTCCTGTTACGTCTCAGTTATCCGAAAGAGAGGTGCTCAGAGCACTGTAGAAGTTGGATTGTCATTGGATTGTCACTTAGGTACTAACTCGTAGGATACAACACGGCTAACAAAATGTCTTTCTTTGTCGAATTTTGGGGTGATCGATGTGTTGGATGTGGGCGATGGGCGATGGGCGGGCGACATGGCGACGCGACACAGACACGGGAATAGACAACGGGACACACGGACACGAACACGGACACACGGACACATGTATGGACACAAAACACACTCTCCTCCCTCTCTCTCCTATCTGTTCTCTCTCCCCTCGGGTCTCGCGCAACGGCTTTTCGTCGCTCTCGGCCGCTTCTTCGGCTCAGCAGCGCTCGCGCCGCTCACGCTCGGGTCTCTCTGTCGGATCCTCCTCCTCCTCCTCCTCCTCCTTTGCGGCTCTCAACGGGGCCACCTCATCTCGTACGCGCTCCCCGACGCCTCCCTACTGGGCCCAGCGTCGGCCAGCGTCGGCCAGCGTCGGCCAGCGTCGGCCCCCTACGGGGCCCAGCGTCGGCCAGCGTCGGCCAGCGTCGGCCAGCGTCGGCCAGCGTCGGAGAACGGCCGCAGCGCATCGGGCCCCTAATACGGTCTGCGGCGGTAGCAGTTCTCGCACACGTCTCCGCGCATATTCCCTCCGCAAGCGCGACACCGGGGGAGGGGCAATATGCGCTGCGCCTGTGGGAAGAACGCGGGGCGGACGTATGCGACCTGCGCGTCTCTGCGCGCTTTCGCATTCAGCACGTCGCGCCGGCGCCGGATGAACTCCATGTCCTTCTCGGCCTGGCTCATGCCCCCGTCCTTGTGTGGGGGGAGATCGAGGAAGCCCGGATCCAGACTTGATTGAGACGAGGCCTCGAGCTGCTCCAGCTTGCCACGGATCAGGGCGGCGAAGCGCGCAATGCGTGTGTGCAGGTAGGGTGGGGGCGGGGGCGGGGCTGGGTTCGTCGGCGTGAATGCGAACGGCGTCATGAGACTGATCAACTCCTCGAGGTAGGACTGGAGCTGCGCATGTTAGTACGGTTGTCAGTTATCACGAATGATACTACGTCGCCTAGGAGCGCGCCGCTCACACGAGCGCACGGGTGTGCAGTGTGCAAGCGACGACTCCACACATTCAACGCAAGTGGAATTAAACAATTGCGCACTAGCATTTTGCGCCGTGGCTCATGTGAGAGCGCTCGCTCTCACGCGCTCTCACGGCCCACGGCTACGGCTTGTGGCTCATGGCTCCCACGGGGCCCACCATCGACTCACCTCCTCGACGTCCTTTGCGTGCTTGGCGAGGACATCTGGCCGCATGCCGCTCATGCTGACCTGTGTGGGCTGGAGCTGGAGTCCGGCAGCGCCTTCGAGTCCGCTCGAGAACGGGAAAGGATCGACTGTCAGTCGCCACGCGGCCGCGCCGCTCAGCGTGTCCTCGCTAGGGACGTGGGCGAAGGGCGCGTAGTCGCTCTTCGCGAGGCCGTTCAGGTATGACAACGGGTCGCTGTCGCGCTCGGCCTCATCCTTTCTTTCTGTCGGGGTGGCGTGCGGTTGCTGTAAGGGAGGCGGGGCAGGAGCTGCGCGCGTTTGTTGTGAGTGATTCGCCGCGCTCGAGGACGGTCCCCAGCTGGCGTACTCAGGCTGAGACTGGGAGGGATCGAAGTTCGTCACGTTGACGCCGTACCAGGACTGAATCACAGAGGCGACCTCGGCGAGTGGGCCCTCGGACGATTCCTCGGGCGGCATCCCGAACATTTCCTGCAGATGGTGCATCGGCTGTGGTTGCGGGGCGGACGGGGCTTCGCCGCTGCCTGTCGATCCTGCGTCTTCTGTCGTTGCTGCGCCGCCTGGATTCGTGATGAGGCCGCCGACCATGGGGGGATATCCGTAGGGGAAGAGTGGGAGGGGCTCGCCCTGTATCTGTCCATAAGGCGGAGGGGGGAAGTGCGCGTCGGGCTGGGCAAAGGGGTCGGAGTCGTCGTACGGGTACGCCATGGTGTGCGGCCCAGCGGAGTGCCTGCACGGAGGAGGGGAGGGTGGTGGGTGGATGAGGGATGGGCGGATGGGAAGCAGAGGCGAGTGTCAGAGTAAATGAGAGAGCGAGGGAGGGGTGGGTGTGGTAGTGAGTCGCCAGCAATGGGAGGAGGCTATGTAAGGGCCGCGTCTAGGCCATCAGTGGTCGCTATTTTGACGCCACCTGCCCTCTGTGCTCGTTCCTGTCCGCCGCCGGAGTCATTTTGATCTCGTCCCAATCAGCGCTAGCACCGCCCGAACGCCCTGCGTAAGTGCATGCACCCAGCCAACCCGTCATACCCAACGACAGACCTCCACCCTCTCGATTAATTTCGGGCCACCTCGCATCTCAGCCTCAACCAACACCTATACCCAGACACGAAACGCAGCCCAAAGGGACGCCCCCGACCCCAACAATCGCAATGTTCACGCGGGTCGCGAGTGCGCGCTGCTGTCCGCGGCATGCGCGGTGCATGGCCTCCAAGGCGAAAGCAAAAGCCAAGCCCAATGCGCCAAAGACCAAGATCGCCATCCCGCCCCCACGACTCGATTATGCCCGCCTCCTGTCCGACCCGGAAGCGACCGCTCGCAACGTGCGCGAGCGCGCTATGCCGCTACCCTCTGACGTCGTCGCCGAGCTGGGCCGGCTAAGGGAGCAAGCCCTCAGCCTCGAGACACAGCTGAACCGCACACGGCACGAGCAAGGGCTCGCTTCAGCCTCCCTGCGGGACACGAAGGACAAGGACGGCAAGGCCGCCGCAGTGGCGCGGGCGAGAGAGCTGAAGGAGGCCGTGCAGGCGCTGGAGCGCGAGCATCGGGAGGTGGAGGACACCCTGCTCCGAGTTGCGGGCAGTCTGCCCAACTTTTCGAATCCCGCTGCGCCGATCGGCGCAGAGGAGAACGCAACCACGCTCGAGACCTTTGGCCCCGAACGCCTGCCCGCAAGTCCGCTGCGGGACCACGTCGACGTTGCGGACAGGTTCGGCTGGCTCGACAATGCCGCCAGCGCGATCGCAACGGGCACATCGTGGCCATTCCTCCTCGGCGCATTGGCTCAGCTCGAGCACGCCCTGGTGGGGTATGCGGTGGACATGGCTGCGAGGGAGGGCTTCACGCCCGTGAGTCCGCCGGACGTCGTTGCCGTCGACATTGCGGCACGGTGCGGGTTCCAGCCCCGCGACGGACCGGGGGAGGACGCACCGAGGCAGACGTACACTATCGAGAGCGAGGGGGAGCGCCAGCTCTGCCTCACTGGCACGGCCGAGGTGCCCCTGGCTGCGCTGTGGGCGAATCGGACGCTGGGAGCGGACCAGATGCCCGCCCGCGTCGTTGGCGTTGGCAAGGCGTTCCGTGCCGAGGCCGGAGCGAGGGGGGCAGACACACGCGGCCTCTACCGCGTGCACCAGTTTACGAAGGTGGAGCTGTTCGCCGTGACGACGGCCGAGCAGAGTGAGGGCGTCATGGAGGAGCTGCGCGCGCTGCAGAAGCGCATTATCGAGGGCCTGGGACTCTCTGTCCGGTGAGCTGAGAGCTAGTGATTGAACTGACAGACAGGGTGCTCGACATGCCGACGCAAGAGCTCGGCGCCTCCGCGGCGAGAAAGTACGACATGGAGGCCTGGATGCCCGGACGCGGCAAGTGGGGTGAGATCACGAGCACGTCCAACTGCACAGACTACCAGGCGCGCAGGCTGCATATCCGCTACAAGGACGCGGAGGGGACGCACTTTGCGCACAGTGCCCCGCCTCATTGTCGCTCTGCTTGAGAACGGGGCAAAGATCGAGGACGGAGAGGTCACGGGCGTGCAGCTGCCGAGGGTCCTCGAGAGGTACTGGGTCGGCAACCTGCCGGAACACGTCGAGTGGAAGTGATGCATGCCACGATACACTACTCAACACTGCTCAACTTCGGGGATAGTTCGTTACTAATTTCAGGTGTTTTGTTCAGATTGGTGAGAAGGAAGATAAGAGGAGATGGATGACACTAGCAGGGCTACAATGAGGGCTCGGGGCTAGGAAATCGATGTGCAGGGAAAAGCTCGGACGGAAAAGAAGGGGGTATCAGTCCGTGGGTGCATTCACCTAGTGGTGGCCGTTGTCGGTGTCGACGCCGGCCTGCTGCGCACGGCGACGGGCCGCCGCGGCACGCTCCTGCGCCTGCTGCGCACGGGCCTCGGCCTCCTCGACCTCCTCCTCGAGGCGGATGCGGCCCTCCTGGTTGCGCTGGCGCCGGATGCCGTAGCTAGCAACGACGGCGAGAGGGTGCAGGACAAGGCAGCAGATGAGGGTGATAACCTCACTGGCGGGCTTCGGAAGTCCACTGTCGGGCATGGAGGGGTTGATGCGGGGCGAGCTGAGGAGGAGACACAGCGCGACGTACTCGGACGCGAGGGGCAGGATGCTGCGAGGTCAGTGCGGATCGACACCAAGAAAAACCCACTGTTGATTCGTGGCGGCCTCCCAGATGGCAGTGATGACGTTGACGACGGCGATGGCAATCGTCGACTCCCAGCGGTAGTGCGCCCAGTGCTTCTTGCTCTCGATGACCCAGCCCATGGCGACGGAGCCGACATGCAGCCACGTGAGCTCGAAGAGCATCGCGGTCAGCAGCGCGACGCCGCCGTGGATGAAGATGGCATCGAAGGGGTGCTTCAGGCTCGGCGGGTACTTGGTCAGCGTGATGTGGATGCTGATCACGTTGAGCGTGTTGACAATGACGACGAGGGCGCAGGAGCGGAACAGCTGCAATGTCCAGAGCGCGACTGCGAGCGCAATCAGCCAGTTTGCGATCGCGTAGCGCATGCCCACACCGTGGATCAGCGTCGCCTTGGTCGCATCGGAGCGCGCACAGATCAAAACCAGGCAGAATCCGATCTGCAGGAAGTACACCACAAACCAGTACGCCCCGGTCATTGTATCGTTGGGCGTCAGGAGCGTCGGGTGCTGGTCCGAGATCTCCTTGACACCGGGGTGGATCGCCAGCGTGCATACCATTGCCGTCCCCAGCGACACCAGGACTGTTTCGCACGTCAGCGAGCCATTGCAATTTGTCTCTCATCTCTATCTCGGCCTTGTTTCACGCACCACTGATGGGAATAGCAATCTGGAGGCGCACGAGCTGCATGCTCTTCCTAAATTGCGTCATGGAGATGTACTCCTCCGGCTGCCCACTCTCGACATGGTCGGAGCTGATGGGCGGAGCGTGGTCGGCGGGGTTGCTAGACGGGCTAGCGCTCATTTCGGGCGTGGATGAAAGAGAAGGATGGAGCAACGACGAGCACTGGTAAAGATGTAACGGGAGCCGCTACCGATGGAGCCTGACAGAGCTGTGTGTGGGCCTTGGCTGAGGTGAAGCTCGGCATGCTCGGTCTGCAAACGACTTCTCCTGCCACTACGTCATTGCTTGTCGCGACAATCTCCAGGGCTGTTAGCGCACGGACCACGCGAGTCACACGCGGGTGAAAGTAACGTGACCGGCTGGCTCATGGGCTGTGTGCTCTTGGCTGGGAGGCAGGTTCCAATTTAAGAACGCGCCTTCGAACCCTATGTGATTAAGGGAGCTTATGTGATCACGCATTAGAGCATTCTGTGTTCACCATTAGAAAGAGAAGAGTGGGATTACGACTCGATTGTAAAGGGCATCAGGTTTCCAAGGGGAAAGTGCTTCCGCGTGCCTCGCTTCGATCTGTTGACCAGACTTCTGGTGCGAGAATCCTCTGCCCTTCTGCCTGGGCTGCCTCGGCTGGTACGGGCTGGTCTGCCTGGCTGCTGGCTGCCGGCTAGTTTTTGCTGTGCTTGCAGTGGGAGAGCGCGTCTGGCCGCAGCCCCTGCACCCGCCCCTGGTGCACTGAACCGTATGGCCATATGGGCTGGACCTGCGATTGCCATCCCACCGACTGCGCTTGCAGTGGGCTCCCTGCCTACGGCCTTCCCTGATCCACCCGCGACGATCCACTGCTCTTCTCACCAGCTAGCAACACCCGTTCCTCAATCCTTACGCTCACCACCAATTCTCCATCGCCACTTCTTGCGTTTTCTCCCTCACGACATCCACTCTTCTCTCCCTCCTCGTCGGCCAACCTCTCCTCGACACTACCCTCCCCGACTCTCCCACCCCATCGTATCCTTTTTCCGACCTTCTTCGACTCGCACTCTGGTGTTGCCATCCCCCTAGACGTCCGATCACGCTCGCTTGAAAACTCCACGAAAAGCCCCGACACATCCTTCCAGCCATGCTTCTCAAGACCTTCCTTCCCTTCCTCGCCCTCGCTTCCTTCGTCGCCGCCCAGGACCCCAACGCCGGTGGTGACCAGGGTGCCGTTGAGGGCGGTGACCAGGGCGGTGGTGAGGGTGACACCGGAGGCGACACCGGAGGCGACACTGGCGGCGACACTGGTGGTGACACCGGAGGTGACATGGGCGGTGACACCGGCGAGGACACTGGTGCCGAGCCGTCCCCGAGCCCTAGCCCCTCAGAGGGTGGTGAGGAGGCTGGTCCTACGCCGGCGCCCGAGGGCGACACTGGCGGTGACCCCAACGCTGGTGCCGAAGCTGGTGTTTCCCCCAGCGCTCCCGGAGGCGATGCCGTCCTCAAGCCCGGCCAGCTTGTTAGCATTCAGTGGGGCGACGTAAGCGGAGACTGGACCAACATGACCATCGCCCTCATGACCGGAACTCAGGAGGAGCCGAATGTCGCTACTGTCGTCACTGAGGGCGTCGACGCTACCGCGCAGACCTCGTTCACGTACAACATGCCGGACGTCTACCCGTACTCGAAGGTTTGGTTCTTCCAGTTCTCGAACAACGGAGCCGACAGCTGGCCGCGAGCCTTCACCCCCCGCTTCACTGTCCAGGGCCCGAACGGCGAGCAGATCGACCCTCCTCTGACTGAGACCATTTCCGGTTCGGCCATCGGATACGCTCAGAACGGTTACACCAAGGGCGCCAACGGCGCCACCTCGGCCGTCTCTGTTACCGGCGGCAAGCCGATCGCGACTGGACAGGCGGGCAACGGCGTCACGATCTACACTGCTGGAATCAACACCGGAACCGACCTCCCGGACGGAATCACCGTCACTGGCATCAAGGCCGCGACCGACCACTCCGTCGACCCTTCGAGCGGCAAGCGCAACCTCCCCGCGCTCGGTATGCTCGGCGCCGCCGCCCTTGGCGCCGCCTACGTTATGGCCTAAGCCACTCACGACCCCACCGCATGTCTTCCGCGCGCTCGCCCGCTGAGGACCCCACCCTCCCTCTCGCTATCATCGGACTATCGTCGGTCCTGTTCATACACACATCACATCCCTTTCCATAAGGACTTTATGTTTGCCACGGTTTTACAAATGCACTGATTATTGTTAGGTCACTTTTTCTTCTCCCCTCGCCAGCGCTGTCGTCATTCCAAGCCCGATCGACCGAGGCGTGAGGCCAGTGCGTAGTGGCTCATGGCCAGCCCAGCGGGTTATTTTCAGAGCTGCTGTTGGGTTGGCAAGCACTTCCTCCCGCCCGCCGCCGGCTCACGGCCACAAGCACACCAGGCACCCAACTGCAAGTCTGACAGAACGCAACACTCAAGTGGTCATAACCACTGGGCTGATCATTCAACAGGAGAACGAACATCGATGTGCGTGCCGATCCCCCGTGTTGAGGAAGTTTCAGCAGGCATGTGGCCGGCCGATCCCAATTCGCACGACCAGCAAACAAGGTTTGTCCCCCCGCCTCACCGGCGTTAAGGCGCCTCACAACGTTTGGCAGCCCCGAGGCCAGCTCATTGCAAGCATGTAGTCGCTCGGATCGGAGTGGGACGCAGCGACAGAGGGTCCGGAGGAGCGAGAAGCACGGTCAAGTCCGGTGGACGTGCGAGGCGGTGGGTTTGTGCAATTTGCGCTCTGTGCGCGCCGCCACGCCGTTCGGCCTGTGCACTGGGGCCAGGACAGTGCATCGACGGCCGACGGGCGGGGGAGGATCAGGACGGTGCATGGGAGTGCGGTCCGGCGTGTATGGAATGCCGCTGTGTGGCGAAGCATAACCTGGCGCCGTATTTGGATCGGTGATCGAAGCTCTATCTGCATCTCGAGGATCGAGGAAGGCGGCGTCGGTCTGTGCGCTCGTGTGCTTCCACGATGTTGCTGACAGATGATCAAGATGATTGACAGACTGACAGTGTGACAGACTGACCTACGCAGCAGATCACACGCTGTGCCGTTCCTGGTTCCGACCTGGGTCTGCGACATGAGCGGGGCGCGGGGAAGGACTGATCGTGAGTGCCAAGAGCACGAGGGCGCAAGACTGCGCCCCACGTCGCTGCCACCGCACGTCCGCTGGCAGTGTATCTTCCTTCTTTCGTTCTTTCCTCTCGCTTTCTCTTCAATCCAATGCCGTTGCTACCATCAATCATCGGATCGCGTTCGTTACCTGCCTGAGATTCGACTCTGAGCCAAGCTGCTCCGACTCCATACCCCCGCGCCTTGCATCAGGAATGGAGGAAGACAACTTACCGAAAGTAACTCGATCCCAGCTTTATCCGAGACGGCGACCATCAACCAGGTGCCATCACTGATGAGATCACGAAGAACAGGCTATCGCCCCAAGCTGAGGTGAGCTGTCCAGAACCTGCCAATGAGCTGATGACAGGCTTATTGTGCAATGTTCTTTGCAGACTGACCGACGGTTCACATTGGGGCCTCGTAGCAAGCAGTGGACTGCGATGACCCCTGGTGAGCGAGTCTTCTCATGGTGAGTGTGTAAGGCGACTCCGGATAAGAGAACGCGACTATTTCATTCTGAAGCTGATAGTTTATTAGACTTAGATTTCTACGATTGGTTTTCTTTTCTTCGGACTCAGATCAAGGCGGAGTTTTAAGGACGCTTCAAGCGTTTAGAGAGCAAGAATGCCGAGGGCGAAGCCAGCGACGACGCTGGCAAAGCCGAGCTTTTTGGCGGTGGCCGAGGACTCGTCGCGCTTCACGATAAAGCGCTCGTCGCGGCGGTGCTTGCCGCCCTTGCTGCCTCCGCCGCAAGAAGAGCAGCCGCTGCCGCCCTTGCCGCCACCGCTCTTACCACCCCAGGAGCCACCTCCGTGACCGCCGGACTTGCCGCCCCAGGATCCGCCCTTGTCACCGCCGCTCTTGCCGCCCCACGAGCCACCGCCGTGGCCGCCGCCCTCGGACTTGCCGCCGGACTTGCCACTCCAGCCGCCGCCGGTGTGGGACTCAGACTTGCCGCCCCAAGAGCCCTTGCCGCCGCCTTTGTCTCCCCAGCCGCCTCCGCCGTGAGACTCAGACTTGCCGCCCTTGTCACCCCAGCCGCCTCCGCCGTGGCCCTTGTCGATCACACCACCGCCGCACTTGCCAGTCGAGCAGCCGCCCTTGTCGCCGCCCTGGTGTCCCTTGTCGACGTCGATACCGCCGCAGGTGCCAGTGGTGCAGCCGCCCTTGTCGCCGTGGTTCTTGCCCCCGCCAACAGGGGGCTTGCCAGGGTTGCCGCCGCAGTTGTCACCCCAGCAAGTGCCCTTGTCCTCATCGGTGTCGACACAGCCAGAACAGGCGAAGCGCCAGTCGGGCGTTGTCTCCTTGTTGATGCCCTGCCTCTGGCGGCACTGGGCGCAGGTCTCGCCCTCCTTGCTGCCGAGGTCACCGCCGCCCTCCTGCTTGCCCTTGTCGCCGTGGTCCTTGCCGCAGTTGTCACCCCAGCAAGTACCCTTGTCGTCGTCGGTGTCAATGCAGCCAGCGCAGCCGAAGCGCCAGTCGGGAGTAGTTTCCTTGTCGATGCCCTGCCTCTGGCGGCACTGGGCACAAGTCTCGCCTTCCTTGCTGCCAAGGTCACCACCACCTTCCTGCTTCTGCTTCTCAGCCTCCTGCTTCTGCTTCTCGGCCTCTTGCTTCTGCTTCTCGGCTTCCTGCTGCTGCTGCTGCTGCTGCTGCTGCTGCTGCTGCTGCTGCTGCTGCTGCTGCTGCTGCTGCTGCTGCTGCTGCTGCTGCTGCTGCTGCTGCTGCTGCTGCTGCTGCTGCTGCTGCTGCTGCTGCTGCTGCTGCTGCTGCTGCTGCTGCTGCTGCTGCTGCTGCTGCTGCTGCTGCTGCTGCTGCTGCTGCTGCTGCTGCTGCTGCTGCTGCTGCTGCTGCTGCTGCTGCTGCTGCTGCTGCTGCTGCTGCTGCTGCTGCTGCTGCTGCTGCTGCTGCTGCTGCTGCTGCTGCTGCTGCTGCTGCTGCTGCTGCTGCTGCTGCTGCTGCTGCTGCTGCTGCTGCTGCTGCTGCTGCTGCTGCTGCTGCTGCTGCTCATGTGATCCCCCAACAACAACCCCACGGCTTCCTGCTGCTGCTGCTGCTGCTGCTGCTGCTGCTGCTGCTGCTGCTGCTGCTGCTGCTGCTGCTGCTGCTGCTGCTGCTGCTGCTGCTGCTGCTGCTGCTGCTGCTGCTGCTGCTGCTGCTGCTGCTGCTGCTGCTGCTGCTGCTGCTGCTGCTGCTGCTGCTGCTGCTGCTGCTGCTGCTGCTGCTGCTGCTGCTGCTGCTGCTGCTGCTGCTGCTGCTGCTGCTGCTGCTGCTGCTGCTGCTGCTGCTGCTGCTGCTGCTGCTGCTGCTGCTGCTGCTGCTGCTGCTGCTGCTGCTGCTGCTGCTGCTGCTGCTGCTGCTGCTGCTGCTGCTGCTGCTGCTGCTGCTGCTGCTGCTGCTGCTGCTGCTGCTGCTGCTGCTGCTGCTGCTGCTGCTGCTGCTGCTGCTGCTGCTGCTGCTGCTGCTGCTGCTGCTGCTGCTGCTGCTGCTGCTGCTGCTGCTGCTGCTGCTGCTGCTGCTGCTTTTCGGCCTCCTCCTTCTGCTTCTTCTCGGCCTCCTCCTTGGCCTTCACTTCGGGGATCTTGTCCACACCGAAGGGGCAGCCAGCAGGCTGGCGGTAGCGGTCCTCAACGGATCCGGGAGGGTATCCGACAGCGTTGAGCTGATTGCAGCGGTCGTCCTCGGACTTGTCCTCGCCGTGGCCCTTGCCCTTGTCCTGGTCAGGGTTCTGCCCGGGCTGAGCCTTGCCAGGCGCAGGCTCATTGCGCTGCTTGCAGTAGTCCTCGCAGGCCTTGAGACCCCAGCAGAATTTCCAGTTGTCGTCGAACGACTTGGTGAAATCCCACCAGAGGTGGCGTTTGAAGCCGTTCTCGAAGCCGAGGTCGCATTCAGCGGGGCGCTTGTTGCCGCTGTCGTCCTTCTTGTGCGAGTTTTCCTTGAAGCACTCGAACTGCTTGCAGCACTCGCTCCAGTTGGCGTCGAACGACTTGGAGTAGTCCCAGCTGTAGCTCCAAGAGGTGGACCAGGACGAAGACGACGAAGACGATGAGCCGCCGTTGTTGATGTGCTTGCCGCCCTGAGCGGTCTTGCCGCCATCGCCGCCGTGGCCACCGAAGTCGCCGCCGCGCTTCCAGCCCTTGGCCTCCTGATCCTTCCAGTTGGTGATCTGCGGCTTGACACCCGAGCCGACCTTCGAGCCAGGCTGCTTGGACGGGTCATGGTCCCATTTGCCGACGTTGCCGACGACATTGGGGTCCAGCGAGGTGTCGACCAGCTCACCGTTCTTGATCGCACGAATGTAGTCGTAGATGTCTCCGATAGGGTTGACAAGCCTGATGTCGCTGTCTTCGCCCCAGTTTTTGCTATCGGGCTCGGGAATGTTGAAGCCGTTGTCGACGTCCTTCTGGCGGAGCTCGTCGGTGTACTTCTCGATGCCGTACGGACAACCGGCAGGCTGGCGGTACTTGTCCATCAGGGAGCCGGGAGGGGCGTTGAAGAAGAACACAGAGCTGCATTCCGAGTCACCGCCACGAGCCTGAATGGCGGAATCGGCCGAGATGCCGGAGCGGCGGACCTCCTCAGGCTCAGAGCGAGCCTGAAGGGGCTGAGCGTAGGCATCCTGGGGGATGTCGCGGGCAATCGCGCCCCCGTGGTTGACGTTCGAGATCGCTCCCATGGTTGTCGATTCGTTGTTGCTGTGAGTCGATTGAGAGCTTGAGAAAGTCCCAGCACCTTACCTCCCCAGTTTATATACCTTGCGGAATACTCGTTTCGACCTCGTCCAACACTCTCAACGTCTCACTTCTCCTTGTGCACGATCGTGCCCCGTGACGTACAGATTGAAACTTGGATCATACCTCGCACCACTTCTCGGTCTGTTGTGAGGATGAGCAGGCCGATAGAGTTTCGGGCCAACCTTATCACGGCCTAACCCAGAATCGCGGTGCCAAACGACTCACAGTCTGCGCGGTGTTTGCTCCCGGTACCACCCAGCAACAGCCGACTCCCTGCTGCTCAAGAGATGTGGAGAGGCGATAACCACGACTATCTGGAAGCATGTCGTTTGCCTGTTCCGGGCTTTATCGTGGCTCTGGGTGCTTCGACTCCCGCGTCTCTTGGCAACCTTGACCACATGTGGCGTTCCGGTAAAGGATAAAGGAACGTGTAGAAGCCACGGAAGGCTCCGAGCGTTTCTAGGATCAAACCGACCGCTTAGGTTTGGAAGGCGATGACAGTGTGACGGAGGATGGTCCGTGGCATGTCCGCTGTAAGCTCCCGTGGAGCTCTCGATTGCTTGGCGAACAGACTACCGGAAAGGACCACAGCTTCGGTATCCCGAAGTTTTGGGGCCCAGGACAGCGACGGCGGAGCATCTGGCATTGCGCTGCTGTTGAGGCCGAGGGCATGAGGGTCGCAAACCCGCTATGGAATAGGAGGTTGATCGAGAGATTCTCATGGAGGGCAGGGATCGTGCGGGGCATCGCTCTGACGGGCGCTGAAACTTCGGGCCCTGACGGTTGAGCTTGCAATTAAGAGGTGGAGCCAAAGTCAACCTGGCTACCAACTCGGCAGCAAAACGATGTCGCTTCGATGACCCCAACGACAGGAGACTTCGAACAGAGAGCCGGGCCCAACGGCAAGCCTCCGACGCCTATGAGACACAGACTGTGTCATCTGAAAGGCCAAAGTGGATTACGAGGCGCGTTGGTGGGAAACGCTGCGACCCGTGTTGGGACGGTTACGAGAAGTAACGTGAGCACGGAAGCGTGTGATCGGAAGTGGTCCGCGAGCACAGAACGGGTCCAGGAACTGGGAACGCAAGTCTGACTTTGGGACAATCAGCGCCGCAATTGCTTCGGGGCGCCAAACATCCAGATGACGGCGCTCCATATCTTTCCTCGGCACGGGTACCGCTGCACCGGAGTCCCAACTTACGACAGATGTCCAGGACGGCAACCGGGTAATGTGAAGGCGCAGGGCTCTGTCTGACACGGCACTCCGGTAGCTCTGTCGGACGAGCACGCGTCATAGCAGGAGCGTACGCACGTTGATAGCGCCGGCAATAGAGGACAACTCCAGAGGTCGAAGTTGGGACTCTTGGCACCTCCATCTACCTGACTATGAGGCGGTGAGCGGGACGAAGGGGCAGGAGTGCGTGTACCTGCCGTTGCTGAGACACCGACTTCGGCGTACACGGCGTTCAGCGTTTGTGAATATTGACCGACCCGTTCCGGCGCCGAGAGGATACGCCGCGGCTTCTGCTCAAGCACCAGCCGCCTCAGTTGGCGTGGAGTGTGCATGCGTATACCGTTGTGGGCAGCTGGGAGCATTGGGCGTGACAGCTTCTTCCTGCCGAAGCGCATCGCCTGGTATCAAGATCCAATGGTCTAGAACTCCCGTCGAGGCCCCGGCATGCCCCGCGGCCCGTCGATCCGCCAGGTCCGAAGAGCGCCTTCACAGCTGAGGTGCTGCCCGATCGCCTCTGACATCGCGAAACGCAGAGAGCTCACTCAATGTGGCATATCAAATGCGCCAGCGAAGTAAGTTGCACAGGTGGCAGGATTGGCGTCAACAACATTGGAAAGCGATACATGCGGGACGAGCTAGGGACGTCGATTAAATGGCAGACAACACGGCTATGGAAACTGAACCGAACCTGAACCGAACGTCGCGAGGCTATGGAACTCGCGGAGTTGTGTCGTGTGGCGTTCCTCGGGTTCAACCTCGAGCCAACGGGCCAACTTCGATAATTCTTCTTCGAGGGCGACTGGGACTTGACTAGAAATTGACAACCGAAAGCGCAACGGCGGCCAGGACGCCAGCAACGCCGACCTTGCGAGCAGCAGCGGAGCCCGTGGTCTTCTCGTCCTGCTTTTGCGCATCGGCAGAGGCAGCAGCAGCCTGCGAAGTGGCGGCGGTAGCCTGGGCGAACGTCGACGTTCCCGTACGGTGGAGCGGGTCGACCGCTGTGGCGTCCTCGGGGACAGCTGTGCTCTTCGAGCCAGTGGCATCGATGACCGTCGACGTGCCCGTTCGGTGCAGGGGGTCCTTCGCCGTCGCGTCCTCGGGCACGGTAGTGCTCTTCGATCCGGTGGCCTCGACGTACGTCGAGGTGCCGGTGCGGTGCTGGGGGTCGTAGTGCTTGCCGTCGTTCGGGACGACAGACTCGGTCTTGTCCGCAGCGACTGCCACAGTGGTCCTCGATGGGCACTGCACGGGGCGCTTCGTGACCTGGCCGTCGGGACCCTTGGCCCAGTCAGGCGGGTTCTCCGGGTCGTCGCACTCCCAGTACGTCTCGGGGCCGCCCTCGGCGCTGTCGCCCTTGCTTGCCAAAGACTCGGTCGGCACGGCGGTGGCAGCACTGTCGGCGCTTGCCGCGGAGTCCTGGCGGGGGACCATGTTGATCTGGGCAGCTCCGAACAAGCCCCGGGGCGCAGCGGGCTCATTGCGGGCGACGTTGCCCGAGCCGAAGATAAGAGGGAAGGGGGACATGATGAGTTGATTCGTGTTGTAAGTGTTGTCGTTGCCTTCCATGCGCTGATTCCAGGTGCTTATATATCCCTCTCGACACCGCGACTAGCACCACTTCGGCCTCACTTCGGCTTCGGGGATGAGCGTTTCCATGATGGCGTTTCCGACGCCGAAGTACGAAAGAAGTACGACATGTGCTGCGGTGACTGCCCACCACCCCTAGTCCAACAGACAGCTGCCACCCATGCAGCCAGGCACTGACGTCACTATCCGCCGCTACTGAGCTCCGCAGCAAGTGATGAGCACAGCCCCCTCTCGCAAGTCTTGGCATCCAAGTTTCGCCCAAGGATCGCCCGAGGACGTACAGGAGCATGCCACAATGACAGACCGAGGGGGCAGACCACGTGACGCAATGAATTGCAACGAGCGCGCTAGTCCGCTTTGATAAGTCGGGTTAGAGCCGCTCCGCCGCCGCTGGTCGCCGCTGCCGCTGGATATTGCGTGCTAATGCGTACGGGCTGCGAGTCGGCGTATATCCGGCCCAGGTGTTCTGGCAGAAGAACGAGCTATGGCGATCACCGAACACGATCATGGGCAGGTGACTGCGGAGAACAGTGCGGAATGCGGCGGTAAGCTGTTCGATGCCGACGCGCGAACGAGCCGCAAATGCGACTGCGCGCTAGCACAGCTTCGGTATACCCGGCAAAGGCTTCCACGCCGCTCGCGGAGTGAAGCTGATCCTCGCTCGACAAACTTGGAAACTGCGGAGCAGCCTTCTTCTGCAGACTAATTCCCGTTATGACTCATGCACGGGTTACGCACTACACTAGACGCCTTGGCAGCTGCTTCGGTCGCGAGATACCTCCGGGGTGTGGTTCTGTTATGAACTATTGTAGAACACTCACCAGCCTGGCAGACCGCCCTACGTGCCGTGTCGTACTACATCGTGATGTGCCGTTCTGCCGTTCCATGATCGACAGTGCTGGCTTGGCATTCGGGCGACCTCTCTGGTCCTCCCTCTAGCGGCGCAGTTGCTACTACGAGCTGTGCGGGGCCGTGCCACGATACACGCTGAAACGTCAACGGATGTTCGCCGACTTGCCCGAACCCGCGTCATGGACATTGGCCGCAGTCGCTGATCATGCCACTAGTCCGGGAGAACTGGTTTATCCGCAACTGGCAAGCGGGCAGAGAACGTGTGTGCGGGCAGAACGACAGTCATGGTAGTGGAGTGACAAGAAATCGTAGTTTTGCGAGTTTTGCATGATAGTGACGCCACAGCTGCACAAAGGCACACATGAAGAATGCAAAAACGTATGCTGCCCCACACGGGCTCGAACCGTGGACCTCGGAGTATGTTAAGAATAACAGCTCCACGCGCTAGCCAACTGAGCCATAGGGCATTGCTGGTTGGTTGACCAGTTGCTAGCTTAAGAACAAATTCCCAAAAATCCCGACGTGTGGGTGCTGTCGGTAGCGTTCGGCCTCCTCCTCTTATGCACCAGGCCGCCCGATTGTCCGACGAATCTGTCACATTCTCAGCAGCTTACAGGGAAGTGCATTTGATGTACAATGAGCAAAACCGTGCGACATCTCACACTACTATGTCATAGTGGAAGTCAGTTGAAGAGGCTGATCTCTACTGCTTTTGGAAGACGAGTGGAGCAGCCGCCTCTGAGTACGCGAATCTGAAGCCTCTAGTCTGCTGCGCGGTAATCGTCTCATCAGCTTGCTGTACTGCTACTGCTCCATATCTAGCCTCCTTCTACGTTACAGGATGCCAGGGCTGGTTTGCACCGGTCCCCACCGGGTGACCACCAGAGTCACACTTCTTGCTGCTGATGTGGGTTTGGGCACGAGGCCTGCCGGTCAGCTCAATGCCGATAGGGTCAAGCTCACCCTCGCATGCATCTCTCTGTCTGTTCGTGTATGCAGCCTCGGGGGATATGCAGTCTGTGCGTTAGCTATGAGCGAGTGACTGTTCTGCGAGCTCACTGTGTCCACGGAGCGGGAAGAAGGGCTGCGGCCTGCCCCTCAGTTCGCCCCTGTATCATTGCCGGCGCGAACGCAGACGGCAACTGCCAGCTCGACCCGACGCACAGTGAGCACCTACTGTGTATGTTAGCTATTCTGTTCAGAGACAGTCAGCTCACGCAGCGCTGCCGCTGATGCAACAAGGACCTGAGTTGACAGCAAGTCGAGTGTTAGGACGTCGGACTCCTTTGAATGCTGAGGCTGGATTTTGTCTGCTTGTCAGCTTCCAAGTGGGCGCAAGCTCAGCTCACAGTGCAAAGAGGTCTCACAGGCGTCCGTTTGTGTCAGTTCCCTTCTGTCCTGGAGGCGTGTAGCCGAACCTGGTAGCCACCTAGCGCAAACCAGCAAGCTCGCCCAATGCTTCAGAGGTGCGCAGCACCTGCAAATCAGCTCCGGTTGCCTTGGCAGGAGCTCACATGGACGCCGAACTCCTGTCCGTTAGCTGGCCTGCCTCTGAAGAAAGCTCACGAGAAGCACAGCTCAGATGTCCATGATCTTAGCTACACGGCAGCGGCGTTGGAGCTCACGTGAGGAAAGGTAGTGCAAATCAGCTGGGTGTCAGCTAGGTCTTGGAACTACTAACTCACATCTCAACGGGCTGGCTGACCTTCACGTTCAGCTGATCCGTGTTCCTCAGCTAGCTTGTTCACGGAGCCAGCGCTCAGATCTGGCGGTCAGCTGTGAAGATCTGGCGGTCAGCTGTGAAGGAGGACACCGAGCTCACCTATATGAGCTCACAGAGGTACTGTATGTCAGTTCCGGGCGCTCCGAGAAACTCACATCAAGCCAAGCGGCGTACTGTGGCTCAGCTGCAGTTCCAACAATTCGTCAGCTTACTATCACTTGCCACTTGCGGATTAGCTACTCACTGAAGTCCTTTGTCAGCTCACCCAAAGTCCTCCGTCGCACTTTCTACGCAAGTGTCATGAAGCTATGTGTTGTCGTGGAGTGAGTGTCGTGCAAGTCTCATGGGGAATGCGGTCAAGGAGAATGAGGAAGGCGAGGAAGGAATGGTGACGTGCAGTTGAGATGCTCGTGCGGGGAAGGCTTGCGCCCTCTTCGCCGGCACGCCCCGAGCGCAATTCCTCTCAGGCCTGCGCCCTTGTCGATCCCAAGCCTTCCCGGCGTCCTCACCCCTCATTCAGGTGCGCGCACTGACATACCCAGAACTGCATTCAGTCCTGGCTGTATACGCTTCTCCGTACAGCGGTAGCGGTCAGTCGGCAGTCAGTCTAGCCAGGCATGCTCGTATCTCCTGGCGGCCGGTCAGTACGAAGCCTCTCTTGTCGATGACCGGTCTGCACGAACGAGATCGAGATGAGAGCTGTCCGAGACGGCCGAGACGTCGGTGAAGCTTGGGCTTCTGGTTCCTGGCCGATGGCCGAACCAGGCAAACCTACCACCGATACCACCCCTCTGCGAACCACTTATGGCAGTCCAGCCGTCTCCCAGCCTCGTCGACGAGACATTCCACAACATCCCCCCAAAGACTGCCAGATACCGGACCGGGCATGCTGGGCACCAGACACCTCGCCTCTCGTTCCTCGACACCTGCCTCTAAGGCCGTGGGACGGAATGGGCACGAGATGAAGGCACTACTTCGAAGCGTCGCGGCGCGAGGCAAAGCAAGGCAAACTTGACTCTGTACCCATCTTCCAGCACAACGGTACGCAGCATCGCGCTTGGGTCCACGTAGGACCGAGACGGGACCGCTATTCTGGAACAATACTGTGGCTCGGTCATGCAAGGTGTGGAAGCGCGAAACGACCGAGTGGAAAGAGTCGCCCTTCTGTTGGCTGGGCGAGGTGCGAAGTGCGACGCTGCGGTGCACGGCCGTCGCGCTGTCGTGGTGGTCTCACGATCCTGCGTCGCGGTGAATCGTGGCCTGACCCGAGTCATCACCAGCTGACTCATGCATGGACTGGAGTGTGGGAGCCAAGCCTGGTCTCTGAGACTCGCAACGTCCTCACGTCCTCGGTGCGTAGTCAAGTGACGCCTCGCCCGTGGCAGGCTTAGCTTCCGAAACCATCTTCCACCGTCCTCTTATCCTCTCCAGACCCTCATACCCCCCCGCACCTCTTCTACACTGTGATCATCTTTTTGTCAGCTGGAAGAACTTAGGAGGCAGCATTGCAGACACCGGTCCCAAGTGCGGCGTGTGAGAAAGGCAGAAACATGAAACGAGGTCAAGACTGATCTGAGCAAGGGTTGGCTCAAGGTTGGCCCCGAAACTTCCCTTCTCTCCCTTCTCTCCTCTGTCGTGAACTCTGACACACACTTCAAGCTCACAACTTCCGTGCCTGGTCTCGGACACCTTCCACTGAACTTTGTCCTTTGTCCTCTCTTTGCTGGACAACGGTGGGCGACGAGATGGTAGACGACGGCGTCATGCATGAGAAGTGGATGACGGGGTGGATACTGCTTCCACGACTCTGGACTGGTACCCATGTCCTGGTCCACTGTGATGACTGTGGCTGATGTCATCCTACTCAGTTGACATGGCCAGCCCGTTGACGTGAGACATGAGACTGTGCCTGCTTCAGCTATTCTAAGGGACACCAAGCCAGACGCCCATCCAGTCACAAGAGACCCGATGCATTCGCAGAAACACTAGATTACACGAAAAGAGAAGAGAAGATACACAACAATTAAGGAGAGACCAAATGTACTTTGTAGTGGGCACGAGGGGGTGGTATGTAGATTGCGGCATGAGATGGGTGGGAACTAAGATGAGTGCTAACGAAACTTAGACGCTGAGGACCTGCGGCCTCGTGTCGATCTTGGGGAGGAGGGCGTCGTCGCCAGTGATGTTGAAGAGGCAGGGCGAGTCCGTGTTGCCCTCGTTGACGAGGGTGGGGCGGGCATAGGTCGGCGTCGTGGCGCCAGACGGGATGCGGGTCGCGGAGAGCGGCGTGCGCGGCGTCGGGGGCACATCGACGTGCAGGTCCTGCTTCGAGCGGAAGGCGCCGGCGAGACGGCCGAGGAAGGACGAAGCACGGCGCTTCGGCGCCTTCACGGCGAGGTGCGAGGGGATGTATGGCGCAGGCGTGGGCTCCGGAGCGACGGGTTCGTTCTTGGTGCTCCGGCCCCAGGTGCTGCTGCGGCCGATGGAGCCGCTGCTGACGGAAGCGAGCAGGGACGGACGGCGCTTCACGCCCTCCGGGGTGGTGACCTCGGGCAGGGCGGGGACGGGCGGGACAGAGTCGTCGAGCGTCTCGACGGTCTCGGGACCGGCAAAGGTGGCGGTGTGCTGCTGGGAAGGCGAGCCCTGGACGCTCGGGGCAGCAGACGAGATCGAGCCCTTGCTAGCGTGCGAGCGGATGGAGGGCTGCGACTTGTGCGAGCGGATCGATGGCTGCGACTTGTGCGACCGCAGCGAGTGGAAGCTCTTGTTCGAGCGGGAGCTGCGGCGGCTCGGCGGGCGCGAGAGAGGCGGGACGGGAGCGGCAAAGTCGATGAGCAGGCCCTGCGACGTCGTCATCGACGTCGGCGTCTGGTGACCGACCCACGACCACTCCTCACCGCGCACCCATCCAGGGGCATTGTCAAAGGCCGCAGTCTCCTCCTCGTCGCGCTCCATGTGCACGCGGTGGTGGGCGAAGCGAGTCGGCGTCTTCTCAGCCTTGACCTTGCGCACAAACTTGATGCGGCGCGAGTGGTAGCGCTGCGAGCGGTGCGGGTGGAACGAGTCGAGGAGCATCTGCGACAGCTCCTCGTGACGGTAGTTGACGAGCGGGACGTGCAGGTTCGACTCGTAGCGTCCGCGCTTGTTCTCGCAGAAGCGCTCGACAAGCGTCGTAGCGCGGCTAGGAGTGTTGGTCGCAAACTTGGTCCAGGGCGCAGAGGGGAACTCGAGTGATCCATAGGCCGAAGCCGGGGCAGCAGCAACGTTGCGGAGGAACTTGAGGATCGCAGCCTCCGACTCGGCAGCCGGCTGGTCGCGGCCAGAGACGACAACGTCGACGAGGCCAAGCTCGCGAGCGCGCGCGGCGGACAGCGGGAGCATGTCCTTGACGAGGTGGGTCGCGATGGAGCGGCCGCAGCGCTCGACGTACGAGTACAGGTGGAATTCGGAGCCGTGCAGGCCCATGGCGCGGTAGGCGGGGTTGAGGACGACAGAGCCAGCCGACACAACAACGTCACAAGCAGCGGCAAGCGCGACTCCACCGGCGGCAGCGTTGCCGCGGAGGCACGCGACCGTGAGGATGCCACGCTCAGTGAGCGATGGGCGGTTGCCCAGGAACTCAGAGCGAGGCGCACTCGTGACGTCGCCAGCGAGGACCTCGACGACATCGTCGATGGCGTTGATGTTGGCCCAGGTCTCGCGGCCTGGGTGGTCGGCCGACTCGATAATGTTAAGCGCGACACCGTTGGAGAAGTAGCCACCGCCCATGAGGGCGAGAATCTTGACGTTGCCGCGGGCCGGGTCGGTCGCCCACATGAGCGCCTCCACGAGGTAGTCGCAGCCGGTCGTGGAGAAGGCACCGTTGTAAAAGTCCCAGTACACGAGCTGGATCAGCGCGTCGCCCTCTGTCACGGTCCGGACAAACACCTGCTGCCAGGTACCAGGCACCTCAGTAAAGTCCGTTACCGCCCATTCGGGAACGCCGTCAAGGCGAGCACCCTCGCCCGCGGCACGAAGAGCGTCAGCCATGGGAACCTTGGCGCTGAGGGCACTCTCTGGGGTGGGCTTGGGGAGACGACCGTGCGTGAGCCACACAGCGATGCCGCAGCCGTGCGAGCACATGGGGCCGTGCCCACATGGCGCCGTCTTGAAGAGGACCGCACCCTGACGCGTGGCGAGAGCCGTGCCCGCGGGGACCTCATCGAAGGACCTGAAGCCACGGGTCTGGACGAGGTTCTTGGGGAGCGTAGCAACGCTCATGTGGATGTGGGCGTCATAGACGAACATGAACGAGCGTGTCGTCTTGATCGTGCCACCCGGCTGCGAGTCGCCGCAGTTGATGAGTCGCGAGACGTCAGCCGCCGTGTGCCTGGTGAGGTCCGGGCGACGCTGGCCAGGCCGGATCTGGGGCCTCGCGTTGAGCGGCCCGCCCAAGAACGACTGGCCGTTCGAGACACACTCTTTCGAGTAACGGGGGTCTGGGCGCACGGCAACGCGCTGTCCACGGTGAGACGGGTCGGAAAGACCGGCGTACGCCTTCGAGATGCGGCAAAGTGCGACATGGACTGCGCGCAGGGCGGCAGCAGTGATCGGGCCCTGGTAGATGTTCGACTTGGTCACCGTAGAGATGTCCGGAAGGGGGAACTGGTCCCAAGCCCAGACGGGACCACCGTCAAAGGTGTGGTCAGCCTGGAGGACGGTGAGTCCCCAGTGCGTCCGCTGGCGCTGGTCGAGGGGGAGTGCACGATCGATGGGCAGCGCCATTTCAGCGAGTGCAGCCGCCGAGTCGGGCTCGAAACCCCGGTCGCCCATGATGGCCCAGTCGATGGCAGCGGGACCGGCATCGCCCGGCGGACCAGGGTGGACGATGAGGGTGACAATCTGAAAGGCGTTAGCACCGATTGCGGTAGAAGAATTCCAGGACACCGAAAATGGGATCTGTCTGGGTGACCGACCAGGGACACGCGACATTGCTGCGCCATGGCTTATGCATATGACACGAGAGGCGTCTTGAGCACCATAAACCCTTCCAGGAATGCGCCATGAGTGGGCACACGCTCGGAGTCGGGCCGTAGATGGGCGTGCACGCGGCATGTGGGGACTCGGGGTGGGTTACTCACGTTGCTGTAGACGACGTCCGGGACCTTCTTGGTGAGGAACGGGCAGATGATAACGTGAGGCGAATGCGCGAGCACGGCGGAGACCATGGTCTCGTCGGAGAGGGCGAGCTCGGTGGAGACCCTGGTGCAGCCCATGTCGGCGAGGTAGGTCTGCATGCGCTGCGTGAGCGAGTTGACGGCGGACACGAGCAGGAGAATACGCCACTTGCGGACGTCGCTCGGGAGCGGGTCCAGATTGGCGAGCATCTTCAATGAGCTGCTCATGGTGAGGAAGACGAGTTCGTCGTGTGAGGGGGGAAGTCTAGGTGGAAAGGAGCGTGGTCGCGTCGTTTTGACGGTCGCTGGCGAGTTTGCGATATGCGTTGGGACGATCGATCACTGGGTGGGTCAGGCGACGTTGTTGATCTGATCTGCTGGGTGGTGCGTGCTCGAGATCGCAGCGATGAGAAGGCAGAGGGAGCCGACTCTGCGTGTCGAGTGTTGCTCGTGTATGAAGCGGCAGTCAAGACGAGGAAGAAGCTGTGGGCAAACAGTCAGAGTCAGATATATGCAGAGAGGAAAGAGAGGGGGAGGAAGCGCGCGCGCCATCGAAAGCGAGACCCGGGGAGGTGGAACAGCGATCGCGAGGGCAAGGCATTGAAAGAATGTGCGCAGTGTACGGCAGCGGTATACGGCAGAGGCGTTGAGGGGTCGAGGCCCCTGCGCCTGAGAGAGGACGAGGGCCGAGGGGGTCGAGAATGAGACTAGCGATTCCGAACAAGGCATGGGTAGCGTGGTCAAGGGCCCAGAGAACGTCAGGACGGACAGAAGCCGGGTGCATTGCTCTGCTCTGCAGACGGTGGCGGCGAACGGGTTCGCGGAGGGTGCGGAGGGCGGCATTGATCGGGACCATGCCCAGGAGCACCCAGGAGCACCCAGGAGCACCCAGGAGCAAAGACAAGGAAGACAGGGCTGCAAACCCTGGGACGGCCGGGCGCAGCGACCCAAGCGGTGGGTACGCCTTACGTATTGATGGCCAATTTACAGTCACCACCCGGGTCCCATTCAAGGTCAGACATCCCAAGTTCAAAGGCCTTGTTCGTCTCGTTCAATGCTCCCGACCGGCTCCAACCCCAGCGAGCAACGGTAAAAAGCATGGAACCTCTCAATGCAAGCGAGGGACACAGAGGGATCGCGAACGATCATGTCCTGTGCCGCAGATACCGCACCCTCCGTACCGGTGTGCCCGTGCGTGATTCATTGCCATGCACAAAGTCAATGCAAAATGGCGTTAAGGCGCGTCGCCCATTCCGCCCTCTCGTCACTCTTTGTGGGTGCACCACCGGGCTCCGTCCTCTGCTCTCGGCGTCGCGTGCAAGTGCACGCGGCTGCATAGGAGCATGCAGAGCACAGACGCCGGGTCTATACTTGGCACGGACCGAACAACCCGATCTGGTAGACCGAGCACTAGGTAGACGCTGGGACCTCGACGCGATGCGCGAGAACGAACATCCACTAGCTCGCGTGCGGGATCGAGATCACCGATCGCAAATCCCTAGGCTCTCGCAAGCTCTACGGGTGCTGCGGGCTCTGGCGACATTGCAAGCGGAGGGGGCAGGGGCGCGCCGAAAGCCTTAGTTGCACACCACGCATGCGCTGAATCGCACTACGCACCTCGCGCATACCCAAAGCCGGCACACAGCAGTACATGACTCATCGCAAGGATGCGCGAGGCCCGCGAGGTACGGGCGGCGGACAGCCTCGGCTGCGCGGCTCGTGCATCTCGCGCTTATCTCAGACAAAGGCCCGCGTTGTGCGAACATGGGTTAAGAGACGGAGAGATCTAGAGAGAGAATGGAGGCAACTGGCGGCGCACGCCACATCGGCCGACACTTTGCACTGGCGCAGCACGCATTGGGCACACCGATAGTGGTCCGCGCTATGCTTTGTGCGCTTGTGCGGCCGCCGTGTGTATGAGACTATGTATGACGGGTGGGACTGCAACTCACCAGACAATGAGGCGGGAAGCTTGTTTCCCGATTCGATCACTCGCAAGTGTCTCGGCTTAGATATCTGTGGCGAAGTTGTGGTGGGTTGTGGTTTTTGCGGTTCAGAAGTTGTGGTGTGAGACAACGACTGAACTGGTGGTACACCGGTCGTGTGTGTGGGGTAGACACCAGGAGAGGTTATGGGTGGGGAAGACGTCGTGAGCTGAACCGCTTAAAGAAGGGCGGAACAGTCGTAGGGAACGTGTGGGCAGAAGCAGTGGGCAGAACGTGTGGAAGGGTTGGAAGGGTTGGAAGGTCTGGAACACAGTGTGCGGCTGGCGAATACCGAGCGGGCCACTTAGTGCGGGGAGATGAGGTAAGGTGGTCGTCGAGGGTGCGGTAAGCGGTAGATAGGACCGTTAGAGCGCGGGTGGACGACGGATAGGGTGCGGGGGTGTAAGAGACGTTTGAGAATGCGACAGGTCTTGTTTTATATCGTCCGTCTTCCACTACTGCGGTTCGGCATGTGTTTCTCTGTGCAGAGCAGAGCGCAGAGCGCAGGCGATCCAAAGCAGAAGCGTACGCCGCTTCAGCATGCGGCTAATCCCTACTGCGGCCTGCGGCTCGGAGGGGTTTCGAGATCTGCCTAGCTGGTGCATCCGGCTCTTCCGGCCGGGGGAAGGCCCCTTCCGGACAAGGACGGGCGACTTTGGGGCTCATGACCGATACAGGAGTCCCGATGTACGGTATGTTCGCGCAACGGCTTTCGCTCTCATGACGAACTGCGGGGCTCTGGGAGCAGCGGGCTCTGCGTTTGAGAATGAACCTGTTGTGCCTTCTTCCTGCTGTCCGTCGTCCTTTTCGTCAGACCAGGGACGCAGAGGGACAGCAGATTCTAAGGGTTGCAGAGCCTGCATCGAGCTTGTGCACTTTCTGGTCCGGCTCTCTAGCGTCAAGCTCACGTTGGGCGCATCTGGGTTCGTTGGGACGAGCTTCCCGACCCCGTACCCCGTGTGCTCCTTTCGCTCCTCTTCCTCGTCTTCCACCTCGTCCTCGTCGATGATACGACGTACCTCGCCGAGTCTGCAAGGTACGGGGGTGGTGAGGCACGCACCCGTACACCCGTCCTCCTTCTTCAGGACATCCGTACGAACGTAAGCAAGTCATTGAAAGCTCCAACAGCCTTCGAGGGATGCTCAAGGACATCTTCAAGGCACTGACAGGCACCCTCCACGATGATTGTCCGGAGCATTTGGGTTTAGGATTCGAAGTCGAAGCTTGTTCGCAGACCTCGAAGCTTAGATAAACCTGATACCAGAGCACTGACGTACGTCCGTGTTCGCGGCATTCGCGGCACCCTTCCGTAATCCTTACGGACGCCGTTTCGGTTACAACCTTTATTTTTCCTTGCTTCCCCTGCCGTCAGACTGCAATTTTTGCGTCCTCGCCTCATCCTTTTGCTCATCCTGGCATGCCATGCCGCGTAAGAGTGCGTGCCAGCACGAGTTGGTTGTTTGTCCACTCAGAAAGCGTGAAACATATCTGTTTCGTGACTGGACGAAGTGACAAGAATGCATCCTGACGAGGCCGGCGCTGACATCACGACGACCTCGGACGCATCCTTATCCTCTTCTTGGGGTTGCGAGCATCCTGCAACGTCCTGGGGTGCTTGCGTGAAGGTCCTCGGGCATAGTTTGTCTCGCCTCTGCATGCTTACGTGCTTACGGCAATGGCGAATCGGCGCAATGTTCTCGCCAGCGTCGCGGGCGCCGATTTGACCTCGATATTTGCAGCGTTCGAGACCCCACGGTTCTGTGACTTCTGCAGAGACCCGCATAATTACATGGTTGCGGAGCGGGCTGCGAGACGCTGTCCCGGTATCGAACAGCACGCGAATAGTGCCCCGCTGCCCGTCGGAGTGGGGGGTGGGCTAGCTCGTGCACGCCGCATGGCCTTCCGGAGCAATGGATCTGCGTGTGGGTGATTCCAGCGTCGCCGGAGCCATCATGTGATGAGCTGGGAGCGGTGGGTGTGTCCCCGTGGTGGGCGATCCGATCCCACTGCGGCAGTGGGCAAACGTTCTCCCTCCATGACACTAGGCTCCAGCACGCAGCGACGCCCGCACCCACTACCCCTTTGCAGACGCAAGCACCTGCACAGCCCCCTCCAGCCATATGTCTGTCTGTGCACCGCGTGCAGATCTTTCAGAGGAGTACGCATTCCTCTGAAGCGGCCTCGACATGTCCGCAATGGGCGATAACGAGCCAGGAGGCCAACCTCGGACATGCGCTTAGCGGGAATAGAGTTCAGCGAGCAAGGGCATACAAAGGGCGCGCGATGGCTTTTCGCCAGTGAGCTCTTCGAATCCTTCCTTCCATTACATAACTTCCGTACTGCCCCCTTGCACACCCTGAGGGCTGAGAGAGCTTTGAGAGACTTTGGCTAGTGCTGAGCTAGCTGTGGGCGGGTTGGGGGCCCTCCCCTCGGGTGTGATTTCTGATGCAGGAGGAAGTGCACGCAGCGCACGCCGCACGTTTCACGAGCGACTTGGCGGCAAACCTCACTCCCACGCTTTGGCAGATTCCAGCGATGGCACCACATTGGCCACTCGGACCTGGCGAGGGGCTAGCCTGAGGGCTAAGCCTGACAGCTGACACCGGCGTGCTCGTCGTACTCCCCTCCTTGCTCGTCGGTCAGCGGGTCTTGAGGGGCGTGGAGGGGTTTACTGGCGATTTGGTTCGGCGGTCCAACTGAACAATTCATTCTGAAGCAGTCGGGCGAGGTCCGCAAGGCCCCGGCACTCGGTACCCCGCGGCTCCTTAACCCAAGTCTTGCTGTAGCAGGCGTGGCAGGCACTCGGGGCTCGGCGTAAGATCAGGTGGACAACAATTGATACCAAGGACGTATCCGCCGATGCATGTGCTCACTCTAGGAGGATACCAAGTGCGCCGATAGTGGGCTTCACCTGGCAGACTCGAGGATACCGGGGGAACCGCAAGGAGAAGGGGAGCAGCGCGGAGAAATAAGCACACGAGCACGGGGTTCGGGTCTCCGTGGTGCGACGGTCGGAAGTATGAGATCGACATGAATGCTCCCAGGAAGCCGCGCAAACCTTGTTGCAACGCCAACCGGTCACCTCCACTCGTTCTCGCTTCCTGACCAAGTTGCAAACCAGGGCGGATGTCAGCATACCTGAGGGAGACCTCAGCTTCGCTGTGGATGCTCGTCCCGCAAGCAGGAGCAATTGCAGGTCCCATTCTGGGGCATTTGGTAAGCCGCTGCGCTCTTGAGCGGGGAGGATTTCTGCACCTCGTTAGAAGACGAGAAGACTTCCTAGCCGCCTAGACAGTCGGCACCTTCCGACCACTGCACCGCTCCCGCCCCAAATCGTATCGACCGCCAGTCCAGGCTTGCTGTTATTGTCACCCGTCACGTACACATTGGTCACGATACGAGCCGCTGCCGAGAGTGCACTGGCTCGTGTGATGTAGTGTCAAGGCGTTGAAGGGATCGACGTGCCCGTGCTCGGTGCTCCGTGGTGTCAGCCTCGCAAGCACGCCTCAAACTCCAACCGCTGCCGTCAGCCCGGAAAACGCCACCCCGCACAAACCTGCCCCCCCTCATGTCCTGCACATCTTGGACACCCTGCAGCCTCGTCTGCCCCGCACCCACCAGGGACCTTGTTGTGCCTGCTCCTCAGTGCGGACGCATCTCCCCGCAGGCACAAGGGAGGCACGGCTTGAACTACTAACAGCATTGAAGTGCGCTTGGACGCGATGTATTCAGTAGGCATTGGCATGTCACCTTCATGCTATGCCCCTGCCTAACGCCCTTCCTTGCTCTTTCACCTCCGTCACGGTCCGGAAGGAGTAAATGTCGAGCACACCACCGAGAATGTGACGAGTCACGCCGACGGACGAGGCTGATCCGAGGCCTCGTGACCTCAGTCCCAGACAGATGGTCCGGCATGATATGTGATGCAAGCATCAATTAAGGACAGGGGACGGCTATTGCATGGCGTTCCAGCAGGCTGTATCGCAAGACATGCTTGAGACATGCTAGGACTTGGTGGCCGCCACGCGACGCACATCCATAGCGCGGATGACAGCGGAGCGCGTTCGCTGTGTGCGTTCAGCAAATCACCCGCCGCAAACGCTGCCAGGAGACAGCCAGCAAGCTCTTAGATTCAAGACATTGTCTGCCGAGAACACGCACAAACACGTAAGATCCGCACACCGGGTCTGGCAGCTGCAGCCAATGCGGCCGTCGCTGTGTATCTTGCGACGAGTTCGCGGCCTCGCGAGACCTTCTCGGGGATGAACACACCCTCTCTTTACGCGAGCCTGACGCTCGCGTACTCTCGCACGCGTGCACTCGGCCGGGCCAACCCTTAACGCACCCGCCGGACGCAAACGATGTCAGACTGTACGGCATTGCTGTCTCTCGTTTGCCTGGCCGGAAGGAATGTGCGCTCGCCCTACGTACTGGTTGGCCATGCAGCGACACGGCATCGACATTCGAGGGCAGCCTTCCATCAGGGCCCCGGCAGGTTTGCGTACGCCACCTGCAGGGTATCAACCCGGACAGGGTTTCGGCAAGGGCACGAAATGGGGGCCGTAGGGACCGGGAAGCTCTTTCGCTCTCTGCCAGGAGTCCGGAGGGGCCGACGTGCATGTCTGCCTGCTGCAAGATATATCGCTTTTGGGTTGTGCCTATGGTACACTTGCATGCATGATGGAGGTTGGCCTCACTCCGCCATCCCCAGACTAGAGAGCGCAACCGCTCATCGGTGATCTGCAGATCGTTTACACATCGGCACTGCGGAGTTGCTGCCGCTGCCTTGTTGCAGCCTGCCCAGGACGGGCAATTCTATTCACTATCGCTGCTGTCAACCTGGACATGCCGTTAGCGACATTCCAGACCGCCCCGGTTCATCCGGCCTGGGCCCACGAAGTCCAGAAAAGTTACTCACCAGTTTGCGACCGGTTGCGCGCGGAGCTTTTGCGAAGCTACACAGGTCAGCGGCTTTCAATGCGGAGTTTAGCGATGGAAGAGTGAAGCTGTGCTCTCTGCGGCATGGCTGGGCAGAGAGCCAGGGTGAGGATTTAGCGTCTTCTACTGCCAGAAGGCCAGCGCGAGGATTGATCTCTCGAATGCTTCGAGAGCAACTTTCATCGACCACTCACCTCAATTGAGTCTGAGTGCCCCCGCTGGCGGCATTGCTGCGGCCGCGGCCACGGGCGCTACCTCGGGCAGTCGGAGCAGCCGCCCTCCTGGAAGTTGAAGGAGCAGGCGTTGCCCTGGAAGAGGAGGATGATGCAGCCTTGGTCGTCTTTGTCTGCCCAGCTCGAGTGGCACCCCGCTTGCGAGGTGCGGGGTCCGGTGAGGACTCAACCAGCTCTACCGAGTTGTCGGACGCTTGGTCTGACGACTCCGAACCCTTGTCAAACTAATTGCAAAGTTAGCATAAGTTCAACTTGAAACGCGAAAAGCAGGCTGCAATGGGGGGACTGCGGACGTGATGTTTCGTTGTGCCAAAGCATGAGAAAGGCACAACGAGGGTGCGTACGTACCAGAGGCTGCTTCTTGGCGGTTCTCGTTGACCGCGCGGCCGAAGTTGTCGTTCGTTTGGAAGAAGCTCGCTTGGGTGGCTCTTCGACTTCATCTTCTTCCATCCTGATGAGATCATGTCAGCATCCTTAACGCCGTTAAGATCATCGGCAACAGCAACCTGCCGTTATGCTTACATGCTGTCGTACGCTGAATTGAGTGTCAGTTACTCATTCCTGGTGATGCACATGCTTTCACCCACCCATGCTATCCTGGTCCGAGTCCTGGGTGCGCTTATTGGCTCGGCCCTAAGAAGATCAGCTCCACCTTAAACTTTAATGTAACCCCATGTCCGTCTGGTCGTTGTGACCAAATTGGGCTGTCTTCCGACGAGAGAGAGCTCACCTTTCCTTTGGTCCGTGTCTCCGCCGGATCGTGGTCCGCCCACTGCGCGACAGCTCTGTGGAGATCAATCACTGATAGCATCAACCTCTCTCGTAAGAATAGAGAGTTCGAGCTTGCGGTGGTCCGCTTGCCTATGCCACTTACGCTTCTTTCGCTCGACTCAGCTGAGACATGGTGTCAGTATAGGGTTTCTGGGACGTTCCCAAGAACGACTCACATGTTCCTCCAGGTCCTCTTCGTTATGAACAGCCCTCTTGCGCATGTCTTTACCCAACCCCTTCAGTGCGTCCTGATAGAAGCTAACCTGTCAGATCTCTTGCTCGATTAAACTACTAACTCTTTGATGGCGTCCTTGTCTTCCTTGTCGACAAAGCGCATGACGGCATTCTCCAAGCCGTTCTCGGCGAGGACTTGGAGTTCTTGAGCCTTCAGATACCCTTTCACCAAGCTCGACATCTCCAGTTTTGCCAATCGATCACGAACAGTCATAGGCTCTTCTCCATCGACGCCCTCTTCTCCCTCCCACTCCATGTCAAACTCGGGCATGTCCGGCTTGTTGGCCGATTCTGCTGTCAGCTTTCGTGTGTGGGTGTACTGAAAACGCACTGCGGTCTCCCATCTGCTTCTTGCGGTAGTACTGCAGAATGTCGCGCGGGTTTGCGACACAGCCAATGTAGTCTTGTCCAAAGCGGACCGGGTTCGTCATTTCCTTAGCCCCAGTGGTCTCGACCTTAAGACGAATGAGAGGCAGCATCATTTGCTCCGTGTCGGGATCATGAGTCTCTTCCCATTTAACCTGGGCACGCGTGACAAGCTCGTCAACCTGACTTCAGCTCTCTGGCCGGGTTTCGACTCACCTTCTCCCGGAGATACGCCGTGATCGTATCCTTATCTTCCAGGTCGATGGGCGCCTCGTCCGACGCAGCAACCTCCGCCAGATGCACTTCCTCGTGTTCAAACGGGCGCACCGTCTTGAGTGGGATCTGCTCGATCTGGAACTTGTCCCCTTGGATAGAGAGCACTCCAACGTGCCTGGTATCAGATCCACCATCTTTTGGAAACTCACTTTGGTAGTGCTTCGCCTGGGGCAAGGCTCGTGGCGACTGAGCTTCCGGGTTGAGTGATGTAGTAAGGCTTGCCCTCGACCTTCTCAGGCCAAATGCGACAGTCGTGCTCGTGGCCCCAGACGACGAGATTGATAGAATCATCGAACATGCCTTCGGGAACGTTCGACTGGACGCCGTGCTTAACACGGTTTTGGTGAATCAGGAGCATGTTGAACCAATCATCCTCCGCAACGCCGCCTCCTTCAGGCATGTACATCTTGACGCGGTTGGATCGCAACTCGTAGTGCATGCGGCTATCCTTGACATTGCCGATGCCGTACATTGCGAGGTGTGTTGTGCCTTTGCGCAGCAAGACAGGCCGGATCCTGATGCCCGAGTCTTCCGTTTCGGTCGCCTCGTCTGCAGACAGCTGAATCTTGCCAAAGTAGTTGAGCGTGCCAGACACAGACAACACGTCAAGCGCGCAAAGGGCACCCTCCGGTCCAGTCCCTTGAGGATCATCGTGGTTGCCGTGGATGGCGAAGACAGGAATGCCGACATTGAGATTAGGGTCCTCGTAGTTAATAGCAGGAAAGCTAAAGCGTTAGCGACCTACTAGGCAAAGAAAACTTACGAAAAGCCAGGAGTGGCTCCATCATACGGATCACTCAGCAGCTCGAACGGCACAGGCTTGTCGCCGAGCGTATATTCCCTCAGTAGCGCGATGACCTGGTGCATACAGGTCCTTGATGGCCTGTTTTCGTGAAACAAGTCACCAGCCAGTAGAATGAAGTCAACTTCATAGTCGCGTGCAAGTTCAAGAATCTCGCGGAAAGTGTTGATCGAGTCTTGCCCGCGAACAGGGTCCTTCTCCGCGTAGCCGATATGGTTGTCTGTCGCAAGAAGAATACGGAAGCAGCTGGCAGTTAGAGCCTGGCACCGAGAACTACTCTTATAATCTAGCTCGCTCTGAGACCAGATCGCGCCAGAAACCTACTTGTCCTCAACTTGCTGTCAGCTCAGTCACAACGGAAGATCGTACTTACTTTGCTGCTCGATGCTCGGCGGCGGCTCGGCCACACAGCCTATCAGCTCTGCACAAAGCGGGGGCAACCTACCTCCCTTGCGTTGGCGGTGGCGGCTCCGACATATTTCTACAGCTTCGTCTTTCGTCAAGTGTTCGCGGGACTCGGATTGTCTTCCTTTCGAGATTGTTGACAAGTGCGCGTACCGCGCGTCATGGCTGACTGGACTCACGTGACCGATCGTCGGTGGAGGCCGAGCCTTCCCGTTGGGAGCTATCGTGGGATAGTGACCGAGTTTCAGAGCAAGTCCGATGCGTTCGTTGGTGACGTTGCTGATCGCTGAGGCTTTGCTTCGAAACTTCCCACCAGTGACTTGTCCCATCCTTCGCCACGATCCGGTATCCCAGGCAGGCAACTAAGAAGCGTCTTAGGAGCTTTCTGATCGTCTCACGATCATTTTGGACCAACGGAGCCGCTACCTAATCCTCTGACACCTTTGCCATTGTGATGGCACGGCCCATCTCGATCATTCGTCTCACAACGAAGCGAGAAGGACCTGTGTCGGCGTAGGCATCACATTGACGCTAACTCCTTATTGACACGAACGTTAATGAGAAGCGCTCTGGGTGACGAGCTGAAAGTAACTGCCCGTCATCACGTGCAAGTCTCCTGTTTCGAGCGCGGTCACGGTGGTCATGGTGACTGACGACTTACCCGCGACGCGGCACGTTTCAAGGCCATTGAGGGCTCGTGTGGAGAAAAACCGAGCATCTATCTTCACTGAAAAACTACTCAAAGGGGAATGAGGATCCCTCCCGAGAGCTGTATGGATCGTGAGGGTCTGAAAGCGCGGTACCAGGAGGTCGATGCGTGTAGCAGGCTGAGGACTCAGCAGATCTCTCGCATGCGACCTCCTCAAAGACCAAGGATCTACTGTGGGGCGGTGCGGTTCTCATCTAGCCTGTTTGGCCATCTGCAGCCCATAATGCTGTTTAGTCATTGTTGTGTCCAAGAGAGCTTCTCGACACTGCCTTACTGTCCTCTCCAGCAACTGGTTCCTGGACGATCACATCCGCGGCGCCCTCCGGGATCATCCACATCGGAAGCCGACTTGGTTCTTAGAGTGTTTGGGTATGCCTTCCGGCTGATAGCGCTGGTTGGGGATGCCGGGAGCGCTGATCCGGGAGAATCCCAAAGCTGACATTCGAACAGAAGGCATTCCAGCTCCGATCGCATTGCCGCCTTCTCAAACCTGTGCAGAGTGGACGAATCCCAATTTCTCGATACCTGCATAGCTGCTATCGGACAGTCTTCACTAAAAGGCTTGGTCTCTTTCCATCCTGAGATTGTACCTCTCAACGTTTCGACCTCTCCGCCATGACGCAACTCAGCCTCATGTTCTTAGTCGTCCTCGCCTGGGCGGCTGTTGCCAACTCCTGGGCCGGTACGAACACGTACTTTCTCCAGGGCATGTTTGAAGGCAAGGATCAGATAGATTTCATCAAGGAGCTAGCCTCCATCGGTGTCAAGGTATTTCGCCTCAGCGTACGTTACCAAGTTCTCGGCTGCGACAAGGGAACCAAGGTCACTTAGGCGTAGATCTGGTCGCTATTCCGGGGCGAACCCTTGATCAGTTATTGTTCCTTTGGCCGACCGACACATCGCGATAAGCAGGATTCAAACCAACCGGCAACGACCCCACCATTCCCCACATCAAACCATAATTCATCATTTCATTCTTGTTCAGAGCCCAGCCGCTCTTGTTTCGTATTCGTTTTTAGATAGTTCCCTTTCTTATAGTGCCATAGCCACACCGACACAGCGAGTCATTATTGTACAGGAGTAAATAGTCAGCAGCAACACAATCATCAAACTACTATGCAGAGTAACATGTCACAGAAGCGTATCACAGATTGTACCTCTCAACGTTTCGACCTCTCCGCCATGACGCAACTCAGCCTCATGTTCTTAGTCGTCCTCGCCTGGGCGGCTGTTGCCAACTCCTGGGCCGGTACGAACACGTACTTTCTCCAGGGCATGTTTGAAGGCAAGGATCAGATAGATTTCATCAAGGAGCTAGCCTCCATCGGTGTCAAGGTATTTCGCCTCAGCGTACGTTACCAAGTTCTCGGCTGCGACAAGGGAACCAAGGTCACCTGGCCTGTTCCAGCTTTGGAATTGGCACTTGGAGAGTACAAGGACGAGACACTCGATCTTCTAGACCAGACACTCAACTTGATCCGCCAGCATGGCAATGGCATGAAGGTGATCATCTCACCGCACGACGGCAACAGCCTGTACGGGTGTGTAAAAGTGATGACTGGGTCTAATGCTAGAATCTCGTCAAGTGACCCGTACACCCATTATGGACACTCATTCTACACGAGCGAGGAGGCTGAAAACTACTACGACAATCGCATTAGGCACATTCTCGATTACAGAGGCAAGTATACGGGCGAGGTGTGGAAGGACTTCCATGAGATGATCCTGGCCTTCGACGTGCAAAACGAACCATACGCTGGGCTCCGTCAAGCATGCGGGTCGGAGGTGGGCTCTGATATCGCAGCGGCCGACTGGGTCTGCAGGCGCGCCAGCTTCATGCGCAACAGTCTACTCGGCGCCGGCAATCCCATCAAGATCGCCAACGGCGGGCTGGGAGGCTCCGACCGCAACGGCTGCTCTTTCCTTGAGGGCGCCATGCAGTGTCCTGAACTTGACGCCGTCGCTCGTACGTGACACGAGGCATCGGTTTCCAAAATCACTGATAGCAGTGCATGTGTATCCAGGGCCGGGATCCGCTCAGCTTGCTTCCGACATCGAGCACTGGAAGAGCCTCGCGAACGGCAAACTCCTTCTTGTCGAAGCGTTGGCAATTCAGTGGCGTCGATCCGACCTCAACGTCATATCCGAGTTCAAAAAGGCGACGGACATTCTCAACTCCGCAGGGATCCCTTGGTTGTCATCGAGCATCATCCCCGATCCAACTCGCAGTTGCGCGAAGAGTTTCGAGAGTGATGCGGACCTTACGTTCATCCCTGTGACCCTAGCGAAGGTCGACTTCAAGAGTGCCATGGAGAGCGCTACCAATGCCGAAGCCTGGCAAGACTGGGGGTTCTGAGCGCAGCAGTTCTCTAATGCAGCATCCCATGTCTATCGGTGTACACAACGCAGCTGGCGACGGTAGACTGGGAATCGCGTGGAAAGTTGGATACTAGAGCAGTAGCAGTAGCTATTGTAAGCCGGCAAGTAGCGGGACAGGTGATTAGCAGATGGTCAGTAGGAGCACCACATTGGACTAGGCTTGAGAGCCATCAGGACGGGTCGCGTAGATTTGACAGTAGAGGCGTTTCAGCCTGAAGAGAGCGAGGACGTTGGCGGCGGCGGGTGTTCAGGAGGTCCTCTGTATCCAGTGACAGTCGTATGTACCAGCTTGTACGGCAGTGTGACAACGCTTGTCGAAGCCTCTTCCTCAGTTTGTTCAGATATTCAGAGGTGACCGATCGGCAAGCACCGCAGCACTACACCAGTCCTAATCGCCAGTAAGCTCGACGTCATGTCCTTTCAGTTGTTGACCTCCACTTTTCACGGTGCATCTAAAAATTGTTAATTGCGCCCTCCGTTAGGACCTGACAGCAATCGAGGACGGCGATGGCAAGGGCCACGGGCTTCAGGCGACCAAAAGTCATCTCCGCAACGACTCGTCGCCTACAAGCCCTTCCCCCTCAGCTGTCCGGTGTCGTCTACCCGTCCCGTCGACAATGAACGCTCACGGGATCCCCAAGCACCGTCAGCTCCCCGATAAGGAGGCTAAGCTCTTCAAGGAGGTTCTTGTAGGTGTTCGGCTTTCCACTCTGCGCTGGCTACGCAATCGCTAACCTCTGCAGACTCAGTACGAGCTTAAGCAGTACAAAAAGGGTATCAAGGCCGCGGACACTATTCTGAAAAAGTATCCGAACCATGGAGGTGAGCTGCTATGGGTTGGTCGAGCTTACAACAGAAACGATTGCTTTGAAGGCGCTGACGATCCACTCGTCCTTGCCCTTCCCTCCGACCGCTTCTTCGGCTGCGAAGGCGGAGGAGGCTGAGGAGATGGCCCGGCTAGGCGTCAGGAAGGACATTACGAGCCACATTACCTGGCATGTCCTGGGCATCCTTGCCAAGTCTCGTCGCGACTGGACCGAGGCGAGCAAGGCGTTCGCTATGGCTCGTAAGCAGGACCCCGACAACATTCCTGTTCTCCGTGACGCCATTTCTCTTGCTACGCACACCCGCAACTACCCGCTAGCCATCGAGACCAGGCACCACTACCTTCTCCTCCGACCGCAGATCCGCTCGTCATGGCTCGGCCTCATGATTGCTCACGAGCTGCACGGCGACTACGAGGAGGCTCTCGCAGTGTTCGACGACTACAAGAACACTCTGAACAAGGAGGGAGGAACGGCCCCGGAGCGTGCCCAGGTGCTCCTGCACGTCATCAAGATGTGCATTGCTGCCGGCAAGTTCCAGAGCGGTCTCGACCGCCTGGAGAAGGGTGTTGAGGACGGCACGATCAGTCCGCGCGGAGAGGTAAGCGAGCTGAAGGCTCAGCTCCTCGTCGAGCTCGGAAGGAAGCAGGAGGCTGAGGACGCTTATCGCGTCCTCCTTGAGCAGAACAGTGACAACCTCAAGTATTACCGCGGTTTCCTCCGAACACTGGGTTACGACATTACCAAGCCGTTGGACGCCTCTGCCATTGATCACGTTTTGAAGCAGCTCGATGGTTTCGCGGAGACGTACCCTCGCTCCTCGGCTCCCCGCCGACTGCCCCTGGATGTTGCTGAGGGAGAGGAGTTCAAGAAGCGTGCCCGCGAGTACATCGTCCGTGGACTTGAGCGAGGTGTGCCGTCCCTCTTCGTCGACGTCAAGGGTGTCTACAGGGACACCGCCAAGCTGCTCGCTGTCGGCGAGATTATGGACGAGATCATCTCCAAGCTTGAGTCGGAAACCAGCCTTCACGGTGACGACACCATTCCTCCTCCCACTACTCTCCTCTGGGCTTACTACTTCAAGGCCCTTCACCTTTCTCATCCCCTGAACCCCAAGCCGGACTACGCCAAGGCTCTCGACCTCATCGACGTTGCTCTTAAGCATACGCCGACGCTGCCTGAGATCTACATGGCCAAGGCCATGATTCTCAAGCGTGCTGGTGATGTTCAGGCCGCTGCCGAGGCCATGGAGGAGGCTCGTCTGCTCGATGGCCAGGATCGTTTCCTGAACAGCAAGGCAGCCAAGTACTGGCTCCGTGCCAACAACATTGAGAAGGCGGAGGAGCTGCTGGCCATGTTCACCAAGAAGGACGTGACCGCTACCCAGGACCTCACCGACATGCAGTGCCTCTGGTTCCTGACTGAGGAGGGAGACGCGCACAACCGCAGCGGCAAGCTCGGTATGGCTCTCAAGCGCTACCAGGCTCTCGTCACCGTGTTCCAGGAGTACGAGGATGACCAGTACGACTTCCACTCTTACTGCATGCGCCGCATGACGTTCTCTGCTTACGTCGATCTCATCAAGTACGAGGACACCATCCGCCAGCACCCTGCGTTCTTCCACTCTGCTTTTGCTGCGATCGACATCTACATCCGCATTTCTGACGACCCCGACCTCACTGTCGAGCACCTGACGCCTGAGCAGGAGGCCGAGCGCAAGAAGGCGGCCAAGAAGGCGCAGAAGGCTGAACAGAAGGCTCGCAAGGCCGCTGCTGCTTCCGGCGAGAAGAAGGATGAGGCGCCGCCTCCTGACCAGGACCCGCGGGGCGAGAAGCTGCTGAAGACCGAGACGCCCCTGGATGACGGACTGAAGCTCTGGGCCCGCCTCCAGCAGAACCACGCCAGCAGGATAGAGACGTGGCTCGCTGGCTTCGAGCTCCACCTCCGCAAGGAGCAGTACCTTCTTGCTCTCCGGGATCTGCGTGAGGCGGCCGCCATTGACAAGAGCGGTGCCGGTCTTCTCCCCGCCCTGGTCGAGTTCCGTGAGGTCATCAAGAAGGCCAAGCTTGCCGAGTCGGTCAAGAAGGCGATCGACGAGATTCTTCCTTCTCTCATTGGCGAGACTGACGCCGCGGCTCTCGTCAAGGAGTCTCTCGCCGCCCACCCCAACAGCCCCGAGCACATTGCCGCTGCCGCCAAGGCTCTGAAGGCATCTGGTGCCCCCGCTACTGAGGTCGAGTCTGTCCTTGAGCAGCTTGCCGGCCCTGGCACTCCCCCCAACCTGACAGTCATGCGCAATGCGCTCAACCTCCTTCCTGCCGCTGAGCAACCCAAGCTCAAGGCTGCCTTCCACAAGGCGTACCCGCTTGCGTTCGACTTCGCGACCGACGAAGAGAAGGCCGCCCGGGTAAAGGCGCCCGAGGCAGAGGCCGTAGACGGCAAGGCCGACGTCTAGACGCATCATTGGCGATGTCTAAATGCATCCTCATACATCTATAAAACCTAGATTCCACTATGCAAATCTACCCCTAACTCTGTATCTCATTACCTGTGCAGTGCATACTAACCGCACTCAAGCCGAATCAACCCACTCGATCGATCCGGCGATCGCGACAGTCGAGGGAAGCTTACCGGGGCTCGGCGAGAGAATGGTGTACTTCCTCTTGAGGGTGTCGATGGCAGTGATGACGACAAAGCCGAGGACCTCGCGCTGCGCAATCTCCTCGCGGTACGGGACCTCGTCCTCGTCGATCTCCACCTCCTTGACCTCCTCCTCGGCCTTCTCGCCCTCCTCCTCCTTCACCTTGCTCTTAGCAGTCTCCAGGCGGTCCTCAGGGTCGACACGCACAATGGCGAGCACGGTGTTGAGGAGGCGGACGACGTGGGCGGGACCTCCAGGGTCAACGCGGGTGAGGCGAGTTGGTGAGAGGACATGGGACGAGCCAAGCGGAAGCGCCGAGGTCGGAGCCGCGTTGCCCTCACCCACACGCAGTACGTGGAGCGCGTCCCATGGGATCTGGAACGAGTACGGGTTAAGCTGTAATCCGAGAGGCACAGTGCTACCCGAGAGTCCAGCGAGAGAAGAGGGCAGCGCAGGCTCGCCGTAGAAGTACGTGCGGACCTGCTGCGAATGCGCGAGCTCGCGATACGCATCGTCGAGGTCGACCACACCGCCGCTCTTAGGGAGAGGGACGACCTTGACGCCGCTCGGGGCGAGAAGACGCTGAAGCTCGATCGTGAGCTTCTCATGTCCGATGACGATCACAAAGTCCACTGCCGCGTCAGCTTTCGAATGCACAACAGGGCAGCTGCACCTACCATCGAACGCTTCGACCGCCTGCTGCAGCAGAGGGTAACGGGTAGGGTTTTCCTTCACCTGGCCCAGCGTCGGATTCGTGAAGGCAGATGGCGTGTCGAGGAACAGTCCGCTGTGGACAAGCAAAGGGCCCTTCTCGAGTCGTGCGCGGTAGGCGCCACCCATGTTTTCGATCAGCTTGGTCCAGATCGGCACGCCGCGAGTCGTGGGCTCCTGTCCACCATACCACCATCCGAGTGTGGGCACATCCGCGCTCAGTGTGTTGCTCGGCATCGAGGCGGGTGGTGACCCGAAGGGGTGTCCAAGGTGGTGGGAAGGGATTGGGTGCGACGGCGTCGACAGCGCCAGCGTTCCGGGAATGAGGTTCGAAGGCTGGAGTTAGTTAAGGTGTTAGTCGTGAAGCTCACGCTTGACGGGTCGAGTCCGGCGACGCCGACTGTCCATCCCATGCCGCTGCCGAGCGCCATGTTCACGAGGTTCTTCACCACCGTCGTCTTGCCGCTGCTCGGAGGTCCGACGACCATGACTCGCGGACCCTTCGGCCCCTCGGGTGTTGAGAGCGCACCCTCACCTCCTCGTCGGGACAGAATGCGTAGCCGCTCTAGCGCCAGATGCAGGCTGTTCAGGTGCGGCTGTGTCGTCGACGTCGAGGTGTACTGAGATGCCGGCAGCGTGGACACTGAAGTCAGCTTCCCGCAAACAAGAAGGCTCACCTTCAATCTTGCCTTCCGTCGGGGAGTACACAGCTCCCTTGTTGTAGCGGTACAGTGGGTACCACGTTGTCGGCGGCAGCTCCTCGCCGTTGATGTAAACTGGGTCTGTCGAGTGTACCTAATCAGTGGTCAGTGCCTTGTTCAGGACAGCATCAGCGAGAGCCAGTACATCAGCCAGAGAAACTACAGATCACATGGGCTGCACTAACAGTCAGTAAACAATCACAACAGTGCCAAGTGCACTCACGTCTGTGTCCCGGTCCAGCGAAAGTGCTTGTCACGATTCACCAGCTGATGATGCTAGCCCTCGCTTCAAAAGCTACGTCAGCAACTTACTCTCAAGGCAATGTTCTCGTCGGGCTCGAGTTCAAAGCGCCATTCTGATCCAGGCTCCATAGGCACGATGGCCTGCTCTTGCTGCCCCTCCATGATATCTAGCGGATTTTGTAATAATGACAACCTTGACGGAGATCTGCGTATTGTTGTCGAGCTCGACAGCCTAGAGCTCCAGTGATGCCTGATTTGATAGGATTTGAACCGAACACGTCATTCCGGGCCCCCGCAATCGAACTGAAACCAGCCGCCTGAGATGGCGCTGGCGAGGGAAGTCGTTTGCCACCACCCGTGATCTTCGTGTTTCTGCACTGCATTGCACTCGGTCACACCACCTCTTGCAAGGCTCATCAGCAACCAGTGAGCCAACCAGTCTTCGCTCATGAGCTGACAGACAGTGGCTTCGTTCACTACCCGGCGGCTGAGTGCGTAACGAATGTCCGGAAACAAACAGAACCCCGCCGATGAGGTCATGTACTGATGCTTATCGCAGTGAAGGAGCTGGCCGAGATCAAGGACAATGGCACGCCGGATGGAATAGCCCTCATGACGGCGGACTCGATGTCGGAGTGGGTTTTCACGATCGCCGTCCTCGGCGACGAGACGGTGTACCGGGTACGTGTTGGAGTGCATGCTTATCTTGCGTGCGGTTACCGGTAGCCCGCGGAGCAACGTTATTGACAAGCCGCCAGGGAGAAAAGTTCGCCCTGCGCCTCAAGTTTGGAGATCGCTATCCTATCGAATCGCCCGAGGTGAGCACAGACTTCTCGGGGGTCCCTCGACGTCGAGTCGCTATCGAACACCTATCTAGGTCCAATCGCGACTCTTCCGCCGTGCATGGACATCTTGGCAGCACAGAGTGTTGGCCCGCGCGCAGCACCCGTTTAGGACGCCCGGTTAACGCCTCAGGTCACATTCGTCGCAAATTCCCAGTTCAAGCCGCCCATGCACCCGCACATCTACACGAACGGCCACGTGTGCGCTAGCATTCTTGGTAAGCTCTCGATGGCGATGCCTCAGCTGACAAAAGGCAATGAATGGTCACCTGGTTTGTGAATGGCTGGGAACCCAACTAACAGTAGCACTGACTGCCGTCTCGGTGTGCATTACCATGCAGTCCATGCTCGCTAGCTGCAAAAAGAAGGAGCTGTAAGCTACGGCGGCGCAGAACCCAGCTGATCACCAGTCCGGAGGGCAACGACCGCTACGTTGCGCGTGCGCCATCAAATCCCAAGCGCACTCAGTGGGTCTACCATGACGACGTGAGCACTTTCCGCTGGAGTACGAGCTAATCCGCAGACCGTCTAGAAATACTAGCTCCCGAACCTCCGAGACCTGTGACCGCGAAACCATCATCGCTCCGCATCGGCATCTACGCATAAGCAAGGGTCGGATGACTGATATCCCTGTTGTGAACCCAATCGAGTGTTCACATTGTATGTATTCGTGACATGGCCTACTATCGTACACTACAAACATTATCGTGCGGCTAAGCTGCCCAGACGGGAGAGAGGGTCCTCCGCGACCTCCGCTGTATTGTCAGTTGCGAGCTCCTAGGCTAACTCACCCTCTTCAATGGCGTCAGACTGGGCAACAATCTTCAGGACAGCCTTCTTTGAAGATTCTTGTAATTCACCCGCGATGATGAGCTCATCAAGAATCGCGTATGCCTTCTGGAAGTTGAAGATGAGGTCAAGCTCGCACACCTGAGGGTCAGCTCTCATTACTAGGAAAGGAACTCACGTTGCCAAAGTACCGGTCGAGAACCTCAACATATCGGTGGATGACTTCGAGCGTGATGAGCTCGTTCTCTCCCGGCGTGATCGACGTGATAAAGAACAAAGAAGCGTAGCGGCGGTAGATAACCTTAGTGTCTGGGTGTTAGCTATGTGCACGCTTGATACAGCTGAGGCAAGAAGGACATTGCGCGTCCTCTCAACAAGTGCCAACAGGACACCGCACTCTTTCCCTTACACACCTTTGTACTCGAGGAAGTTGCACATCCGTGTTCGTCGCGCGAGCACCAGCTGCGTCACATCCTTCACGATCTTGGCCTTCGTCTTGCTCGGCAGTGTCTGGAACCATTTCGCGAGGCGCACCTTGCCTGAGATGAGTTAGCTTGCAGCAGGAACGAACTCTCGAGACCTAGCTGACAACGGCCAGCATTTCCTCAGTCAGTATCATACTCACCCTGCCGGCTCACGAGCATGACATAGTTGATCATGGCTGCGGAGTGCTGTCGTCGTCGGGCCGTGGACTGTCGAACGTCGACGACGGTGCACGAAGCTGAGCTGTTGAAGGCGTCGCCGTCGTGCGCTGGATTCCAGGGCAGGCCACGTGGAAATTCGTAGGGAAGGCACGACCCCGCGCGCCGCGAGCTGAAACCGTCTGGCCGTCAGGCGAGACCTCCACTTCACCTTGGCCAGCGCCCCTACGACCGCACACGTCCTTGACGACCCAGATCTCAGCTCTCTGCATCACCACATCTGCGAGACCGACGATAATGGCTGAGACGCAACCCGCTCCGAGAAATCCGGGGCAGGGATCCGCGGCCGCGGAGCTCAGGCAGCTCCTCGAGCGCGAGACGGCGAAGACTCGTCTGCGCCGCTTGGCTGTAAGCTTCTTGCTTCGTGATAGAGCTGACAGCAGACTCACACGTCGCCACCGTTCAACCCCGTATGCGGTCATACGACACCAGATGCTTGCGCTAAGGCAAACGGTAGGGTCTGCACCCGAACTCACTTGGAGCCCATCAGCAGACCGTATACCGACCCAAGTCTTGGATATTGCTCCTACCTCAACATGTGCTACGGGGAAGGCATGTTCAGCAACAACCCGAGTCTCGGGGAAGGGACGCGCGGAACTAAGGAGTGTCGGTGGGTATCTTTACGTGCTGTACTATCCAGCGATCCCGCGGACAAGGTCCACTGGCCTCCCCAGCGGCAAACGCGATACCAGCTCACGACTTCTGAAGCAGAGCTGACACTAGATACCTCCACTTCCAGGTTGCGCCCGCCGAGCAGCGCCATTCTGTACCTGCGCCTGGTCCCGTGCCGCTGCCGGTACCGGAGAAGTTGGCGGGGAAGGTGACGAAGGGTCCCGCGCAGTGGGTGAACTGTGATATCCGAAGCTTCGACTTCAGCGTTCTCGGGCAGTACGTATCTCCCATCCGCGCTTCGATGTGGCCTCTTGCGCTAACAACAGGTTCCAAGTGATCGTGGCAGACCCGCCATGGGACATCCACATGACTGTAAGTTAACTCAGTGAGGGGTAACTGACACCAGCTCCCCTACGGTACAATGACGGACGACGAGATGCGCGGCCTGCCGCTTGCCTCGCTGCAGCCGGACTGGGGCATCCTGGCGCTGTGGGTAACGGGGCGAGCGATGGAGCTTGCGCGCGAGCTGTTCGCGCTCTGGGGCTACGTCCGCGTCGACGAGCTCGTGTGGCTCAAGACGAACCAGCTACAGCGCCTCATCCGCACAGGACGGACCGGACACTGGCTGAACCACACGTGCGAGCCTGGGTCTGTCGAGTGTACCTAATCAGTGGTCAGTGCCTTGTTCAGGACAGCATCAGCGAGAGCCAGTACATCAGCCAGAGAAACTACAGATCACATGGGCTGCACTAACAGTCAGTAAACAATCACAACAGTGCCAAGTGCACTCACGTCTGTGTCCCGGTCCAGCGAAAGTGCTTGTCACGATTCACCAGCTGATGATGCTAGCCCTCGCTTCAAAAGCTACGTCAGCAACTTACTCTCAAGGCAATGTTCTCGTCGGCCGGCGAACTGGCCGCGCGACAAGCCCGTGCCGTGGGACGAGGACCCAGGCTTGCGCGCTCTCAGGAGAGGCATCGATACCGACGTCGTTGTCGCTGAGGTTCGCGAGACGAGTCGCAAGCCGGATGAGGTGTATGGCGTCCTTGAGCGGCTGAGTTCAGGACGCAAGCTCGAGCTCTTCGGCCGTAAACACAATATCAGAGAGGGGTGGCTTACCCTCGGCAACCAGCGTGAGTATGCCAGCTGTGTTCCTTGGAGGTAGAAGCTGACAAGTCAGTCGGAGGCTCGCAGGTCGCTGAGCCCGACCTCCACGCCCGCCTCGAGAGCCGATACCCGAACCAATCCTTCAGACTTGTCCAGTGATTCAGTAGTTGTACATGAGTATGCAAGTGTAATATCTAGTGATGCTGTGGTGGTACAGATGGTCCTGCTGCCGAAACGCGGGCGACAGCCGGAGACCCAATCTCAGAGATGCGCAGACTTGCGCAGCGATGTCCGGGGCTGTCTACTCCGCGCTGACCTCGAGCTTGGCGAGCGGTCGCTCGATTCCCTCCACGCCCTCCGTGCCCTCCGCGACGCGCAGCTTGCGCTGGTACTTCGGGATCGTGCGCTGGCCGGCCGGCGCCTCGCCACTCGGAGAGTAGCTGTCTTTCTGGATGTCAGTTGAGAATCGTAGAGCAGCAACTCACGAGAGCCTGGCGATCAAGTCCGCTCTCGAGACCCTGCAGGAGAGCGCAGGCTTTCTGCCAAGTCAGCTTAAATCGCGGCTTGAATACAGCTGTTGAATCCGCAGAACAACGGAGACGGAAGGAAACTCACGCAGAGATCGTTCGAGGAGATGTATCCGCAGCGCTTGCACGTCTCTGTCTGTCAGCTAAGAACTGGCAAAATCGAGCTCACGCATGGACTTCAAGTTGCCCTTCGTCTTCTTGTCGAGCACGAAGCTCTCGCCTGAACGGATGATGTCGATGATCGCTGAGGGGCGCACCGCCTCCAGATCCTTCAGGAAAATGCGGGCGTAGCCACGGTACGCTGTTGTCAGCTACAGCAGTGGACGACAAGCTTACCCTCGGGAGAATAGATGCACTCTGTGGAGAAGTAGGTCAACTTCTTGAAGTAGGCGTACCTGATGTCAGCTAACGACCAGATTATGGATTATGTAGCTTACATGACGATCTCCTTCTCGTAGGCGTACTTGAAGGGCTTGGAGCGCTTGATCGTGTCGTCGCCTTGGGTCGTCACTGCCGTGCAGCGACCGAGGCGCGCGACATCACCGCGAAGAACTGGGAATCAGCTAATCCGAAGGAACCAGTGGCAGCAATGTAGAGCAGCAGCACTGGAGGCACGCTGCTGCCTGCACTGATACTTACTGTTCATGAGGACCGTCTCGGCGATGTCATCCGCGTTGTGGCCTGTCACGATGTGCTCGATGCCGAGCTCGGCGGCGCCGCGGTCCAGCGCCTGTCTTCGGAAGACGCCGCAGAACGTGCAGTTGTTTTTCTTGCCGACTTGGTCGACGACGCGGTCCATCGTCCAGCCGTATAGCTCATCGTAGGACAAGATCTTCAGGGGAAGCCCATATTCGGCTTGGTTCTGCTTCACGGTCTGTTCGTCAGCTTCAGATTCTCATGCATAAAGCTTGTAGCCTTGAGTAAACCTACCTCCAGAGAGTCATCTCGGTATCCCTTGATGCCCTCGTCAATCGAGAGCAGATGCAGGTCAAGACCATAATCGTAGCGCTGGTTCAGCGTCGTCAAGACATGAGCGAGAACCGTCGAATCTGATGTCAGTGAGTTCCGCTGCCCTCGGTGTCGCAGCGTACCTTTCCCACCGCTTGCTCCGATAGCCACACGCTCTCCGCGCTCAAAGATGCTCCCTCCTCCGGCGCCGCTCTTCGTGATAGTCTCATGCACCTCGGTCTCGAAGACGTCGAAGAAGCACTGCTTGCACACCTGCTGACCTGTCTTTGGTCGCTTGACGAGGGCGCGGGCCGACTCGCATATGCTGCACTGGGTTGGCATTGCGCGCGACTCCGATCTCCTAGCGTCGCCGTGTGTTCCGTTGGCGGATGAGAATGCGTGTGCTCGACGTGCAGGAAGTTGTCGTCGGGGGCGATCGCAGGATGTCGGCAACTATGCGCTTCGCGAGTGGACGAGGGAGGCCACCTGTCGGCTACAGCCAGAAATTGTTGCCACCGATTGAGCCGCGCGCGAGCCGCTGAGCGGCAGACGCAGGGCAGAAGGTGGAGGCCGGAGATACCGTGGCAAGAGTAGGCATGCGGGACCCTGAGACGCCTGTCTCCGCCACCACCGAGATGCTGCGGCGCCTAGCTTGGTTGGCCCGCATGACCCGCATTCCCGCAGACAGGCTTGGTCCTGGGCGCTGGGCGTACGCTGGCGGAGTCTCCAGACCCACCCAGTTCCGGCCCCGACTCTTTGACGATCAATGACATCAAGCGCGCAAGCGAGCCACCACCCAGCCAGCATCCAGCCAGCCGGACGGGAGGTAAGCCCACATAGCACATCCACATACATCCAACCGTCCAGATCCAGACAACCATATCGACTTGCTCCCATCAACCATTGACTCACCACCAGATCCGTCGACTGCACCACCCACCACCCCGTCTCTCCCACCCACCATGCCGACCAGCGACCCCGTGGACTCGGGGCCAGACGGCTCCTTCCCACCTTCCAACAACTCGCCCGCCATCCACAGCGACGCACCGTTGCCCAGCACCTCCACGCCGTGCGGAATCGCATGTGCGTGCCTCAATGTCCAGATCGCCGGGCGCGTTCCAGACGATCTGCTCGACAAGGTCCACGCCGGACCGTCAGCCTTCGAGCACGACAGCAGGCACCAGGTCTGGCTCCCGTCCGAAGCGGAGAAGATCGTGCGTATCAGGCGCGAGCGCGCAAGCCACCGAGATAGTGCTGACCAGTTAGGTGCACCTGGACCTGGCTCGATTCGAGAATGCCAGCGAAAGCAAGGACAGCAAGTCCACGAAGGACAGAAAGAGCGATAAGGACGAGGACCGCGATCCAGCGGACGAACCGAGCTGGCGCAAGTGCTTGGTCTGCGGTGTGCGCGTGTACGAGGCGAAGGGGAAGAAGAAGGAAGACACGGCGCCGGAGAATGCGTGGGTCACAGTAGACTTCAGCAGCGGCGTTCTTGTGAGTCACCGTGACCTACCTCAACAGCTTCCTGAGCTGCGATTGCACTGTAAGCTGACACGACCAGTTCGGCGAAGCCCTCGACAAGGCACTTGAGAAGCCGACGCTTCCGTTCACGGGACTACACTTGGATATCCCGAAGGACAGCAGTTTCGGACGACCGCCAGAGGCGACCGAGAGCGCACCTCAGCTCCCATCACATTTCCTGCCGCCGGTGCCGGATCCGTTCTTCCTCCCGCCGCCCTTCATCCCGAGTCATGCCAAGCTGCGGGAGATGTGCAAATCGGCCGTCGTGAAGCTGCAGGACAAGCGAGGAGAGATGGAGGCCGACATCGTGGCGTACGTCAACGCGCGAGTGGAGGACATGCGGCGGCTGGAGGACGAGGTCCGCGGCGAGGTCGAGGTGCTCTGGTCGCGATGGGCGGACGCTCATGCCCAGCCAAGCGAGCAGCATCCGGCTCCACCGAAGCCTCGCGAGTCCTTCGACGGCAAGAAGGACGGCAAGAAGGAGGTGCCGTTCACGGATCTCGAGCGGCCGTCGGGAGTGACAGTGTCGCCGCCAAAGATCTCGGGTCAGCACAACTACCACGCCGCCCAGAACCAAACGAGCTCCCTGCTCGCCGCTAGCATTAGCGCCAACGCCTTCCATGCCCCGCCACCGAAACAGTTCGACGACAACAAGCTCGAGAACATTGCCAAGACGGTCTCACGCGAGCAGGGCGTCGACCGCGAGGTTGCGATGAGCTTTGCCTTCTCAACAATGGAGGAGCAGGCGCTGAAGCACGGACGGCGGAAGAAGGAAGAGGAGAAGGCCGAGGACGTCGAGGTGGAGGTCGAGGAAGAGGAGAAGGGTATCGACTCATGGATTGGGCTCGAGCGCGCCGAGGCGCGCAAGCGCGTGGAGCGGGGTACCAGGCGGCAGAGCGCGGCCGCGTCCGCCGCCGAGAACGCCGAGAAGGCTCGTGCTGCGTCCGCAGACGCGAAAGAGAAGGGCAAGGAGAAGGAGAAGGACAAGGGCAAGACCGAGAATGGCGAGCCGTCCGGAGAGAAAAAGAAGGGCGTCAAGTTCCAGGAGCCTGAGAAGAGTGCAAAGGACTCGAAGGACGCAAAGGACGCCAAGGAGTCTGCGAAGGATGGCGAGAAGGAGGACACAGATGGGGAGAAAGACGGGCACGTCGATGGCCTTGCGGTCGACAACGACGACGAGGAAGGTAAGCTAACCAATCGTTCCCGAGCTGACATCAGAATACGTCTTCGACATGGAGACGGACACGCCGACGACAGCGCCCGAGTTACCAGAACAGGAGCGCCCGAAATCGCACCGCGAGGCGCGCATCTGGTCTATGCTGGACGACAACTTGTCTCGCACGTTTGCGGCCGAGGCGCCCTCCCACCGCGCGGCCTGGTCCAAGTTCGAGGGCCAGATGAGTTCCGTCCTGCACCGCTCAGACAGCGACGACGACGACGACAGCCCGGCCACGAGCGCGCTCGCGCGCAGCATGCCGATCAACATCGCGATGAAGCCGTGCAAGACGAGCGCAGAGTACCAGATCAAGACCTCGGTCAGCGACAGGGAGGGCGTCGTCGTGCCGAACCTGATCCGCGCGATGCGCGAGCGACCCGGCCGGCGCCGCGGGAGCGCCGCGCTCGGAAGAGAGAGAGAGCAGGTCATGAGCTATGCTGCTGACCCCGGGGCTGTGTTTGAGAGTCTGGCAGAGGCCAGCATCGACTCGGACGACGACGAGGATACCACCGGCGGCGCGCGCAGGAAGAACGGCCAGTTCGTCCCGCCGCACGTCCTCGCGGCCAAGAAGGAGAAGCAGCCCGAGGTCGGCTGGAGGAGCCTTGCGTCATAGGCTGCGTCGTAGGCTGCGTCGAAGTGGATCGCCGAGCGCGAGAATGCCTCGCCCGATCTCCGCCCGATCTCCGCCGTGGCACAGCATGATTGTACCTTATCTACGAGCCTTGGGGCTCGGTAGGATGTCAGTTCCCCCGCCCGCGCCTCTGCGGACGACGGATGACGGGGTGTCCGAACATTTCTCATTGTCGCCTACCCTTACAGCTTTGTCTAATTTGCAACAACGCACCGTGTAGTACAACGCAGGTTCCGATGGCAAGTATGCATGAATGGCGGCATGATGATGATGGGTGGTCTACTGATGCTGGTCTAATGCTAGAGATGCCGTGATGTCGTAGTGGTACACTGATGCTGCTGTTGTCTTCTCTTAGTCTCAAGTCTTCCTGTGATTCCCCTCCTCTATATTCGTGATCTCCTGTCTACTCCGCCTTTGTCGTCTTCGAGAGTGGTGGTGTGGTCGTGTCTAATCGCTGTCCTGCTCAGAGGGCGGGTTCGGGTCCGGCCCCCAGAACCAACGCGCTGCGAGAGTCGGTAGGCCCTTCGGGACCTGCGCCGGGTCGAACTGCGCTCGATGCGCCCATCCTCGGTCCTTCATGCAGTGCATGACTCGCTCCCAACGTGTGAGGTGTCGGCCGAGGGCATGATGATGATGGGTGGTCTACTGATGCTGGTCTAATGCTAGAGATGCCGTGATGTCGTAGTGGTACACTGATGCTGCTGTTGTCTTCTCTTAGTCTCAAGTCTTCCTGTGATTCCCCTCCTCTATATTCGTGATCTCCTGTCTACTCCGCCTTTGTCGTCTTCGAGAGTGGTGGTGTGGTCGTGTCTAATCGCTGTCCTGCTCAGAGGGCGGGTTCGGGTCCGGCCCCCAGAACCAACGCGCTGCGAGAGTCGGTAGGCCCTTCGGGACCTGCGCCGGGTCGAACTGCGCTCGATGCGCCCATCCTCGGTCCTTCATGCAGTGCATGACTCGCTCCCAACGTGTGAGGTGTCGGCCGAGGTGTCGAAAGAAGGGCGTCACCCGAGGCACTGCGCCAGTAGCCTGGCCGCGGGTCCGAGGTAGTCGACGCGGAGTAACTGGCGCACTGGCGATACGGCGCTCATGCGCAAGTGACGTCCGACCCTCCTCCCACGCGTACTTCGCCAGCTCCTCGTCCTTATTCTTCAGCGCGTGCAAAGCAACAAGGCGGAACGTCTCGGGTGACGGAACTCCCTTGAAACGCCTCATCAGGCGCTGGACATCCTCGGTCTTCGTTCGCCGCTGTAGCAGAGCAATGACACTGCAGTGTGCAGTCTGCCTCCGGAACGACGTGACGCCGATGGCCTCAGCCTCATCGAGCAACGCATGAGGCTCCTTGGCATAGCACAGGGCGAGATGCAGCGCGGCGAGTTTCTCTGTCGGGGCAGCTTTCAACGATTCCAACGTGCTGATTGTGGTCCGCAGGCTGTGTCCTTCCGAGTTGATCAGCAGGTAGTGCTGATACCGCAGAAAGGTGTTCGCGGTAATCTTGTCCTCGCTCTCGGGCAGCAGTGGTAGCGGCGGGTACTTCTTCGTCATCCACATGTTCGTCGAGACCTTCGCGTTTCGGTATCTGCCTATCTTCTGTCGAGGAGGGAGTTGGAGGCGCTCTCGGAAGCCCAGAGCGCGGACACGTTCGGCAAACTGCGTCTCGTTCAGGCGTAGGGCGTACATCTCGAGCGCGGCGATGGAGCTGGGGCTCAGCAGCGACGAATCCGACTCGAGGTGACTGACGAGCTGTCGGAGGTAGAGTTTCGGGTCGGGCACCGGGATAGACAAAGCCGATTCCATAAACTGGGTCGCACGCTCTTCTTGCTGTCTTCGCAATTCTTCCGGGCTCAACGGCGTCGCTGGACGGCCTGGCGGTTGGCTCGAAGGCAGGTGGGGAGGCGAATCGCGGGTAAAGGTCTTCCGCTCCTTCAACGGGGCTGATACAGGGGGCGCTTCTGATTGCCTCCTGCTTCTGCCGGAAGGTTTCGATGTAGAAGCGCGAGCTGACCTAGATCGGCGCGAAGACTCAGGGACTGATGACGAGGAAGACGAGGAAGACGAAGCAGCAGCAGATCGGCGAACGTCGACAGGCGGTGGATCGTGTCCGGCAGGCATTTTCAGCCTCGGCGCCCTCACCACATCACCGCTTTCATGTTGTGTTGGTCGGTCGTCGACTTCTGGGGAAGCCAGAGCCACCGAGGCGGAGGCGAGGTGCCGCGATGACTGCCGGCTGGACGGGTGGAGGCTCGCCAAGGATGAGCGGATAGCACCCGTACGAGCTGCTAGATGTCGGATGATCATCGAAGGCCGCTCAATCCCGCATGTTCAGGTGCACCCTCGACGCGCGGAACAGAATGGCCGGTGTGTATCTGATAACGGGCGAGTCGTGTGCGTCGGCTAGTGGTCGACGTGAACTCGTCGCAACCCTCCAGACCGTCTCGACTTTTGGCTCGGAGGTGACGGACAGTCACGAAGTCCACCCGGCCCTGAAATGCCACCGCCCCCTAACGCCGTATCTCCGCCGATCGTAGGCCCTGGCAGCTCAGCGTCGTCTTCAATGTTCACCGTGACGGTCGGTGTTCGTTTGCATTCTCGGTGGCCACAACATCCAAAGATCAGTCCAGTTTCTCTTTCTACAACAATCAGCCAACCACCTTCGCGCTGCCTTTGTTCTGATTATTGATTTCAATCTCGGGACGCTACAAAATATCCGACAGCACTAAGCTACAGGCAAGCCAGTGAAATCATGTCGGTCTCTCCTCCCCACGAGCCCCAGCCTTTGCGGGACCGGACCCCGGAACTCACCTCGTAAGTCTTTGCCGTGAAATCCATCTAGGTCATAATGCTTTGGAAACGCTAACATCTTTGCAGTAAACGTGAGAAGCGTCATCGCGAGGATGACGATGATGATCGTGACAGGACCAGACGCCGAAGCCATCGCCACGACGATGAACGCGACTACGAGCGCGAAGACCGAGACCCTGAGGACCGCAGACGTCGCCATTACGACTCTGACGAGGAGCGCGACCGCGAGCGCCGCCACCGCCGCCGCGAGCGCGAGAGCGATGATGACAGACGCAGATCTCGTGACGACCGTGACGACAGGAGCTACAGCCGCGAGCGCAGCGGACGCGACCGCGACCGTGAACGCGAGAGGGACAGGAGTCGCCACGACGATCGCCGCGAGCGCGATCGCGATGATGACGAGCGGAGCCACCGCAGCAGTAGGCGTGACCGTGACCGCTCGGGCTCCCGCGACCGGGACCGTGAGCGTGAACGCCGCCACCGTGACGACAGAGACTCCGAACGTGCACGCGTCCGTGCTATGACTCGAGAGGAGAAGGAGCGTGAGCGTGAGCGCCGCGACCGTGAGATGATGGAAGAGCGTCGTGAAGCCGCTCGCCGGGAAGGAGTGAGTGTACCATGGCGGTCCCTTGAGCTGACGTTGCAGCGCGATTACCACTCTCCCCGCCGCCGTCGCGGCAGCTCTGCGCGCGATGAGGCCGCTGACCTCCTTAACGAGGTGGACTCCGAAGCTCGCTCCGTATTTGTTTCGCAACTGGCTGCGTCACTCAAATCCTCAGATCTAGGCTTATTCTTCGAAGACAAGCTGGGCCCACGCACCGTCCGCGACGCGCGCATCATCAACGACCGCCACTCTCGCCGTTCTAGGGGCATCGGGTATGTGGAACTGGCTTCGACCGATCTGGTTAGTAAGGCACTTGCTCTCTCAGGAACTATCGTTATGGGCATCCCGATCCTCGTGACCCTCACCGACGCGAGCAGCAACCCCGACGGCATGAACCTCGGAGCCATCCTCGCTACCCTGAAGGCTGAGCGCCGTGAGCGTCGTGAGCGTATCCAGCAGCGCCGCTTCCCCCCACTTAGCCCAGGTTTGCAGCACCGCCTCGGTGTCGACGTCAATGCGCACGCCGAGGCGGCTCTGCCCTACCACCGTCTTTTTATCGCCGACCTCGCCGAGGTTCTAAACGCAGAAGACATTCGTCAAGTCTTTGAGCCATTCGGTGAGATTGAATTCGTGGACTTGCACACAGATGTGACTGGCACCAGCAAAGGAACGGCCTACATCCAATTCGCCGAACTCAACTCCGCTCAGATGGCTCTCGATGCGATGAACAATTTCGAGCTTGCCGACAAGACGATCAAGGTCATGAGCGTCGACCCGCCCCGTGCGCCGCGTATTGAGGACGAGGAGCGTGGCGGCGGTAATGGTCGCCGTGGCGGACGTCTCGATGCTCAGGGCCGCATGGACCTAATGTACAAACTCGCCCGCCGCGAGAACCCCGACGATTCGTCGCGCTCGCGCGCCCCCGCCCCTCAGCAGCAGGAGCGTGCTCGCCCCACAACTTTCCTACTCGTCAGCAACATGTTTAACCCCGACGAGGAGACCGAGCGCAACTGGGACATCGATCTCGCGGATGATGTCAAGGTGGAGGTTGAGAACAAGTACGGACACGTTGCTCGCATCAAGGTCGACAAGATGAGCAACAAGGGTGATGTCTACATCGAGTTCAAGGACATTGACGGAGCTGAGCGTGCCCAGCGCGGATTGCAGGGACGCTTCTTCGGAGGGCGCTCTCTTACTGCCCAGTACATCAACGAGGGCCTTTTCAAGAGCCACATGTAGTCTGATCGTGGCCTGCGTTGTTTCCGTCCGCCTCCTCTTTCCTGTCTGACGTTCTTCGCATCTGTGTATCTAGTCTTATTGCTTTATACCCTCCATAATGCTCAACTTTCCGATACCATTTGTCATGCAATGTGCTCTGAGTCCGACTCGGAGAGGCTGCATACTCAGGAGTGTTAAGGTGTGGGGGCTGAGCACGCGGGGCACATGACTCGGAGTGATCGATCGGCGACTTACATCGGCGTGCCTGACTGCTCATGCAACTTGCCACTACAGGCTCCAAACGGCCCCGCTCCGTCGTCATCAGTTGCTCTCACTATCCTGCACAAGGACACCCACATCCCCTCACTTGGAGGCAATCTCAACATCGCATTCTGAGCCTGTGACTTCTTGATCTATCCCCCTGCACCCTTCGCTTTCGAGCCCTCACTCCACACACTCGCTCGACCTCGACTCGCTCGTTCGTCCCTCCACACCTCCCTTTCACTCCACCCAACCTCCACCCCTCGGTCGCAATACGCCCACGAAAGCGTCATTGAGCGCTTCAACTTGCGATCGGACCTCATCACCAATCCACTACTTCAAACTGCGTCTCCGTGACGGTCTACTCATCACTCGGGATCAAGCTACAGAGCACCGAGAGCGTGCTGTCGCGACTCAACAAGCTGATCCGCTGAGATGGCCGTCTTCGGTGGATTCTTCGAATGGCTTTGGTCGTTGTTTTGGAGTAAACACATCGAGATCACGATCATTGGACTTCAGGTGAGTTGGTTCGATGAATGCAGTTTGTGACTGACCTTCAGGCCAGCGGAAAGACATCGTAAGTGGCCTCTGACTGATCGGCGTCATCCACCCGCTAACAACACTCCTCCGATGGCTCGCACATCAACCAATCTCTCCACCTCCGCCATGAACTCCATCATCGATACCTTGCCGCTTATCTGCTCCACGGATCGCCCCCTCAACGTTTTTATGATGGACTGCTCACTAATAGGCTCGTGAACGTTATCGGCTCCGGTCAGTGGTCTGAGGATGTCGTTCCAACGGTCGCCTTCAACCTGCGTCAAGTCCGCAAAGGCAACGTCACGATGAAGATTTGGGATGTTGCTGTGAGTTCATTCACTACCTGACCCCATAACTGACATGCAGGGCCAGCCCAAGTTCCGCGGGATGTGGGACCGCTACTGCCGTGGTACAAACGCGATTGTGTAAGCTGCAATACTCTTGACATCTAGCTGACGGCAGTTATGTTGTGGACTCAGCAGACGTGAGTCTAGCTACGCAGTAGTTTACTAACGACCAGCAAAAGAGCCTGCCGACAGCTACTTCGGAGCTGCACTCCCTACTGTCGATACCCGATCTCGCTGGTGTGCCCCTACTCGTGCTTGCGAACAAGAACGACCTGCCCGGTTCGCTTCCCGTCGACGACATCATCAGCCGTATGCGCCTCGCAGAAATCCAGGGCCGTGCCGTCTCCGTAAGCTATCGTAGCCCGCCAGATCGCTAGCTGACATCAGTGCTACTCCACCAGCAACAAGACGAGGCACAACCTCGACATCGTCCTTGCATGGCTCACTCAGCGAGCCCAGTAGGCCATTCGCCTATACTCGCTCGACCGTCACCTGCGGTGCAGCTTACACGGCCTGGAACACTTGTCTCATCCTCTCTCTCCAGGAACTGAGCCCAATGACCAAAAGCATGCTCGGCAAATCACAACCAGCCACACCCCTGCCATGTCCTCATTCTGTTGTAACGTGCGACGCGACTCATGCCATTACCTAACCCTAAAACTGCATAGCCAGACTCATGCCAACCTCGCTTCCCACTGACTTGTCGGCCGCGAGCTCGCTATGACAGATACTGATATCAGCTAAGCCGTGCCGAAAGTCAGCTCACCTTCGATTACAGGATGGCGAACATCGGACCAAGTCGCTGGCTCCATCACGAACTCGGAGACTCGATAGATGTCTCTGAGGTAGAGTTAGATATCGCGAAGCGCATAGCAACTCACTGCGAGTGCCCCACCATCGGCTCCTGTTGGCCCGAGACTGCGAAAGTCGGCCATAAGGACTATGCGTAATACGCGTGTTGGAGGCAAAATCGGCAGGCGCTCGCAGCGGCAGGAGCGCAAACACAGTGGACGAACCTGACAGGAGTTAATCGTTGCGCTCATCACAACTCACAGTAACCGTTCTATGACACGACCCCAAGCGTCTGCCTGAATGCGGAGTTATTACTAATCTGGCCAAAGCAACTCACGCCGCAAGAGACGCGGATCGTTAGGATCGTGCCGTCAACAGTCGATGCGCGCAAGTGCTTGGTGGGAATCGATTGCTTCTCACGACAACAACGGCATCTTCACAGTACTCAGAGTAACTGTCTGAGTCTGAAACGCAGTTAGACGCTAGCCAAGTGTCGATAACTCACGTTGATGGGAAAGAGAGCGCCGTTAACTCCTCACTATTGGTTCTTGGATGACCGGAGCACGCCCGACGGCTGGAACTCCAGTTACACGCCAATCCGCCTTCGTGGGTGAGGCTCACCGAGTCCCCTGTTCGTAGCCGAGCAAGAATCGCCAACGATGACCCACTGAGATATAGGAAGAGACTGACGCTAATTCACAGCTGCCAGCCTCCAATGTACCGAGCGGCCGTGGACATATCGTCGCTGTCAACCCGTAGAGAGGACTCGGTCTCGTGCTTCTCCAGTGCTCTCGCAGTGAAGCTTAATGTCTACCACACACGGCGTCGCGACCTGTGCCTGAGTTCCTCTCCGCCTGGACAACTCACTCAGGATACGCTCGCACCTATCAAGATGGGTGTGATAATCCCTGGCACTCGAACTCTTGATCTGGGGATCTGACGGGGCTGGTTCAAGGTAGACCGCGTCTTTCTCTCGACAATTCACGGCGTCTGGATTGATATACGGACACTGGTAGGAGTTAGGACACACGGACATGAGAAACTCACCTGAGCCGGGCTTCGACGGTGTGACGGGGTCAGACCCAGATAAAGAATGTATCCAAGCGATGCACGAAACCAGAGTTGCCCCCTGGTGATTAGCTGGCCGAACAGTTACTCTCACTCATATCGCACCGCTGTCTTTCGAAGGTGATGCATTGATCCATCCTCCTCGACTATGAAGTTCCCTAAACGCCGCACACTGTGAAGGAGTTGGCACTGAGCGAGGTTGGGCAACTCACGCGTAACATGCTATCTGAGGAAGAGTTAACTATGCTCAAGTTCCGGCAACTCACACCTCATTGTCCAAGCTTGATCAGATAGCGCACACGTGAGGGCTGGATTGGAGTTAGTCAACGACGGTGACGAAACTCACAGACGGTGCCCCCGCTCTTGGAAAGCAAAGACGTACTTCGAGGTCTGCTGAGACTGAAGGTGAGCTACTCCGTTGGGTATATGCTAGCTCTATGAGACGCACTGTGGTGGAATGTGGGTTTGGAGTGAGAAGGTGTCGGGAAGAAGGAGAGAAGTTGCAGACAAGCGCTTATATATAGCTCACAGCCCCTCAGCTTCCCCCCTCGGTCTTGCGTGCAAGTCCCGCAGTGGTCGCCCACTCAAACGGCCGGCGTGAGGAGCGAGCTGAGTGCGACACTCAGTCACCCGAAGAACGTCAACTCGCGACTCACGCTTGGCACGGGCGCGACAGACGCGTCCTCATGATCTGTCCTAATGCCTGCCACTGCCTTGCCGCTTGGTCGGAACCTTCTGGACGATCTTGTTGGAGGCCAGGTCCACCCATCCCGCGGGACCGGTCACACATCACTCTTGCTCTCTCGCGCCAGATAGAGATGGCGGTCCTATGGATAAGCGGACGCGAGGGATCCGCAACCGTCGCAACCGCGCTGAGTCATGTGCGGGGGGCATCAGGATGCAGGAGGAGCGACTGGAAAGTGCCAAGGCTCTGAAGGATACAAAAATCAGGTTCAGTAATCTGTTCGAGCTACGGCCTGGGTCTGGACACGAGCGACTACCTCGCCTCCTCGCGCCTCTGCCTATTGACAGCAGCGACGACGCGCCAGAGTGTCGTCAGTTGTGTATCTGACAGAAGGGCTCGGACTCGAAGACAATCACTTTTCCTCCCCGTCTTCCTCTCTTTGCTTCATCCCCATCAATCTCCATCAAACATCTATCTCCTCGGTGAGCTTAGTTGCAGTACCTATTGAGCTGACACTCAGACCCTAGGATCAACAAACAGCTATGGGGTCCGCGCAAAGCTTCCACAGGAAGCTAGTTGTTTATATCGACGACCCCATCATCGTCGACGACGTTTCGATCTTAGTCCAGTCCGACCAAGACTGGACCGCGCTGTTCGAGGCACAGCACGTTGCGGGTCGTCTCGACTGTCTCAACGACATCATGGCTCGCAAGAGCTTCCTCTTCAACAGGGGACCCGAACGCTGGACCGGCAAAAACCGCGCCCTAACCGCTGCCGTCAAGGATTATGTCCTGAGGCACCACACCTGGTGTGAGGAGATGCTGGCGCGCGGCAAAAGGCACATCAACGGTGAGGTTCAACCCCCCATGGTACCTTTCTTCTTCGGCAACGTTCTAGACAGGAAGGCCCGCTTAGCCGGCAGCGAGGACTTCCGCGACCCCATGAGGCGCCGTCCTGCGTCCTGGTAGGCACCTTCATAGCAATCCGCTATGCATGTTCAAAGTGTTGAGCAAGTAACGATAGACAGCCTGCTCTCACTTGACTAAGAGCTCAGACCGTGTGTATCAAGAGTTTTGCAAAGGCAAGCGAGCATCCTCTCATATCCGAAGTCGTCTCAAGCCTTTCAAGTTCCTTGCAGCGCACGTCAAAAATCACATTCACCCGGTCTCCATAGGCAATGTCCAAGTGAAACGCAGCGGCCCACTGATATCATTCAGGAGCCCACCGTAAAACCGCTCATGAACAATGATCTCATCTCATCGCAGTTGAGGTCCTGGCTGCTGAATACAAGTGTGAGTGGTTCTCTCCCCCAGGTGCTATGTTTCCCTCCACGTAGTGTTGCATTTTGTAACGTGCGCTTGCTTATGGAGGGCTGTCCTGTTGTAAATGAGAGATGCATAACGATGAACTACAGTTGATACCTCCATATATAGCCACGGCGGCGCTGCCGCCGTGGCCGTGGCTGCGCTCTGATCGCTCTTCCAACATGTCCGGCTCCGGCACCGCACACGTCACAGAGGGGCGCTCCGGAATTTTCGTATTTTCGCACTGCCACACACACCACGCAATCTGGTGGCCGCGTTCTCTCCGCCCAGACGCTCTCTGCCCAAACGGCCCACAGGCACGTTTCCCGTCGCGCTTTTCATCGCGCACGCTAAGGGCTCGAGCACCAGCCATGATCGTTAGCGAGTCGATCGTGCACAACTTCCCCAGCGAGAGGAGACTCTTAACTATTTACCCTTTCCTTCCCATCCCTGTCAAAGGCAGGGGCCAGACCAAACGGCCAGCTTGCAGTCTTTCTCCCATTGCCTCGCCTCCCCACCCATCCTGTCACCATATGCACAACGCGATCTGTCCTTGGGAAGCAAAGCGCGCGTTGTGATCTCAATCGCTCCCCTTTAACGCGCTTACGATGTTCTGAAGTGCTTTCAATCAGATCTTGAAAGGAATCAGTTTCCTGATGGATCTTCGCACTCGCAACCAGGGCAACCAGGCCGGGTTTCCCCGTTAGATTCAGCAACCTGGACGAACAGCTCCGCCCTCGCAGACCCATATCGGGGAGCACTCGAGTTTCAGTAGCTTGAATCACCACGGAGCTGTACAATATCTGCTATTCTCTCTTGAGACCTACATCAGGCTCGACATTCGCCTGTTGTTTCTCAGTGCTGCTTCAATCGGAGGCGACATTGACACTGCCGTATAATTCCACCGGGGTATATTTATCACGCCTGCAGCAGTTCAGAGGACCCCTGGTCAGTTACGAGATCTCTAGTCTGAACGGCGTGTTTACATCGCATTCACCTCTTTCTCTCTCAGCCTTCTCCATTGTGCACCTTGATGAGACGTTTGCATGCTACGCGTCCGCATCTGTGACGATGGCGAGAGAGTGCAGCCATGTTATCCCCGGACGATGATCACTGCTCGCTCCAGTCGCATCACACTGATGGCAGGTTGAGTGGACTTCTACGGTCTTGGCAGATCCTTCTCTACTAATGTCGCCTGCGGACTGATGGGCGGCGCAAGCTGGTCCTCCTGAGATGACGCCCAGGCGATGACAGCCTGATGCGGTTTCCCCCGCTCTCAGCTTCACAGGCGTTCGCACACACAGCACACAGGCGGTCGCGAAACTGCTTGCGTCGGCACATCTGGAAGGCGCAATGGTGCACATCTGCTGCGGCAACGTTAATGACCGGACTGACACCCACAAACACATAAGAACGTGGCATGTGGTGTTCGTCTTTCCCAACACCTCATCATCCTCTATTCTCCGCCACCCCCGCTTACCCTCCCTTTACAATCGTCTCCAACCCTTTCGTTTTGGTGGGCATCAAATGCCATCAGAGAACTGGCGCGGCAACCAAGTGAGTAGCCTCCTTTCAACCCCTGCTTTGTCGCCATCAGTCAGGGGGGTGAATCGGAATGTCTAGGCAGAGCCACCGGGAGCAGTTGTTGTTGCAACTTGCGGAGACGGTGGACCCAGCTGAGATTGAGCTCATAGGCACTCTGCTTATCAGCACAATCGATCCATCGTTCACTGTTCGATTGGTGAATGTCCCGGACGACGGGTCTACTGTTAAGTGGTATGAGCCGATCCCTGATGGTGTGGGACGTATGATCAACGTCATTCCGACAAAGCCTAAGCCGGTCATTCAGTTCTCGCTGAGGGCCGGTACATACACTCGCATTGTGAATGTCGCCTCTAGGTGCAATGACCGCCTGAGGTGTGCGGGTATGCCAGTAACTACTGCGCGGCGCTCTTTGGCCGGTTTCGATACCGCTCGAGGAGCGGCTTCTTGACCCACCCGTACACCATCCTTGGTCCCTTACCCGATCAACTACCTGGGCGACGGAGTAGCTTGTGGAGGATCGTAAGAGGGGGAAAAAAACTGCCAAGGGCACTCCTGCCGCTGCAGAAGAAGCAGTCACGGTCGGACTGTCCCAACGGAGGGAGGAGTGCTGGAACAGTTGCAGGTGACGGAGCAGCAGAGCATCGTGTCGCCGGAGCAACCACCACCACTGCGTTTGCACTCCTTGCTCACCCCTCCGATTGGGACAGATCTGACATACAGATGAAGTCGTGCGACGCTTTGTCGGACGATAGCAGCGAGTTTCACACTGCCCCTTCAACTCCGATCGACGAACGTTCCTGCCCCATCCTCGAGTCGCCTGCAAAGATCGACCCCCAGGTCTCCGCCACCCAGACTCCTGCCGATCATCCCGCCGGTGACAACCTCAGCCGCAGTGCCGCCATCGAAAGCAACTTTCGTGGTGATTACAGTTGCCTCTTCTGGCTCGGCGGGAATTTCTTCACTGCAGAGCCCGAGCAAATCGAGTCTGAGTCCGAGCCCGAGACTTTGTTCGACTCCGACTCCGAAGAGTGCGCAGAGCTCAACCGTAGACAGCGCATTGCGTACCTCAACGCCCAGTCAGCAGCTGGAACTGCCTACGGCCCCTACCACCCCAATGGTATCCGGGGGCACAGGGAGCGCATCGAACACCATGGGCGCTGGTCGCCTCAGCTCCCACCCCATCTCCACCGGAACGGCTATTCCAGCGACTCGGGCGACGAAAATGGATCCGACTCTGACGACAGCGGATCTGGCATCATTGTCTGTGGAGACTCTCACAACCCTGGAGCTTGGGGCGAAGTGGGAGACGGACTCGGGAATGGACGCGGACGTGTCGGAGAGCTGTGGGACGGACTCGGTTTGGATGCCCCGGGCCTCGAACCGGTGGAGCGGCTGGGCATCCGAGGACAGCCAGGAGTACGAGGCGGACGTGCGCGCGATGGCTCTGGCGACGCCGTCTACCGAGGCGAGCTTCCAGGAGCCGATGGTCGACAGGCTGAGGCGAGGCTGGGGCAGGGTGGTGCGGCCGCTCCGTCGCATGGCCGCGGGCATGAACGCCCTCGTCAGGGGTATTCACCGATGAGGTGGACGGACGTTCACGGCACGCCTGCCGGCTACGAGCGCCAGCCTACGCCCGGCCCGTCGAGGCAGCCTTACCACCCGGACGACTGTGACATCTCTCGTCCCATCGTTGTGGCGCCTACGCCCCGCGACCTCGTCCCCTCCTACCACCTCACCGATGGCGGTGCGTCTCGCGCATGGGAGAGGGATCAGCAGCAATACTCCCAATCGGACGTCAACCTCATGTACGGCTTGGGCCTCTTTCCCCCAACCCCTCCGACCAGGTACCCGCCTGCGGAGACCGAGGCACCGGCGCCTCCTCGTCCCCGCCGCCACCGGGTACACAGGATCCTCAACGCCGTCAGGCGTCACGTCCGGCGCCTCGACCCGCACGACGCGCACAGCCGCGACATTCTCCCCGCCGGCGCCGAGCTGCAGTACAAGCAGGACATCCTAACCCGCATGATGAAGCGCGTCACGCTCGACGCTTACAGGCCGCACGACACCTCGCCGCAGACGGTCCAGCACGTCGAGAAGGAGTATTGGGACAAAGTGGCTCGCGGCGAGATGGGCATCACGCGGCCCGAATGCGTGCGTAACCGCGCGGACATGGCCGAGTTTGCCCATTACCTGAACCGCGTCGAGAACCGTATCGACATGTACGTCGAGCGCGGCCGCTACGACCCGCCGCCCGGGGGGAGCCGCTATGAGCCCCCCTTTGAGGGTCGCCGGGACCCTCCTCCAGCCCGCACCAGAGCCCCGCCCCGTGCCCCAGTGCAGCACCCGGCCTTTATCCCGCGCCATCTACGTGCGCAGCAGGTTGGGACCGACTCAGAGGACAGCGACCTCGAGGCTAGCTGTTACGCGCGCCACTGAACGATGTCCATAGCTCTGTCTCGGCGGAAAGTACGGACCGCTCGTGTACGACGTCACCTGTGTGGTGAGCGATTAATGAGTGATCAACATCATCTGTAATATCAGCAACATCTCCCAGATCATCAACACCGCCGTACAAGGCGCCATCATCCTCATCTCAACGCCCGCACATCTCCTCCATCGCCAACGTGTACCATGACACATCATGCAGAGTATCTCCATCACCCGCATCACCCTCTTTACACTGTCCAAGCAACACTCCTAGTCTGCCCAGGTCAATTTCAGTCCCATGGTCCGTGTCTCGAAGAACAAAAACAATAAAACTCCCAAAAATATCCGTACGTGTGCCTCCTTCTCATCTGTAGTCCCTTATCCACCCACAGATCGTTATACTCAATGCCTCTCCTTTTCCCCCCCCACTAGTATGTCCCTGGTCAGTCAGGACTATGTTAGTAATGCATTCTCATTCCCCCACTCTAGGCCCAGTCTCTGTGTCAGCTCAGAGTCAGCTCAATGTCAGCAGCGTAAAGTATAAGTACGAGCACGTGAGTGCATTGTCCATCCCTTGCATCCCAAATCTCTATTGTCCCCTGCCCATCCATACTCAAACCGCCAACTTGACGCCAATCTCCCTCGGTTTACCATCACTCTCCAGCGCAGCCTCGACAAACCCGACATCCCAGAGCGCCGCCCTCGGCTCGCCATTGTTAACTCCATTCTCGCCCGCAATAGCAGCCGCAAACTCGGCCAATTCGCGCGCGACGCCGCTCACGGGTCCCTCTTCTGTGACATCGGCCACTTCGCCGCCCTCCTCGCCTCGAAGCTCTAGACGCCAGCTGCGTCCTTTGTTGATGAGCGTTAGTGTGGCATGCGCACATGTGACGCGCAGCTCGTTCTGCGCCCTACTTTCCCGCGCGGTGTCAGGTAGGGCCCACGAGAGGGTGAAGCTGCCCACTGGGGCCGAGCGGCCAGGCTGCACGGGCATGTCTTTCAGATCCATCGTGCCAGCGCCAGGCGCGAAGGAGCCCTGCGGCTCCCCCGTCGCGGAGGGGGAGGGGAGGGCGAGGCCGACCAGCGTGTCGTGCGGCGGCATGTGGGAGCGGTGCAGGGCCTTGTGCGCCGTAATGGTGGTAGGCAAATATGCGGGAGGAAGGACGCAGCGCAGCACTGCTGCCCAGTGCACGCCGCCGTCGAGGAGGAAGCCGCCCTGGTAGTCCGGGACGGTGCGCCAGGTCGTTGCGTGGTAGGACGCGCCGTCGAGGAGGACAGTCTCAAAGTTCATCCGGTAGTAGAGCACGGGACCGACCTGTGGGGAGGCCAGGAGCCGCGCCGCGCGGTGCAGGAAGGGCTCGTGGGCGAAGTCTGCCGTCAGTCAGCTGAAGTAGGGTGCACAGACGAGGCCGTGCAGAGGCGACTCACTCTCAGCCACGCGCCAGACGAGGCCCTTTGGCGCCCATTCCCTCTCGTACTCCTCGACGAGCTGGCTGGCCTGCTCCACATCGCGCCCCACGGGCTTCTCGCTGATGACGTGTTTGCCTGCCTTCCACGCGCGCCGGATGAGTTCCGGCTGCACGCCAAGGGGAAGCACCATGATGATGGCCCTGATGCTGTCGTCGGCGAGGATGGCATCGAGACCGTCGGGGCCGGACTTGACCTCGGGAGAAGGACTGTTGGGGAGACCCGTCTCCTTTGCCTTTGCGGCGAGCTTGGACGCTGACTCGGGAGAGCGTGACCAGATTGTCGACACGGAGAGGCCCGGCACGAGAGCTAGAGAGGGCACGTAACTGTTCGTTGCGAAGAGGCCGCCGCCGAGGAGGGCGGCCTTGATCGGCTCGTGGGAAGCGGGGATCGAGTCTACGGTTGGAGCGGGGGCGGACATGCTTGCTGTGGAAGATGTGTTTGAGACGAAGAGAGTTGGGCAGGCTGCGATGAAGTCACCGTTGGCGAAATGGGCCGGCGGCATCGGCCCGCCCCTGACCGGCTCGCGGCGGCTATTGGCGGGCTGGCGGGATTACTCAGCCGCATGCACAGGACGAAAGCCGCACGGTGGCTTGGCGCGCGCGAGGGTGTTGGTGCAGACAGAGGAAGCGCCGCGGATCAAGAATCTGCATCGGTGTACGAGCACCTGGGCCGTCTAGTCTATAGCCATGAGAGTGCTCATTCTAGCTCCAAACCTCCATGGAGGGATAAGTCTACGCCTGCATCTTCTTCAGCTCGTTCTTCCATGCCCACTCGACAGCGAGCTCGACGTCGTCGGTGATCATGGTCGGCTTCTTGGCCGGCTCGCCGCCGGCGTACACGCCCGTGCGAAGGAGCACCGAGTTCCAACCGTACCGGTTCGCGCCGTCAATGTCTGCCGTCAGCGGGGGTTCGAGTCAGGTGAAGCGAGTCACGGCTCGTGCTACTCACCACTAAGAGGGTTGTCGCCGATCATGTACCTGGCCGTTAGCTGATCGAACAGGAGGCAAGCCTAAAAAGAAGGTCAGAAGGCGGGAGCAGCACAGCTGCCTCCAGTGCCCCACGCCCACTCACACGTCCAGCGGGCCGTTGACGCCGAGGCTCTTCGCCTGCCTGTCGAGCATGGTGTTGGCAAAGTCGTACGAGGCGTGGTGCGGCTTGCCGTACTGGTGGTAGATGAGCGGTAGACCAGTGCACGCCTTGTAGACAGCCTCGACGGAAATGCGGAACGCGCCCATACCGAGGCGAACAACAGGGTAGTCACTGGGGTCAGCTTAGATTGGGGGATCCGGCGCAGCAGGAAGGGTACATGGCCATGTAGTGAGAGGAGGCCCCGGCCCTCGCAGATCCGGGTACTCACGACTTCCACTCCAGGTCCGGGTTCGAGAACCACAGCGGGACCTCTCCGCCCTCCTTCTGCTTGTGCCTGTCCTTGCGCATGGTGCCGAGGAGACCTCCCTCAGACTGCTCCAGCTCGTTGATGAGGGTCAGGTCGCGGCCCCAGTCGTGCGAGTCGTGCAGGACGAAGATGGCCTCAATCGGCGTCGTGTTGAAGTCAATGTCGTGCTGGAGGTCAGCTGAGACTGCGCAACCACGCAGCTGCGGAGAAATCATGTACTCACGCGGACCATGGACTCGGGCGGCGGGTCGGTCTTGTCCCAAATTGAGCGGCGCCAGTGGATGATATCCTGCGGTATCACGGCCTTCTTGAGGCCGTACCTGGGCGTTAGCTAAGACGAACAGGTGTTCCAGCATGGGCGCAGCTGCGTCCCCTGATTTGCAGACTGCAACGTCGAGGGAAGGGATCAGCTAGTACTCACGATTCGCCAACCCTGCGCGCATTATCCCCCGGTCCACCAATACACAGCACTGGCCGATCCTTGTACTGTCCAACGACAGCCTGCAGCGGCGTGTGGCTCTGCACGAGCTGGTTCTCGCCCAGCTCGAGGTCAAAGTCGCGGGAGAGGGCCTTCCGGCGCTCCGCGTCGGGGACACCGCCCCCATTCGTCATGAGGAGGAAGGGGACGGGCCGCTCGAGGCGTCCATCGAGATTGGCCAGGAACTGGAGTGTGCGCTTGGCCTGGGGAAGGACGTGGTGGCCCTGCTTCAGAACGCCGTCGATGTCAAAGGCGAACGCGAGGGAGGGCGGAACGGGGATAGGAGTGGGAGCAGCTGCGTGTTAGCTTGCGAGACAATGAACGAGCTTCGAAGTAGGAGTGCAGAAGAAGGGACGAGGAAGACGCTGAAGGAAGGGCGCGAGGAAGGCCACGCCGAGGAAGGCTACACGGCAGAACGTCATCCTGCGCCACGGCACAAAGACACACTCACTGCTTCGGAACCGCACCCCCAGCGTCCGGGTGAGAGGGAGCACACGCACGCTCGTGCGGAGAGACAGCGTCGCCATCGTGATGGGTGAGTAACTTTGACGTGGAGTGAGTAACGAAGAAGCAACACGAACGCGATTGACCCCAAGCAGCATGCGTATCGGTCGGACCGCTCTCTCCGTCCGGTACGTCCGGCTCATCTCCGTTACCGTGCAGCGTGCCCAGCGACAGCCGAGTCGTCGTGCCTGGTGATGGCAAGTGAACGATGCGGAGTCCCACGAGCGGGACTAAAAATATCGCTAAGTGAGCCTCCCACAATCTTGGTCACGCCTGGGCTGCATGCAGGCTGAGATACAGCGGCGATGCGAGTGGTTCAGGCATGTAAACAAACACACAAAACAGTACCGACAATGGGGAAGAAGGACAAGAAGCCTGCCACCGCTGTGGCCGACACGGCGGCCGACATTGACGATATCTTTGCCGCACCGAAGAAGTCAAAACCTGCTGTTGCCGAGCAGCCCTCTTCGTCCTCGAAACCCTCAAAGTCCTCGTCAAAGGATAAGTCAAAATCCTCCGAGAAGAGCGAAAAGGCGGAGGAGAAGGAGAAGAGCGACAAGAAGGACAAGTCTGAGAAGAAGGAGAAGAAGCGCAAGTCCGAGTCTGAGGAGCCGGCCAAGAAGAAGAACAAGAGCGAGCGCGTGGTTGAGGAGGTCGTCGACCCGTCCCTTGCCGTCAAGGCTGCCGTTGAGAAGGCTAAGCAGAAGCCGGTCAAGGCCGCTAAGGCTCGAGGAAAGGAGGTCGAGGAGGACATGGCGTTCCGTGACTCGAGGGGAGATGCTGGACGTGAGTACACCTCCCCTTTCACCACTCGTCGTCCTTATTGAGGGAGCCTCGCGACGACTACCGATTTCTTTTACTGGCGTCCGGGTATCAACCGCCCCACGCTGTTATTGCGAAGAATGTCAGCTGACACCCAGGAAAACGCACGGAAGAGGGCTACCTCGTATTCAAGGAGGCCGAGCTCGGTATCGACCCCGAGGCGGGCGGCACGCCCTTGTGCCCGTTCGACTGCGAATGCTGTGAGTTTGTGTTCTGTTGTGGCTCGAATGTCATGCTGCATCTCCATTCTCGAGGGGTACATAATGCTGACTGGTGCAAGGTTTCTAATCTCATCTGCTTCTCCGTTGTACAACCATCCCTCAGCCCCACCCCCACCTTCCTCCCATTCTTCATTGCTGTCCCAATCCCATCCTCGACGAGCTCGCGCGATCGAGGACCTCTCACACACTCTATGCATTGCTTTTTCATCCGGACGCCGTGTCTGCTGTTAGCTCCAGCCGAGACACGACCCGTAGCTTGGAAGTCCACGATTACGCCCCACTCGCTTCCTTTGCTCGCCGTTACTCACAGTAGTACTCGTCCACGAGAGGAAGGTAGCCCTCGAGCAGGCCACCGGCGAGGCCAATGAGAGGGATGCGCTGAAGACCGCGCACGACGGCCATGACCTTCGGGCGGGTCCATCCGACCCACATGGGCCCAGTGAGGAAGAAGCGGGTCGCGAGCCGGCGGTCGAGCTTGGCGTAGTGCTCGGCGAGGAGCGTCGAGTCGCCAGTCGGAGCACGGAAGTGGCGCGAGACCAGCTGCATCGCGAGCGGGATGAGGAAGGGGTAGAAGTACGTCGAGAGCGTGGGCAGCGACGCAGGGCGGTACTTTGACTTCGGGTTGCGCATCGCATAGTAGAAGAGCAGCACCTGCACCAATCCCGTCGTGGAGTTGAGCACCTCGGAGAGCCACTCCTTCGCTGTGCAGAGCTCGGGAACCAGGCCGAGCGGATGCATCTGGTACGCCTCCGGCAGCGATGCTACCAGTGGGTACAGGTGCGCACGCAGCGGTTGGCGATGACCAATCTCCGGGATTACGGGGCGAGCGTCCTCCATCTTCTTGCCTAGCGCTGCCGGGGGCTGCGACTTGAGCTTCTCCTGCGGAATCATCGCAGGGTCAAACTCGCGCTGCGGTGTCGGCGGGGTGAGCACTGGGCGTCGCGTCACAAGGAGCAAGATGAAACGGAGGATCGATCTGTATTGTCAGCTCGGCGGTCCACGAAAGAAGCTCACTTGAAAGCCTCAATGGAGAGCACAAGACGCCAGCGCGCGCGGTCGCCGAGCTTGCGCCGGATGAGCATTTCGAGCAGCAGCTCAATGTAGGTTACCGTCTGAAGCGTGCGCGACGCTCGTCGGTACACCTTCGACTTGTCTGTCCAGTACCGCGTGTATCGCCTGTGCTCCGAGGCTGGAGGAAGAAGGGGCTGCACTCGACTCGCAGGCGGTGGAGCGCCGAAGAGGGACTCCTGAACGGCTGGCTCGGGCGCGAAGGGATGCGGGGGCAGGGACAGGGATGGCGGGATGCGCTTCTCGAGCAGCGCATCGTGCCCGCTGGACACGAGGGAGAGGAGAGCATAGACTGCGGATCAGCAAAAGTGGAGGTCGCGGGGGAAGGCAACTCACGGCCCTCGGACGCAACGTCAGCGTCTGCAAATCGACCGGGGAGGAACCAGGTGACATTGCGGATGGTGGACTCGACAGTGTTGACGGTCGAGATGTTGTCCACGAGGAGTTTCTCGTAGGCGTCGACGAGATGGGACGCCATTGTTTGGGGATGGTGGAGTGGTAAGGAATGACTTTGGTTAGAGGGGGTGGATCTAGATGGGACTGGTCGGGAAAGATGGTGGAAGACACCGGCATCTTTGGGCCGGGTGATGATGGGTGGCTCCAGCAGGCTGGCCCGGCAAGCTGGCAAGGGCATGCGGCAGGCGGAGCCGAGCGCCCTTTGGGCTGGCTCGGTGGGTGGAGAGCTGGAGAGTGCGTCTCCGGCAAAGGGGCGGGATCAGATTGGCTGAGCGTAGATCAAGCCTCTGGGTATGACGGAGGTGTGGGGTTGAGCGGCCAACGGCTGCAAGTGGAGGCCTAAGGTTCCAAAGTGCGAGGTGGAGGCTGACCGCGAGCTCATGGTCTGCGACAGATGCAACGTCGAGCAGGTTGGGTTCAGGCGTGTACGGCATTCAACCTTGGTTGTGTACGTTGCTCGATGGAGCCGCCCGCTCCTCGTGCCAGCATCAGGCGGCAACACCTCTCTCTCCTGACCATAGGTGCTCGTCCGATAGCTCACAGGCGAGAGGATCTCTGTCCTCCTGGGCTCAGCGGGCTCAGGGGGCAAGGTCCGCTGGGCGAATGAATCAATGCATGCCTCGAACCTAGCGTTCAACTGAATCGTCCAAGGGCGGCAAAGGGCGACCAGGGGGCTTCAAGGACCATCAATCAGGTCAACCAGGGAGGGAGGGCATGAGCGCATCGTCCATCCACCACCACCTACCTCCTCCAGCCAGCCGCACCACCGACCGACCGACCGATCCACCGACGCCGCCATCCAACACGACCCACGACCACTCCTTCGTCCGTTCCAGATCTCACCATCTCCTCTTCTACTCTTCCACACTTTGTTCACTCCCCGCGTCGACACGACATCTGACATGGTTCCTTAGCTCAACATCATCCTTGACCCTCTCACCCATACACGCGCAGAGAACCCCTCGACTTGCATACGCAAACTCCAACTACCCCATACCCCGCAACCAGCAAGCCAGCGCGCGCCAGCGCCAGCACTGACGCTCCTTCCTCCGACAACGAGTTTCACCCGACTCCCCGCAACGTCTTCCCCGTCCCCCGACCTGACACCTTTGGACGTTTGTCCCGCTCGTGTGTGCCGCAGTAGCCGCTGAGAAGCGCCCAGCAAGTCACCATGAGCGGATTCCAGTCACGACCACCTCCGCACATCAACGTGAACCTTGATCCGAACCGAGACTCCCGCTTTGAGAGCGCTCAGCAGGCGGACGACATCTATGCGCTGTACGGACGAGACTCGTGGGCGCTGTCAGACACGGCGTCGCTGCGGGAGCCGCACATTGCGGCGGCTTCACACTCTGACGTCGGCAGCCCACGGATCGGACCGAACGGAGCACATGGCGACCAGATGGAGCAGTTAGACTCTGACGACGAGGTGTTTGAGGCTTCGCCGCCGCGGCCATCGTTCGAGACGGCTCACTCCCGCCCCGACTTCTCGCAACCGCGTCCAGGGCTCGACACGCCAGAGTCGCCAAGAGTGGACACCTTCTACCAAGGCGACGGCATGGTGCACGCTCAGCCTTATCACCCTGGCGGAGGTTGGGGTGATGGAACAGGAGCTGAGCACGAGCACACTGATCGACATGTGCCTGCAACACCTCCAGGTCCACAGCAATACGTGAGACCGCCTTCCGAGAATCACGCCCAGTCTGGACCGCCCGAGAGCGTCAACTCGCACTACAGCAGCAGCATGGCCCCGCACGAACCGTCCTCGACGGACCACCACTACTCACCCTACTCGAGTGCCGGTGTTGGGCCCCCAGCGCACAGTGACCAGTACCACGACGCTCATTCCGGCGGAGAGCACGACCTCTATGCGCCAGGTCCGCAGGGCGTGCCCATTGCTTCTTCCGGATCGCAGCCGCAGGCTCCGCAGACACCTTCTCAGCCTTCGACAATGTCGCGCGCCTCTCGCATTCCCCCTCCGACTCTTCCTCCTCACCTTCGCACACCGGAACGATTGTCCCCGCCGCAAGCGTCTCCGCCGGGCTCAGCACCAGTCCACCCTTCCATAGCACGGCTTAATGGGCGCGTACCTAGGAACGGACCTCCCGCTAGCCCTTCAAGTGCTGGAGACCATAGCATGAGTCTCTCACAAGCCTCGCTCGTCAGCTCCCAATATCCCGGAGAAGACGATGAGGCCTTCCATGTGCGATCAACTTGTGAGTGCAGCTATCAACGACGGCTTTCTGAGCTGACAACAGATGCTCGATTAGAGGTCGAGGGCGTGTACGGCGACGGGTGGGACGAGGGAGTTGAGCGAACACGAGGCGGGGCCAGCAACGCGGGGCGCGTGACGATGGTATTCCCGGATGAGCCCGGCGAGATCTCTGAGCAGGAGCGCAACTTCCTGGCCTCGCTTGATCGGTACGGGTTTGTCGATGTCCCCGCCCAGTCGCGCGCCGAGGGGCGACTGGTGCTCGTCCCGTCGTCTCCGTTCAGCAAGGTGCCGCGCCTGAAGGTGAAGGCGGGTACGAAGCCATCCAAGCAGCCTCCTCCGCCACCTCCCCCAGCATCAACGGGGCAACCGCCATCTCCTACCGTCCCGCCGCCAAACGGACCGTCAGGGGTCGACCGCACGCGTGCCAAGAAGAAGGAGGAGGAGCGCGTGATGAAGTGGCTCCAGATGATGAGCGTGGACAAGCGCGACACGGGCGGAAACGTGACGCAGTGGCGCTGGTCAAGTACCGACGGCGCCAAGCATCCGACACGTATCTACAAGGGCATCCCCGATCGGTGGCGGATGGCGGCCTGGTGGACGCTGGCCGAACAGCGCGCAGCAAGGGCGTCTCGGAAACAACCAGCCGAGGCGCTCGAGAACGACTATGCCGTGCGGAAGGAGCAGCCGTCGACGAACGACGTGCAGATCGACCTCGACGTGCCTCGGACTATCTCGGGACATGCGCTCTTCAAGACGAGATTCGGACACGGACAACGCGCCCTCTTCCATGTCCTCCACGCCTTCTCCCAGACGTGCGGGACGTGCGGATACTGCCAGGGCATGGGCAGTGTGGCGGCCACGCTGCTGTGCTACTTTGCGCCCGAGGTGAGCTTCATGGTTCCACGCTCTAGCTAACGAGCAGCGCGCATACACGCTCCTGGTCCGTCTGCACGACCTGTACGACATGCACGGTATCTTTGCGCCGGGCTTCCCGGGCCTGCTCGAGACATTCTACGTGCAAGAGCGCCTATTGGAGCACCTGATGCCGGACGTGTACGCCTCCTTCCAGCGCAACATGATCAGCTCGAGTGCATGGGGCGCCAAGATCTACATCACGCTCTTCGTCAACGTGGTGCCCTTCAACACGCAGCTGCGCCTGTGGGACGCCCTGTTTCTGGACGGGTACGACGTCATGGTGCTCGCGGTGCTGGGGCTGTTGTGGGCGTACCGGCCGCTGCTGGCGCACAAGAACGCCAACTTCGAGAGCATATTGAGTTTGTTGTCGAGCTACTTTGTGCTCGAGGACGAGGACGCGTACCTCGACTGGATGCGGAGGGTGCTCCACTCCAACGGCGTACGGGAGCAGATCACGAATTGGCGCAGGGAGTGGAGAGGTCTCGTGGCGAGGGGGGAGGAGGGTGGGATCCTTCTCTAAGCTGTAAGTCGAGCTCGAGCGGCTGAGCGAAGAGGGGTCGCGAGGCCCCGAAGGCCGAAGGCTGAAGGCTGAAGGCGAGAGGAGGCAATAGGGGAGGATCCTGGGGAGGAGCGAGGCGCGAATAACATCATACCCAACGACAATCATAGACGACACATCGAGTCGAAGAGCGGGCCACACAGTTCTATAATCCATTTCTGTCTTAATCCTTACCTACCATTATTGACCATTCTCACTTGCATTTTCCACTACCCATCCTCAATCTTCCATACAGACACCACCAAATCCACTGCGAGACGTCCTTACATAGTTGCATGTCATTAGTGCCCTGCTTGCGCCATGACTTTCACTCTCCATTCAGACACCACACCGAGACCATCCGAGAACCCGAGCCACTACTGTCCCAATCCAGGCTAGACAACCTCTCCCTTCTGTCCTAGCCACTGCGCCACATCCCTATCCCCTCTCCTCACAGCTCAAGCCTCGCTCCGCTCGGCCACAGTCCACAAATGCACATGTTCATTCCTAATCTCTATATATGGGGGTGGGTGGGGGTTAAACTTTGAACGAAATAAAACTGAAAATAAAAACCGATCAACTCTCAGACTCGTCTCTTCTCAACAACAAACGGAGAATTCTCTATAATTATGTTTTTATGGGCCGGTTACACTGGGATGTGTTCCGGCAGGGTTGGCCTTTGGCCTGCTCAGTCAGACTCAGCCAGGCTCGGCATAGCCCAGCCTCGCTACGCCTGCATGCGCTCGGCCATGGGCCTGGGCCTCGCGCGTAGACTCGCTTCGCTCGTCTACTGAGCCACAGCAAACGCAATAGCCGACGAGTCCGAGTGCGAAATAGACACCTCGATCTTCTTGCCTCCCGCGGCCTTGGCGGCGTCGCCGGCGAGACGGACCTGGGGTCCAGTCTCGGACGCGACGATCTCAATGTCCTTCATGGCCGCGCCGGCGCCCTTGGAAGGCACGCCGAGGGCCTTGAAGACGGCCTCCTTGGCGGCCCAGCGGCCCGCGAAGGACGCATCGACGTCGGGCGCCTTGGAGCAGTACATGATCTCGTCGGGGGTGAAGTTGCGCATGCGGAACGTCTCGCTTGTCGGCACGGCAGAGATGAGCTCGGTGTCGACGCCGACGCCGGCGGTCGACTTCTGGTGCTTCAGGAGCTTCTTCACCGTCTCGGCGTGCTCGTGCTGCGCCGGGATCGACGAGGGGAGCTTGCCCTGGAACGCGTAGCTGCCCTTCGCGGTCGGGGTGGCGCGGGCGAGCGGGTTGAGGAGAACGGGTCCCTCGAGCTCGGGCGTGTACGGAGGAGCGTCCTTGATCTGGACGAGGTTGTTCTCGACGAACGCCTGCGAGAGACGCGTGTACGAGTCGAGCTCACGCTCGCGGCGCTTCTCCTTGTACTCCTTGAGCTGCGAGGGCTCAAGCGAGGCGTAGAGGTAACGCGGGTGCAGGATCGCGGCCTGGCCACCGACCTGGCCGAAACCGAACGAGGTCAGGAGACCAGCCTCGAGACGCGTGTGCTGGATCGACTTGGACGGGTAGAACAGGTACGGGAAAGCGAGGAGCTCCTCCGAGATGTTGTCGGCGTTGCGGTTGCCGGGGACAAGGGCAGAGTTGATCGTCTGCAGCATACCGTTGAACATCCACGCGGCGGCACCACCCTTGGGGTGACCAGTGAGGTACTTCTGGGTGATGACGGGGACGGCGTTACCCTTGGTGCGGCCGAGCTGCTCGAACTGGAGGTTGTAGACACCAGACTCGTTCTTGTCGTTGGCCTTGGTCGAGGTACCGTGGCACGAGATGACACCGACCGAGTCGGCGTCAAGACCCCAGACGGCGAGGGCACGGCGGAGGGGAGCGATCGAGGGGTCAGAACCCTCGAGCATACCAAAAGTGGCAAGAGCGTCCTTCTCCTGGCGCTTGGCCTCGGACTCGATGAGGGCGACGCGCTCCTTGAACGCTTCGCCGTCGGTCGACTCGCCAGAGGCGGCGAGCTCGTCGCGGACAAAGTCAATCTCGTTCTCCATCCACTGAGCAATCTGGTTGCGGCGGAAGGCGAGCTGACGAGCACGGTACTTGACGTCGAGGATGGGAAGGGCGCGGGCGGGGTTGACCTCGCGGGCAGTGGAGAGGACACCACGGCCGGGGGCGGGGACGGAACGACCAGCCTTGTCGGTGTGGGTCGACGAGTAGGCGACGATACCCTGGATGGAGGCACCCATCTCGAGGGCAGTCTTGGCGCTCATGAGAACGTGGACACCGCATCCCTGCGACTCCATGAATCCAGCACGGGTCGAGGTCATGGGGCGCGAGAACTCGTTGGGCTCACGGCCGTTGGCAAACTCGGACTCGGCGTTCGAGGTGGCCTTCATGTTGGCGAACTCGTACGAGCCCTCCTCGGAGAAGTCGTCGAAACCACCAGCAATCATGACCTTGGCCTTGCCGCCGAGGATCGAGTCGCAGGCAATCTCAACGGACTGCAGGGCAGTGGCACACGCACCGACGGGGATCTTGACGGGACCCGAGGCGGACATGAGGAGCAGGTTGACCCAACCAGCGACAGTGTTGATGAAGGTCTCCTGGAGAATGTCCTTCTGGACGTCCTTCTCCTCGCGACGGTCCTTGAACATCTGCGAGAGCGAGGCCATACCACCCATACCGGAACCGAGCGAAGTACCAACCTCAGAGGGGTGGACGTGCTTGTAGATCTCGTAGGGGTCGGTGACACCCGACATGATGAGAGCCTCCATGACGGAGACGAGGGCCCAGAGGGCAGTGCGGTCGGTCTGGGCAATGATGTCCTCGGGGAGACCGTAGCGCTTGGCGTCCCAGCCAGTGGGGAGCTGGCCGGCGACAACACGGTCAAACTTGACGGCCTTGGGGAGAAGGACACGGGCACCCTTCTTGAACTTGACGAACCACTCGCCAGACTCCTGGGCCCAGATGTCGACGTTGTCGCCCTGCTCACGCTTGAACTTGGCGGCGTCGTCGGCAGAGACCTCGAGGGGCTCGAGGTCGTGCGAGAGCTCAACCTCCTGGGTGAAGCCCTTGCGCTCGGGGTCGTAGCCGTGGAAGAGCTCGGGCTCGATGAGACGGATACCAGTGTGCTCGAGAATCTCCTTCTCGTACTTGGAGCGGACGTCCTTGTCGTCAACGGGCTCTCCAGACTTGGCGTCGACCCAGCCGACGTAGGCCTTGCCGTCCTTGAGCTTGCCGTCGAGGTACTTGATGTAGCCCATCATCCAGGCGAGCTCAATGCAGCCCTCGATGGTGAACTCACCGCGGGCCTCCATCTCCCAACGGGTACGCGAAGAGCCCCAAGGGCCAACCTCGGCGAAACCGGTACAGACAATGACCTTGTCAAGGTCAATGAGACCCTGGAGGTGGTTGAGCTCCTTGAGAACGTCGTCCTCCTCAATCTTGGGGAAGTCAAAGTTGAAGTTGGCGCGAGGAGCAATGGAAACCTTCTGGTGAAGGCGCTCAGCGTCAGCGCCGTTGGTGACACGGAAGTCGGCACCGTTGTCGAGGGCGATGGCCTTGCGGAGGTCGGCAATCTTGTTAATGTCAAGACGGATCGAGGTCATGACGTCGGCGAGACCGGCAACGCGGTCCATGCCACCGTTAAGGTCGGCCCAGATGGGCTCGATCTGGGTGATGTCGAAGAGGAGAGGGTGCATCAAACCGAGAATGTTGAAAGCCATCTCCTTGGCCGAGAAAGTGCGAACACCGAGCTTCTCAAGGCCCTCAGCGACAAAGTTGGTGGCGCTCATGAGACCAGTACCACGGGTCCAGCCAATGACGGCACCGGCGATACAGAGGTACTCGCCCCAGGACTCGGAAGCCCAACGGTTGAAGAGGGTCTCGAGCGAGATCTTGGACTCGGCGTAGAGACCGTCGTTACCGAAAACACCGTGGTTGGGCGAGAGGGGAAGGACAACCTGGGTGGGGCGGGTAACGAACTTGCGGGCAGCCTTCTTGGCCTTGACGGCACCGAGAAGACGGAGGAGGTTGGTCAACATGAGACGGTGAGCAAGCTCAGAGCGGTCGTCAAGACCGTCGATCTCACGGCCGTTCTCGGGAAGAGCGGCGAAGGGGACAATGTAGTCAAGGTCGACGCCGAGGTCGGAGTAGATGTAGTCGACGAGAGCCTCAACGTCCTGCTTGGAGGCACCGTTGAAGGGGACGACAATCAGCTTGGAGCCCTTGGAGCCGACCTCGTGGAAGATGTTCTTGTAGTAGTCGACAGTGTCGCGGCTGTAGCGCGAGGTGGTGACGATACAGGTGGCACCGCCAGAGAGGAGACCCTTGAGGATCTCAACACCGATAGAGCCCTTGCCGACACCGGTGAGGAGGGCGGCCTTCTTGGCGTAAGTGACACCAGACGAGGCAATCTCAGTCAGGACGTCAAAGTAGATGTTGGTGAGCTTGTTGGAGTAAGCCCAGGCGGTTCCGGTCTTCCTCTTGAGGTGGAGGAAGGGAAGGTGCTCGTCGTCGACCTCGGTGCGGTCCTCGACCTGGGGGCGGAGGAACTGCGAGGAGTCACGGCGGGCCTTGGGGCCCTTGGCGCGCTCAAGGGGGTCCTTGGAAGCGGCGGAAGAGGCCTGCTGGCCGAGCGACTTGATAACCTCAGAGTACATGTTACGGATAGCGGACTTCTGAGCGCTGGTGATGGAGGGCTGGGCGTTCACGAGCTCCCAGAGCTTCTCAATGTCGGCCTGAGCCTTCTCAAGGTTGACCTGAGCCTCAACCTCACCGCCGTTGGCCATCTCCTTGACGTAGCTCTCGAGCTTACGGACGTGCTGGCGGGGGATCTCAGAGTACTGAATGTCACCCTTCTGGGAGACCTCGGTGTGGGGAGCAGTGGGGAGGGCGACATCGCGGTAAACGGGGGGCTTGTCGGCAACCTCGAGACCTGCACACTCGTTAGCTAGCTATTCCGCTTGCGGCGTTTCTCAGCTACTCACAGTTCTCGAGAAGGATCTGACCGAACTTCTTAGCCTTCTCGTAGTTGGGGCCCTTGGTAACATCAACATTGTCGATGTGGTACTTCATGTAGCTGGGAACGTCAGATTTCGGCTGGCTTACGAGGTGGAGGGCGCTTCGTTGCGCCTCTAGTTACTCACTCGATGAGCGCGGGGTCTGCACGGTTCATCTGAAACGGTTGTCAGCGTCCGTGATTCGATTGCTAGACTGCTCTGCGCGATGGGCGCCTTGGCGGTTTACTTACGATGGCAATGCAGCGCGACGTGAGCTCACGGCGCACATAGTCGGCGTCGGCGGACATGGCTGCGAGATTGGCAGGTCGCCGACTTGATCAGAGAGGAGAGAAAGGGGAGGGAGAAGTTGAGGAGAGACAGTGGGCGTTGGCTGTCAGAAAAGTCGGGAGAGGGAGAGAGGAGGAGTCAGGAGGGGGCGGAGGGGGGAGGAAGGGCGACTCTTTGGTTGAGGGAAGGGAGAGAGATAGAGATGAAGAAGAAAGGGTGAGCCGGGTCTTGGGATGTGAACAGATAACAAGACTAGCGACGGCGAGGAGATTGGGGAGATGGAAGAGGAGGGGGATGTGGGTTTACTTTGAGGAGGTGTCAGCGAGTGACGACGGCTGCGGGTTTGACGGCCTGGAGGTAGCAGCAGCAGTAGTGCCTCGACGGTGGTCGCCATCGGTCGGATTCTCTACTGGCTGCTGAAGCTATGGGGCAGAGATAACCCAACCCCACCCCACACTGGGCCACGCGAGGAAGGTTCCGTGACAGTGATAATGGGGCAAAAGTGCCGAGTGGACCCTGAAAGTCCGCCCTTGCGCCTGTCAAAACCCCTGGGATGCAAATCTATCGTGTTTCGCACTTGATCGCCTGCGTAGCGTACCGCGAGCGGTGACCTGTCGTCCTGCTTCCCCTCCGCCCAGCCAGCCCAAGTCAGGCACGTCGCGTACCTGTCGGTCTCGTCTCGCCTCCACCCCTCCACATCGCTCTGATTTTTTTTTCTCTCTCTGTGCAGGTACAGGTGTGCTGCTGTCCGTTGCGCCGAAGCGCCGCCGACGCCGCCGCGCCTTCCCTTTCCGACCAGGCGATTCTGGCGGCTGGCGGGTGAACCTCGCCTGTCTCGCTGGTCAACTGGGTCTTTCGGGGGCGGGGTGCCTGAGTTTCTAGGCTGCCAACCCCAGCAGGTATGGGCTGGGCTGGGAACAATCCCTTTCCATCACCTGATGCCTGATTCGCATCATCGCATCACATCTCACGCACTGCTCCCGACCCGTTGCCATGCCGCACTTGGACGAGTTTTTTGGCTCTCGCTCCATGAGGGCAAAGGGACCTGCCGTCGAACGGCGCGAGGACAGCATGGCGTTAAGACCTACGTAGCACCTGCGAGAACCGGCAGGCTGGCTGTGCAGGTGGTGGCAAATACCAGGTGGAGCATGGATAGCATGCATGCATGGTGAACGGGTCACGGGTGACGACGAGTGCGTCGGTGGCTGCATTGGCTGGCTGGCTGGCATGGCTGAGTGTACTTGAGTAGGGGCCACCACGTCAACAACAGTCAGCGATGCATCGCAGTCAGATGGAATGTGAGATCATTGATCACCGCGAATTTGTATTTAATGAGATTGTGCCTTTTCCGGGCGGCGCGGGGCGGGCGACGTGCGCGATCTGCGATGCACGTTGCAAGGAAGGCCAGGAGGGAGTGACTACTAGCGCGGATTTCAATGGCTGTATTGGGTAATAGGATTAGCTGATAGCAAATTGCTTCTGCCAGAAAAGCGGAACTCTCGGGTCAACCCACTATGAAACCCCAAAGATAAAATTATCAAACCGCGATAGGCCATAGGCCACTTGGCGGCCACCGCTCGCCATGCCCAGCGGCCATCTACGTGTTTCGTGCACCATCCATCCACACGCTTGCGTACTTGTCTTGTGCATGGCGTTGTTGCTGAACAATGCCGCATGTGCCATGTGAGGATAGGGGGGGTCAGATCGGGATTAAAGCCGTGCACTGTGTGCATTTGGGCGTATGTGCACATGGATTTATTTGTTGCTCACTGCTTCCCATCTCATGCGGAGGGAGGGGTGCGCGATGGAAGGATAAGGGGGAGGGACCTGAAAAAGTTGGGATGCCGACGTGCACCTACTGCACCGATGCACCGACTGCTGCACCGCGCACCGACCGATCCGTCGGCACTCACTCACATACGCGGGCGGTTCCCACCGCTCAAACGTTGGGGTTTTTGTCTGGGCCACGTGGCGAGGAGAGTCCGCCTATCTCTGGACCCTGTCGCCCTGCCGCCCCTGATTTCGCCCTGCAGGCCCTGTACCCCACACTCCCCACCACCAGAAATCGCGACCGCTGCAAACCACTGGGGACAGGAGAAATCCAATCCAAAGCCCCCGAGTCCCAGTTGGGGCAACCAACCCGTCCACCACCTACCGACCACCACCGACCACTGCAGCACACCACTGCACAACCGCACACCGCGGCTCGGCCCTCTCCCCCGTCAATCACCCCGCCCTCGCTACCCAAAAGAAAGTCATAGCCTCCTACGCACCCTTCTCCCTCTTTCTCCATCTCCCTTTATCTTTAGACCAAGGGTGGTATCTCTTTGCCATCTCCCTCTATCTCTCTCTCTCTCCCATCTCCCATCCTCTCTAACCCTCCTCCTCTCTCCTCTCCTCTCGACCAAACGAACCAAGCGCGGCACCCTCTAGATTTCCGTCGTCACCGCGCCTTCCCCCCCTCCCCCTTCCCTCTTCTTCTTATCCACAAGTTTGGGACTGCCGCAAGTCCAACCGCCCAGCATGGCGTCCCTCTTCAGCGGTCCCCCTCCCACCCGCCCCTCGTTCTGCACTCGCCTGCAGCTCGCGTTCACATCCTCGTCCCCGCCTCCCCCCTCTCCGCCTGGGTTGCCTCTGAGGTCGCCGCCCAGGAGTTCCACGACTCTCGCATCGCCGACGACGATGTTCCCGCCCCCGTCGACGAGGACGACGAGGACGCCGTGGCCGCCGAGCCCACCAACGAGCCCCAGGTCAAGCTCCTCGCTCGTTTCCTCTCGTTCGTTGCCGACAAGGTCGCTTCTGAGCCTTCCGATGAGCTCGTCCAGGTCCTCCTTGCGACCTACGAGCGCTTCAACGAGCTCTTCCTGAGCTCCGAGAACGTTCTCTCGCTCGTTCAGGACTACCAGCCCGAGGTCCGCGCTGAGGTCCTGACCGCCTACTTCAAGGCTTTCGCGGCTCTCCGCAAGGCTCTCGGCGACTCTGCCGTCAAGATTGCCCACCCCGCTGCCCTCCTCGAGGCCGCCAAGCAGGGTGAGGCCGAGCTCTACGCCCTTTTCGGTGGACAGGGTGTCAACGAGGTGAGTCACAGCAGATTTCGTGATATTTGGGGATCTCGGCTAACTTTGTGTTACAGACCTACTTCGACGAGCTCCAGTCGCTCTTCAACGTCTACCGCCCCTTCGTCGAGGAGTACCTCGAGAAGCTCACCGAGCAGGTTCTCGTCCCGCTCGCCCAGAAGGCCGACGCCGACGGCTTCCCCTACTACTCGCAGGGTCTTGACCTCATCGGCTGGCTCCGCGGCACCGCTGCCCGCCCCACCACCGAGTACCTCGCCTCGATCCCCCTGTCGCTCCCCCTGATCGGCACCACCCAGCTCACCCAGTACTGGATCGCCGGCAAGGTGGCTGACGTTAACCCCGGAGAGCTTCGCTCGCTCTTCGGCGGTGCTACGGGCCACTCGCAGGGTCTCGTTTCGGCCATTGCTGTCGCTGCCTCCGACTCGTGGGAGTCGCTCGAGGCTAACATTGCCAAGGCCGTCCGCCTGCTGTTCTTCATCGGTCTCCGTGGTCAGGAGGCCTTCCCCATCGTTGCCATTGAGCCCGAGATCATTGCCGACACCACTGCCAACAACGAGGGCACCCCCACCCCTATGCTCGCCGTTAACGGCTTGAGCCGCAAGGCCCTCGAGGGCCACATCGAGAAGGTCAACGCCTTCCTTCCCGAGAACGCCAAGGTCGGCATCTCGCTCTTCAACGCCGCGACCATGTTCATTGTTACTGGTCCCCCCAAGTCGCTCTACGGTCTCGCTACCGCCCTCCGCAAGGTCATGGCCCCCGCCGGTCTCGACCAGGGCCGCATTCCCTTCTCGAAGCGCAAGGCTGTTTTCAACATCCGCTTCCTGCCCATCAACGTCCCCTACCACTCGGACTACCTCCAGGGCTGCACTGAGCGTCTCCTGAAGAACGACTTCTCGGACGACTGGTCCGCTTCCGAGCTCGCCATCCCCGTTTACAACACCGAGGACGGTAAGTCATCTCCTGGGTGCAATGACCCCACTTTTCAAAATTAGCCGAGATTGCTTCCGCTAACGTTATCTCAGGCTCTGACATGCGCAAGACCGCCGGCTCGATTGCCGAGAGCGCTCTTGACCAGATCTTCACCAAGCACATCCACTGGGCTAAGGCTTGCAACTTCCCGTCGACCGCTACCCACGCCGTCGACTTCGGCCCCGGAGGCAACTCTGGTGTCGGATTCCTCGTCTCCCGTGTCACTGAGGGCCGCGGCGTTCGCACTATCGTTATTGGCGAGAAGGGCGCTGCCGCTGCCGAGTTCTACGATGCCAACAAGGTTCGCTCCGAGCCCGCTTGGCAGCGCGAGTACCACCCCCGTCTCGTTAAGACTCTTGACGGCAAGATCAACATTGACACCCCCTTCTCGCGTCTTCTCGGCAAGCCCCCTATCATGGTCCCGGGTATGACCCCCACCACTGTCGGTGCCAACCTTGTTTCGGCCACTCTCAACGCTGGCTACCACATTGAGCTTGCTGGTGGTGGTCACTTCGCCCCCTTCATTCTCCGTGCCAAGGTTGACGAGCTTATGCGCCGCAACAAGCCCGGTCTCGGTATCACGGTGAACGCGCTGTACATCAACCAGCCCCAGTTCACCTTCCAGTACCCCCTCCTCCAGGAGATGCGCCGCGAGGGTCTCCCCATTGAGGGCTTCTGTATCGCTGCTGGTATCCCCAGCTCGGACAAGGCTACCGAGATCATCACCAACATCAAGAACGCTGGCCTGAAGCACATTGCCTTCAAGCCCGGATCGACTGAGGGTATCCGTCAGGTTGTCAACATTGCCCGTGCCAACCCCGACTTCCCCATCATCCTCCAGTGGACTGGTGGCCGTGCCGGTGGTCACCACTCGGCTGAGGACTTCCACCAGCCTATCATCTCCACCTACTCGTCGATCCGCAAGTGCCCCAACATCTCGCTCATTGCTGGATCCGGTTTCGGTGGTGCTGAGGACGTCTGGCCCTACATCTGTGGTGACTGGTCCACCAAGTTCGGCCTGCAGCCCATGCCCTTCGACGGTGTTCTCTACGGTTCGCGTGTCATGGTCGCCAAGGAGGCCGACACCGCGCCCCAGGTCAAGAAGCTCATCGTCGAGGCCCCCGGTGTCGACGACTCGGAGTGGGAGGGCACCTACGACAAGCCTACTGGTGGTATCCTCACCGTCCGCTCCGAGCTTGGTGAGCCCATCCACAAGATTGCTACTCGTGGTGTCAAGCTCTGGCGCGAGTTCGACGACACTGTCTTCAACCTGCCCCGTAACAAGCGCAAGGCTTGGCTCGAGAGCAAGAAGGACTACGTCATTGAGCGCCTCAACGCCGACTTCAACAAGCCCTGGTTCCCCATGAAGAAGGGTGGTGTTGCCGTCGACGACCTCGCCAAGATGACCTACGAGGAGGTCACCCGCCGCATGATCCAGCTCATGTATGTTGAGTCGGACAAGCGCTGGGTCGACATCTCGCTCCGTAACCTCACTGGTGACTGGCTCCGCCGTGTCGAGGAGCGCTTCGCTGGAGTTGATGGTATCCGCACCAAGGAGTCCCTCCTCCAGAGCTTCTCTGCTCTTGACGACCCCATCCCCACCGTTGACGCCTTCTTCAACCACTATACCAAGGGTAAGGAGCAGCTCATCGGTGCCGAGGACAAGGCCTACTTCCTTAGCATTGCCGGCCGCCCCTTCCAGAAGCCCGTTCCCTTCATCCCCGTCTTCGATGACAACTTCGAGTTCTGGTTCAAGAAGGACTCGCTCTGGGTTGCCGAGGACATTGAGGCCGTCTTTGACAAGGACGCCCAGCGTGTCTGTATCCTCCAGGGTCCCATGGCCGTCAAGCACTCCAAGGTCGTTGACGAGCCCATCGCCGACCTCCTCGGCAACATTGAGGGTCTCCTGACCAAGTACATCCTTGAGCGTTACTACGACAACGATGAGTCCAAGGTTCCCACCCTTGACTACATCGGTGCCCGCCCCAGCCAGGCCCACACCATGTACGCCAAGGAGTCGGTTGAGGGTGGTGCTCGCTACCTCTCGCTCACCGACAAGCTCCCCCGCGTCGAGGACTGGCTCCAGCGCATTGCTGGCCCCAAGCTCTCGTGGCTCCGTGCTGCCCTCACCACCCCCAACGTTGTCCAGGGCAAGAAGTACGCGACCAACCCCTTCCGTCGTATCTTCGCTCCCCGCAAGAACCAGACCGTTCGCATCACCCCCGCTGAGGGTGAGCCCGAGAAGGTTGAGGTCTTCGGTGCCATCCGCTCCGCCGGTAACTCGCCCAAGGACTTCAAGGCTGTCGAGCTCTCGTTCGACCGAAAGACCCGCGTCATCACGATGCAGCTCAACGAGGAGCGCCTCGGCTCGTCGGTTCCCCTCACCTTCACCTTTGAGTACAAGCCCGAGCAGGGCTACGCTCCCATCCACGAGGTCATGGAGGGCCGCAACAAGGCCATCAAGGACTTCTACTGGCGTCTCTGGTTCGGTGACAACGAGAAGCTCCCCAGCCTCCCGCTTGACAACACCTTCACCTGCGGTGCCACCACCGTCGACCCCGCCACCATCCAGCGCTTCTGTGACGTTGTTGGCAACCAGGGTGAGAAGTTCAAGGCCGCTCGCAACAACGAGATCCTCGCTCCCATGGACTACGCCATTGTCCTTGGCTGGCAGTCTATCATGAAGACCATCTTCCCCGAGGCCATTGACGGTGACCTCATCAACCTCGTCCACCTCTCGAACGGCTTCCGCTTCATCGAGGGTGTCGCGCCCCTCAAGGCCGGCGACGTCTGCACCACCGAGGCTCGCGTCACCTCTGTCACCAACTCTGACAGCGGCAAGACCGTCAAGGTTAAGGGCTACGTTCTCCGTGACGGTGAGGCCGTCATCGAGGTCAACTCTGCCTTCCTCTACCGCGGCAAGTTCACCGACTACGAGAACACCTTCGAGACCATCGAGGAGCCCGACTACGTCGTCAAGCTCGACAAGCCTACCTCGGTCGGCGTTCTCCAGTCCAAGCCCTGGTTCGAGTGGGACGACGACTCGGTTCCCCTTGACATTGGCACCGAGCTCACCTTCAAGGTCAAGACCAAGCTTACCTTCAAGGACAAGTCGACCTACCAGGCCGTCAAGGTCACTGGTGCTGCGTTCATCCGCAGCCAGACCAAGCAGCTCGTCCAGGTCGCCACCGTCGACTACGAGGCCCACAACTCCAAGGGTAACCCCGTTGTCGAGTACCTCAAGCGTCACGGCAAGGCCGTCGGCCTCCCCGTCCCTCTCGAGTCGGGTGGCTACTCGCTCATCACCGACCCCGCCACCGCCACCTACCGCACCCCGGCCTCGAACGAGAACTACTCCAAGATCTCGGGTGACTTCAACCCCATCCACATCAACCCGTACTTCTCGGACTTTGCCAACCTCCCTGGCACCATCACCCACGGCATGTGGTCTTCGGCCGCTACCCGCAAGTACGTCGAGTCTGTCGCTGCGGACAACCACCCCGAGCGCGTTCTCTCGTACGACGTCAACTTTGTCGGCATGGTTCTTCCTGGCGACGAGATCAACGTCAAGCTTACCCACACCGCTATGCGCGACGGTAAAAAGGTGATCAAGGTCGAGGCCTTCAACCAGGACGGCCAGAAGGTCATCGACGGTCAGACCGAGGTTCTCCAGCCCCCTACCACCTACGTCTTCACCGGACAGGGTTCGCAGGAGGTTGGAATGGGTATGGAGCTCTACAACAACTCCGAGGTCGCTCGCGCCGTCTGGGACGCTGCCGACGCGCACCTTACCTCCACCTACGGCTTCTCCATCATTGACATTGTCAAGAACAACCCCAAGGAGCTTACCATCCACTTTGGTGGTGTCAAGGGCCAGGCTATCCGCCAGCGCTACATGGAGCTCACCTACGACTCGATCGACGAGAACGGCCAGGTCAAGACCCAGCCGCTCTTCGGCGACATCGACCTCTACACCACGAGCTACACCTTCTCGCACCCCCAGGGTCTTCTGTTCGCTACCCAGTACACTCAGATCGCCCTTGTCGTTACCGAGAAGGCCGCGTTCGACGACATGAAGGCCAAGGGCCTCATCGACCAGAACGCTCCCTTCGCCGGTCACTCGCTCGGAGAGTACTCTGCTCTCGCGTCGATTGCCGACGTCCTCCCGATCTCGGCCCTGTCCGATGTCGTGTTCTTCCGTGGTATCACCATGCAGCGCGCTGTCAAACGTGACGCTGAGGGCAAGTCTCAGTACGCCATGATGGCTGTCAACCCCTCGCGTGTTGGCAAGTCGTTTTCTGAGCCGGCTCTCCGCGAGATCGTTGACCAGATCTCGAAGCAGAAGGAGGTTCTGCTCCAGATTGTCAACCTCAACGTCGCCGACCAGCAGTACGTCACTGCTGGTGAGCTCCGTGGTCTCGCCACCCTTACCAACGTCCTCAACATGCTCAAGCACCAGAAGATCGACCTCGAGAAGCTCTCCAAGACCATGTCTGTTGAGCAGCTCAAGGAGCACCTCACTGAGATCATCAACGGCTGCTGGGACATGATGGAGGAGAAGAAGAAGAAGGACGGCGGCCAGGTCAACCTGGAGCGTGGCTACGCCACCATCCCCCTCCCTGGTATCGACGTTCCCTTCCACTCGCGCTACCTCTGGCCCGGTGTCCTGTCGTTCCGCAACTACCTCATCAAGAAGATCGACCCGGAGCACCTCAACCCCGACCGTCTCGTCGACAAGTACATCCCCAACCTCATCGCCGAGCCCTTCGAGGTTACCAAGGAGTACGTCCAGAAGATCTACGACGAGACCAACTCGCCTCGCATGGAGTCCGTTCTCAAGGGCTGGGAGTCCGAGTCCTGGGCTTCGCCCCAGAACCGCCAGCGCCTTGCGTACAACATCCTGACCGAGTGTCTCGCCTACCAGTTCGCCTCGCCCGTGCGCTGGATCGAGACCCAGGACGTCCTCTTCCAGAAGGCCAAGTTTGAGCGCTTCATCGAGGTTGGCCCCGGCCCCGTCCTCTCGGGCATGGCTACCCGTACCCTCAAGGCCAAGTACGAGGCCCAGGACGGTGCTCGCTCCCTCAAGCGCGCCATCCTCTGCCACGCCAAGAACCAGAAGGAGGTCTACTACGCCTTCGAGGACGAGGCCGCCGAGGAGGCTCCCGCCGCCGGTGGCGACGAGGCCCCCAAGGAGGCCGCCCCCGCCCCCACTGCTGCGCCCGTTGCCGCCCCCGTCGCTGCCCCCGCTGCCTCGGCCGGCCCCGCCCAGCAGGTCGAGGACGCTCCCCCCAAGGCCGTCGACACTGTCCGTGTCATCGTTGCGCAGAAGCTCAAGAAGCAGGCCGGCGACATCCCGCTGTCCAAGTCGCTCAAGGAGCTTTCTGGCGGCAAGTCGACTCTGCAGAACGAGATTCTCGGCGACCTGCAGACCGAGTTCGCTTCCGCCCCGGAGAAGGGTGAGGACCTCCCTCTCGACGAGCTTGGTGCCGCTCTCTCCGTTGGCTACGGCAACCTGGGCAAGCACTCCATGGGTCTCACCAACCGTATGATTGCTTCCAAGTTCCCTGGTGGCTTCAACATCTCCGCCGCGCGCAACCACCTCAACAAGACCTGGGGTCTTGGTCCTCAGCGTGCCGACGCCGCGCTCTTCTTCGGTATCCTCTCCGAGCCGCCTAAGCGTCTCGGCTCCGAGGCCGAGGCCAAGGCGTTCCTCGACTCGATCGCCCAGTCGTACGCCTCGTACTCTGGCATCACCCTGTCGACTGGCGGCGGTGCTGCCGGTGGCGGCGGCGGTGGCGGCGGTGCCGTCATGAACAGCGAGGAGTTTGACAAGTTTGTCGCCAAGCAGGCCGAGCACGTCGAGCGCGAGATCGAGCTGCTCCACCGCTACCTCGACCGCGACGGCCGTGCCGGCGAGAAGAAGGCCGAGAACCACAAGGCCGAGGCCGAGGCGCTCCAGGCCAAGCTCGACGCCATCAAGCTCGAGCACGGCGACGCCTACATTGACGGCATTGCCCCCGTCTTCTCCCCGCTCAAGGCGCGTACCTTTGACTCGTCCTGGAACTGGGCCCGCCAGTCCTCGCTCCAGCTCTGGTACGACATCATCCACGGCCGTCTCGACCCGAGCACCATCTTCGAGTCGGAGCCGAGGTACAGGCCTACTGAGCGCTCCTAAGCGCAAGCGAGCGCAGCGAGCTTGCGGCGAGTTGCTAACAACGAGCCAGCAAGTCCCACGCACCCGTCCAGTACGAGTGCAAACATAAAAATATAGATATGACTGTGTGTGTGTGTGTGTGTGTGTCGAGGATAGATCAGTTTGAGAGGTGTTTCCGTTTTTTTCCTTTTTATCTCCTTTACTACATAGAAAAGTGTTTCGTTTAAAGCAACCAGCCAAGACAAATGGGCTCCCAACCCCCATTCCTCCACTCGCATAATGGGAGCCTCAAAAATGCATCGGGTATAAGACTATGAGTGGCTACACTGGACACTTGGACTTAGGATTGACTTAGACTTGGACTTGGACTTAGACGTGGGCCGGTGACTGACTTGAGACTGACTGTGCGCCCAGGCTGAGTGGCCAGATAGCTTAGATGGAGGAGTGGCCGTGGGAAAGCTTGAAACTAGCCAGAGCAAGCCTCCGACGCATGCTCTCTGTTCATCGACGGGATGACAGGTAAGAGACGGGCGTGCGAGAGCTCGGATCTGGGACGGGCCGCCTCCGACCTCTCTCCTCTTGAAGACATCGACGAAATGGCCCCCGGTACCCCGGTGCCGGATACTATGGGAGAACTCTGCGTCTCTCTCTGTGCGGGACTCTTTGCCGACGGCCTTCTCGCTCCTCCATCTTCTTCAGCTTTCGAGGAGACAGTAGAATTCCAGGAGAGACAAGCAAGCAGCGAGAGACAAGCGAGAGACAAGCGTGAGACACCGAGAGTGTCGAGCGCGGCCTCGGGACGGTCCGTGGTGGCCGGTCAGTCCGTATGCCGTAACAATTCTCTGGAGACCTGTGCTACACCAAGGAGACGAGGAGAATGTCGAGTACGCCTCACGCCTTGGCCCAAGAATGAACGGGAATGGCCGTCCAGGATTCAGTCTCTGGACTGGCCCTCAGGCTGTTGGCCACAGGCTGTTGGCCTCAGGCTGTTCAGAACCGGGATCGGCGGCGTGACGGGGGCCAAGACAGGAGCCAGAACTTCCTGCTTGCCTGCTGGCTTGGAAGGACAGATTAGTGTGTGTGAAGCAAATCAGTGAGCAGAGAGGATAACAGAGTACGGATAAATGCCAAGGTTGAACTTCATAGGAATTCCCACTTTTAATCTTCTTACATCGTCCGCTCTCCGCTCCCCTTCGCAGATAGAACATGCAGGTACGGTCATGGCACGAAACAAAGACCCTCCGGAGCTCCGAGGCGGCCCGTTATGCCAACACTTCCTGTTGGCACATCGGTCTCACCTCGGACCCCTCGGGCCCTCGGCTCGGAACCACTTACTGGCCCTCGCAGTGCGACTTGTACTGCGACTCGTCCATGAGCGAGAGGAACTGCGAGTTCTCGTCGGTCTGGATCTTGGCGAGCCAGCCGTCCTTCTCGGGCGACTTGTTCAGGAGCGACGGCTGGTCGCCGAGCGCCTCGTTGATCTCGACAATCTTGCCCGACAGCGGGGCGTAGATGTCCGACGCGGCCTTGACCGACTCGACGGCGCCGATGGCCTCTGGTTGTCAGCGAGCGAACAGCGAGCGGAGCGAGCTGTGAGGGAGCGCGGAATAGGTGAGGGTGGCAGCAAGAAAGGGCGGTGATGCCATTCCGAGGCTGGCCAGAGGCTGGCGCAGTCCGACAACCGCGATCCTCATATGCGTGCCGTGGGCTTGGAGCTCGATAGATCGGTGAGCCTGGACCTCCCGACACGCACAAAAGGCACCGCGACCAGGTTGATAAGCCGCTCGGACCGCCGCGTTTGTTCTGATAAGAAACTTTCGCGGCCGTCGCGTCCTGGCCTGTATCGGCGTTCGCAGCAATGCCCCTCGGCGCATCCAGAACGTTACTGGCCCACCCGAGATTTTGATCACCGAACACCTCGGTGAGGACTCGTCACCGATCTGTCGCCTACCGTCTGTCCTTCCGCTCGCGCTCAACATGCCCAAATAGCCATACAGGCTGTCTGCGCTACTACTCACCGCCAGTCTCGATCTCGGTGCCCTCAGTGGGGAGCTCGACGAAGACAACGTCGCCGAGGGCCTTCTGGGCGTAGTCGGTGATGCCGACGGTCGCGACCTTGGAGTCGGTGTCGTACGAGACCCACTCGTGGTCCTCAGTGTAGCGGACTGTATGATCCGAGCGAAGGTATCATTGCAGATAGTCGCGGCGTTTATTCCGGTGGGGGGTGCATTAGCCGCCGGTTGCGCCGGGAGTGTCGGAGAATAGCAGTGCCGACGAATCGAGCATGTCCGAAGTCGTTAGAACACCGCAAGACACAGCCGACAGCAGTGAGCCAGAAGCAGACCAAGTTGCGTAACGATTGATCCAAACGTGGAGACAGACAGACAGAAGTCAGAGTAAGAAGCAGAGCCAATGTCAGTTCCGATCCGAAGGCTGATTCAAGCGACGCACCAGAGTGGAAGCGGAGGCCGAGGGGGCGGGCGACGGGGGCCATGCGCGGGGCCATGCGGGTGGCAGCGACGGCGGGGCGGAAAGCACGGAGGGCGAGCATTGTGGTGCTGGGCGTTGAGGGAGAGAGGTGGGCGTTAGTTGTTGATGGGGGGAAAGAGAAGGAACGAGTGGAAAGTTATGGGCTCGACGGTGTACGCGCGGGGGTGGTGGGAGCTGGACTCTGTGTGGACAGCCGGCCGGTCCTGGTCCCCGGTAGTGGTCGGTTCGGTGTGTCGTTGTATCCAACACTGGGCAGCGGACCTATGACGTTTTGGAAATACGCCCGGGATCGTTGGAAAAATCGCGTCACCGTACAGTGCACTTTCCAAATGCTGTCCTAAACAGACAAATAGGAAGCCGCCGAATACGCCTTTAGTAGACGCTGATTACCGTTCACGACCCCTGCCATCTGGCTTTATCGAGGAAGTTATGCGCGACCCCATTGGACACAGATCACCCCACCACCCGACTCACTCTCCGATCTCCCACCTCCACTTTTATCGCTCTCCGAGACGCGTGGAATGTGCGCGAGATACGCATGGCATTTGATGCCGTCCTCCCAACGACGGGGTCGCCACCGACCTCCGCCTAGATCATGACGCGTTCGAGACGGCACCGAGACTCGACGCTGACGCTGATGCAGCTGTTGTTGTCTTCCTTTTGAGCTGCAACTCGGTCTTCCCTCTACTTCTCGCCACTTCCACTTAGGCAAAATGAGCGATCAGCAACAGCCTGTTGCCCCTGCCTCGCCAGCTGCGCCGGCAGCTCTCGCTCAGACGAGCTCGCCGCCAACTCAGACAGCCCAGACCGCTCAGTCAGCACCGACCCCGCAGCAGCAGGCGGGACTGAGTGACACCTCAGCCGGAACGCAAGTCTTCTCCGCGCCAACAGAGACAACAGGACCTGGTGGGTGTATCTTGCAGCTACCTGCGAGGAACGATTAGCTAACATATGTGCAGAAGCCGTGCCCGATTCCTTCTTCGAGCCGACACTGCAGGATGTGCAGGCGCACCATGCTTCGGTCGTGGCGCGCAGCAAGCGTCTAAACGAGGCTCCCCTCCTGACAGCGAAGCACCGCGATGCTGACGTTGCGGCTCGTGACGCGAAGAAGGCGGAGAAGTGGCCGAACGTGAGCTCAGATGGCTATTCTCAGCTGACAACAGACGACGATTCGCATAAAGTTCTCAGATGGAACGCAGATTCAGAGCACTTTCCCTTCGTCTTCTGCGTGAGCTCTTCCGCTCTGGAACGTAGCTGACATCAGCATTCAGCCGGTGTACGCTTTCGTGCGTGAGAGTCTCGGAGCCGACGTCAAGGAGCAGCCCTTTACGCTGTACCAGCCTCCGCGGACCATGTTCCCCGAGAAGCCCGTCCCGCAGCCGCCGCAGAAGAAGCACATCAACCCGGCGATGAAGGCGCGTGTGATTGCGCCGGCGAACTATGGCCCGCAGCGGGGGCTCAGCACGCAGGGCGGGACGGGAGGGAACGAGAGTCTGTCCCAGCTCGGGCTTGTGCCGCAGAGCGTGCTGCTCGTGAAGTGGGATGACACGGAGATGAACTGTAAGTTTGAAACGGGGTACAGCTAAATAGTTCTGCTCGCGAAGCTGACGACAATCAGCGTCCACTTACGCCGCGCCACTGAACGATGAGCTCAAGGCGAGGATGAAGCCCCTGCCCGCACCCGTGACTAAGGAGGCCGAGCCGCCCAAGGGAGATCCGATCAAGCAGATGCAGACGGGAGAGAAGAAGATGCCCAAGTGGCTGCAGAAGGGGTTGATGAAGAAGAAGACGTAAGGGTGTTTGACCGAAGCGACTTTGGCGACTGGGGCCCCTAGCCGTCTGGGCTGCAGCTTCGAATCGCTGGGTTCATGTTACAGCAGAGTGCGTGCCGTGTGCAGACAGCAGTATAGAGATGAATGTATACATAGAGAGTCTAACGGGTTTAACGATGCAGGGTATAGTAGATAACGACTCCCCTCTCCTCCTCGAGGCCCATGCCCTCGTCCTCGTGCCTCTTCCACTCTCCACAGTCATAAATGACCTCCTCCATCTTCTCCATCACGAGTCCCCTCTCCTCAGCCAACTTTCTGAAGCGATCATGCGGTCCGCGGCCCGTATGCAATCCAGCGGCGAGATGTGCGACGCCCTCCTTGGCGAGCAGGGCCAGGATCGAGTCGAGCAGGATGCCGTGCGTCTCCGTGCTCCAGAGCGTGTCGGCGAGTAACAGGGAGTAGCCCTGGGGGGAGAAGGAAAGGAGCTCGTCCGTGGGCGTGCCCCACGAGTGCCCCCTCACGATGACGGGGGAGGAGGCAGCGGCGACGTTGCGGGCAATGTTGGCGACGACAGTCTCATCGTCATAGTCCGTGCACACGACAACCTCCCCGTGCTCCCCATCATCTCCCTCCCCTCCCTGTCTGGCGACTCCGTCCGCCTTCCGCCTCAGTCCCGTGACGACAGACGGAAGCCCGGCCCCAGCCCCGAGCTCGAGTACACTACCCTCTGGTTGAATGGCACCAAGGGCGATCTTATCGGCAAGATATACGGCTGCGAGCCAGAGATGCTGGGCTTGCAGCTTGCTGAACACTGAGGCTGGCGGAGAGGCCGTCCATACGTCAACTGGTCCGAGGCCAGAGGTTGGGGGAGGCGTGTAGACGTGTGGTTTACCGCGGGAGGAGCTGAAGCCGATGGGAGGTACGTTGAAGAGCGAGGACAGGCCCGAGTCGAAGATGTCCAGGTCGTCGTCGTCTTCCTCCTGCTCAACGGCTCCGTCCCGCGGATCGGCGCCGGGGGGAGGGGTGGTAGAGGTGAAAGGCATCGAATGTCCGGCGGAGGTGGAGGCTGAGGCTGCAGAGGAGGCCGCGAGTGGAGGCCGCTCGGCCTGCTCCGTCATTGCAGAAGGTTGGGAGTAATCGGTCTCCTTGCCCGAAAATGTCTTGGCGTGAGCCCGCTGGCGATGACTCGATGCGGTATCCTCGTTTTTGGTGGTGCGGGGTACCATTATACTCCAAGGTCGATTCCCAGGCAATTCGAAGTGGTGATGTAAATGTAGTGGGTGATAGCGACCTGCTGGCCTTGCACCAAGTGCAGCAGCGCTCAGTCCTCAGAACGCGCGTGCAGGTGGGAGATCTCGGAGCCAGAAATTTCAATGATATCCACGTGCCAGTCTGGCCCACTAGCGCGAAATGACGCAACCCGCCCAACTTGGCCCTTAGCTTCACCACGGTAACGGTAAGCTACTGAGCGGAGGGACGAGGAACGAGGAACGGGGTCATGTGCTGCTTGATGCTCATGTATGACGACGAGACTCTGGAACGTGCCTCCTCCTCTCTTACATGAGCATGCTACAGTGATGGGAAACTAGCGGCGGCGGGGACGATGCCGGTGCTAGCGGAGATGACGAAGAGAGAGGAAGCGCGATTGGCCGAGTCACGCCGAGCAACTCAAGGGACTAGAAGACTCGGCCCGATCAGCAGTCGCCGCATTGTCGGCTGTGGACTGGGTTTGGCGTGTGTTAGCGCCCATTCCTGTGGTCGTAACGACCTAACCCAGGAGCATACAACGTGCTCGCACGCACAACGCCGAGGTGATGCATAAGACATACGTTGTAATATGACGTTCAGGCTGCGTCGCCTGCTCGACCGCGAGTTGGAGCAACTATTGTGCTGGTACCTAGCTTGTGCGCCTGAAGCTCCGACCCCAGTAGACGGTATTGACTGCACGGGGTGAGCGACAGTCGACGGCCGACGGACAAGCGAGGGAGCGAAGTAGTGGGCCCACAAATTCCAAGCCCTTACCCAGCCCAAGACTGTACGAGGCGTAACAAGCCCTCCAAGCCCTCCAAGCCGCCCAAGCCGTGCCCGCCGTGCCGCTGCAGCCATCCGCCGCTTCAGGTTCATGTCCTTCAAAAAGTCAGCAGACGCTCCCCTCCCCGCACTCAGGTTAGCGAGGACAGCCTGCGGATCCACGGGCGATATCTCGAAACTCTAAATTGTCTTCTCGTCCTTGGAGACTAATTCATCCCCACTCGGATCGAAGCGCTACCTGAGCCCAGGTCCTAAACCCAGGTCCAGCGATCCCCGCCGCCCACCCTGAGGACACCCAGTGACGGCACTGGCCTCAGCAAGCAGCATTCGTGCATTCATCAGCCGGCTGCAAGCGCATGAGCGCACGAAAGTCTCCACAAGCCGCAAGTGATCGCTTAATATCTCCCTGCGCCCGTCCGTCGGATGGGCCCCGTACCCCCCGAACCCCCGGTCCCATCGCCGTGCGAGTATTGTTCATTCAACATCTCCACGAGCATAGGAACAGCGAGCACCACAATACCGCCGTCGACGTCGCTCACCCATCTACGAGAGTGAGGTCGGCATGCTGCTCGCGCCGACTCTTGCGGCGCTCCTCGCCCTCGCCGGCGCAGAGGCGGCCCCTACGTCATCGCAACCGCCGACACCATACACCGACTCTCCAAGCACGACCACCTCGCCGCTCCCAGTCACAACGGGGAGCACGATTGCGCTCGCCTCCCGACCACGACATAGGGACGATAGCTGGAACCCCGATCTGAGGCTGCTGAAATCCCACCTGGCCACAAGAAGCAAGTACGCCGGCCTGCTCGACGAAAGCGGGCGACAACAATTACGAAGAGACTGGGCACAATACGACGACCGGCGACGACAGGAGCTGCAGCGGAGAGAGCTGTGGGAGTGGAACGAGAGGAGAAGGCGGAGACGACGGAACAACGACGAGAAGGAGGCAGAGGTCGGGAACTCGGCCCCGGCGGAAGGATATCCCACTGTGTGAGTACGGCGGCGACGGGGAGCGAGCTGGGACTCGGGCTGGGGGTGCTGCAAGCAAGTGCGGCCCGGTTGCGGTCGGCATGGACGTTGGTTGCGACGAGCTACGCATGCTATGGCGAGCTACGTACCGCGGTGACCGGGGTACCGGGGGCCGGATTGTCGGTGCCATCGGCAGCGACCGCAGCACCGTGCGCAGCAAGCGCCTCACACAGGATCCGCAGGATTAGCGGCCCACATGTCCTTTCGGGGTCTGTGGAAGGGGGGCGGTCACCGCCCTTCTACCAGTGTAACCTGTGTGGCTTGGAATGCGCCCCACGCTCGCTTCCATTGCACTCCAATCAAAGGCAGTCACGCTGCACCCCTGCATCCTTCTGCATCAGACTTTGCTAACAGACAGCCTCGCCAACTGGAAAGCGGACCGGATCTACTCCCTCCCCGTCCTGATCGGGACGCCGGCACAGCAATTCGCCGTCACTATCGACACTGGGTCGGCGGCTCTATGGGTATACGGGAGTGCGTGCAACAGCTCCCTCTGCGCCGAGGCTGGCGGGTATGACGCCGCGCTATCGAGCTCGGCGGGACAGCCTGAGGGCGACATGGAGATCAAGTACGGCCAGGGCTCAACGCTGGGCCACTGGATCACCGACACGGTCAGTCTAGGCGGGTGGGCGATAACGGGGTTCGAGTTCGGCTTCGCGCACGCCGTGCACGACCAGCCGTGGGACGGCACCGACACGTCTGGGATCCTCGGCCTGAGTTGGGGGATGAAGGGGTGGGCGGCGCCGTTCTGGCAAACCCTGGCCGTGCAGGGCGCATTCGCCGATCCGCGGTTCGGACTCTACCTCGCGCGCGAAAGAGATACTAGGGAAAGCTCTATCGACGGACATCCCTCCCATGAGGAGGTCGGGGGGAGTTTGACCCTGGGCGGCGTCGACGGCCAGGTCATCGATGGCGACATCACGTACCTCGACGTGAAACAGACGCACGACGCGATCACCTTCTGGCGCATCGCGTGCGACGGGTACAGCATCAACGGCCACTCCGAGCCTGCCCCGGTCGACGCAATCATCGACAGCGGGACGAGCTTCATCTATCTCCCGGCCGAGGACCATAAGCGCTTCTGGTCGCTTGTGCCGGGCTCCCAATCCATGCCTTTGGACGAGTACGGCGCCAACTGGGCGCGCTACTTTGCGTTTCCCTGTCAGAACGCGAGCGTGATCCAGTCCTTGGAGCTCGCATTCAAGTTCGCAGGAAAGGAGTGGAAAATCCAGCCCACCGACCTCATCTACCAGCCGATTCAGCAGGGCAGTCTGGACGGATTCTGCATCGGCGCCGTGCTTGATGGAACGGGCATCGTGGACAATTTCGACGGCGCATGGCTCGTCGGAGACGCGTTCCTCAAGAACGTCTACAGCGTGTATACATACGACCCGCCCCGCGTCGGATTCGCCAAGATCAAGTCGGACTTTGATCTCAGGATCGAGGGCATGGACTGGGTCGACCGTACGCCTGGACACAACAAGACGCTGTCCCCGCCGCCGGTGGGCATCAACCAACAAACGCCCACCAGTGTCATCACCGTGCCCGCCGCCAGGACTGATGGACCTGCTAAGAACAGGATTTTCAATGGCGCAGAGAAGGGAAGAGGAGGAGGAGGAGCGAGCGCGTGGCTCGCTGGAACAATTGCTTTTATAATCTCGGCTATCGTATAACCTCCCTCAATCTTGTCCACGACCATCTCACACGGAATCACCTATCAATCTTGTCACTATATCATTCAGTTGTAGCAGTATCCATTCAGCACAGTTTTATGTCATTCCTTGCATTCTCGCCGCCGTATGTCTTGCAGAGCGGACGAAGCTCCCACATTCCCACATCCTCACCTCCCCACCGATCACTGCGGGGCTCGCCCACTCGGCTCCGAACCTCCACTATCAGTTGCAGACCGGAGCTGGACTGAGACTCGAGCGCATATCATTGCAGTTTCGTGAGGTAACATTTGATTCTACAGTTCACTTTCTAAGTGTTCTACTTGGCTTGCAACGCTTGCCGCTTAGGCAATCACGATCTCCCACTCATCGACAATCTTGACCGGCGGGTTCTTGATCGTGATAGTGCCAGCCTTGCCGCCCTGGGGCTTCTCGTACGCGAACTGGACCTCCTCGCCCGCGATCTTGACAGACTTGGGCGCCTTCTTGGCTCCGAGAATGATCACGCGCTCGACGCCGACATGGGCAATCTTCTTGGCCCACGCATTGTCCTTCCTCCACTCGCCCTTGTGGCGCGAGGAGAGAACGCCCTTCTCGTAGGTGTACTGAGCGTGGACGATTTCACCCTCCTGCCACGCGAAGGTCTCGCCGTCGTCGCTGTACAGCTCGCCCTTGGCCGTGCCGTCACGCCCGATAGCGACCGTCAGCGTGTACGGGTCCTGCCACATGAGGGGAGAGGAGCGGCGCACACGCTCGCGAGTGGGGAAGATGTGCCCTCCCTGGATGAGGAGGGGGAAGCGGTCGATCGGCGTGGCGATCGTGACGTTGCGCGGCTTGCTCGAGGCAGGGTAAACAGTGTGCGTGAAGTAGTCGTAGTACGGCTCGTTGTCGGCGAGGTACACGCTCGTCTCCGTCGCGCCCTCCGTGACGACGGGTTTGAAGAGCAGACCACTCTGGCCGACATAGTACTGGTCGTCGATCGCGAAGCCCTTGGTATCGGTCGGGTGGTAAGCGTACTGCGGCCAGATGACGGGGTGGCCCTTGGTCGCCGCGTCGTGGAAGGCGTTGTACCACAGAGGCAGCATCTGATACCGCAGCCTGAGGACGTCGCGGAGCTGCGACTTGACAGGCTCCGGGAACAGGTACGGCTCGCGGCGCTTCGTGTCAATGTGGGCGTGCGCGCGGAAGAAGGGCATGAACGCGCCCGCCTGGTACCAGCGCGTCAGGATCTCGGTAGACGGGTTGCCGAAGAAGCCGCCGACGTCGGAGCCCACGAACGAGATGCCCGCGACTGAGTTGGAGAGGAAGACGGCCGCCTCGCCGGCGAGGTGCGCCCACGTGCCGAGGTTGTCGCCGATCCAGACCGCACCGTAGCGCTGCGAGCCCGCGAAGAAGGAGCGAGACAGCACGAAAGGACGCTTGGGCGTCGACTCGCGCACAGTGATGGCCGCCTGGGTCTGGTTGTGGAACATCATGCCGTTCAGGTTGTGCAGGTCACGGTGCTCCCAGCCGCCGACGTGGCGGTTGTCCTTGGGCATGGTGATCTCGGGGCCGTCAAAGACGGACGGCTCGTTCATGTCGTTCCAGATGTAGAGAGCGGGTGTCGAGTCGGTCCAGACAGGGAAGGAGAACATGCGCGTCCACCACTCCCAGCTCTTGGGGTTGAAGAAGTCGACCCAGACACTGGAGCCGGGCCAGCACCAGCCGTCAAAGTTCTCACCATCCGCGCGCTTGATCAGGACGTCGAGTCCCTTGGCGTCAGAGTAGATACGGAACGAGTCTTCCCGCTTGATGTGCGGGTCCACGATCGCGACCATCTTGCGGCCCTTGGATGCCACGTCGTCGAGCATCTTGGGCGGGTCGGGGAACGAAGCCTTGTTCCAGTCAAAGTAGCGGTGGTGGGGCGCGTACTCGATGTCCAGCCAGGTAACGTCCAGAGGCATGTCAGCCTTGTCGAACTCGTCCTGGACCTCGATCACCTCGTCCTGAGTATTGTAGTTCCAGCGGCACTGGTGGTACGCCGTCGCCCAGTGGGGAGGCAGAGCCGCGGGGCCGGTGAGGGAGGCGTACTGCTCGAACAGGTCGACGGGACGGGGACCAGGCAGAATCAGGAAGTCAACGATACCACTCTCAGACACCCAGTGAGTGCGCACGCCGTCCTTGTCGTGCGCAACGTCGACCCAGGTTTCGGACGCGACGAGGTTAAGAACACCGACAGTCGAGTGCTTGCTGTGCGCGTGGATCAGGGGCACGGCGCCGTAAAGCGCCATGGGCGAATCGGCCTCGTACTCGAAGATGTCGACGTTCCAAAGACGATAAGGCTCCTTGTAGTACGAGTCCTCGCCGACGGTGGAAGGCAGCGAGAGCGGCGATGCGTGCTCCGGCAGGCCGAAGACGTGCTCGACGCCGGGGAAGGTGAAGTCGACCGAGAGGCCCTCAGGACCTGGCTGTCAGCTATCACAACCAAACCTGTAGCTCACCCTTGGGCTTCGAGTCGGTCCACTTGCGCCAGGTCTCCTTGAACATGTCCTTGTCGTCGGTCTCGAACCAGGAGCGGTCGATCTCGTCTCCATTTTGGAAGACGACCTGCTCCTCGCCCTCCTCCACCTTGACATCCTCACCACCCTCGGCAGGCTTCTCCACCTGCTTGCGGTAGTGCTCGACGTGGAAGAGGGAGCGCTCGTTGAAGACGACCTGGGGCTTGCCGTTGCGCTTCATCGTGATCTGCAGGGGCTTGTGGACAATGTCAAGCTCGAGCTCCTTGTCCTTGCCGTACTTGATCGTGGTAATGTCGGCCTCGTTCTTGACGTCGGCGCCGTCCTTGGCGATGCGGGGCTCTCCCTGGAACACCCACTTGGCCGTCTCATTGTACCGCTGCAGGCCGGAGGGCGAGTTGACCTCGTCCGCACGCACACGGACGATGCCCTCCTCGAGGAGGTCAACACGCATCTCAAAATTCACATCGGGGTACAGCGCCGAGTGCAGCGGAAAGGTCCATGAGTACCCGTCGGTGTCGGGGGTACGCTTCGGGTCGGAGACGGAGTAGGGCGAGGTAAAGTCGGGCTTGGCGGCCTGCTTGTCGGCGATGGCGCGGAGACGGCGGCAGAACGAAGTCTGGTGGCACTCCTTGAAGTCCTCGCGCTTGACGGCGTGGACCGTCAGCGCGCAGAAAAAAGCGAGAAACGTCGCGAGCAGCAACCGCATGGTGGAGTAGCTACTGCCTGCTGAGTCTTTTGCGAGAAGTCTGCAAGTTCAAGAAGATCGCCACGCTTCTCCGTGACGTGTGGGCTTGGAGGTGACTCAGGGCAGCACGCGGCAAGGCACGGCAACGGTGACCTGCTACGGTGAGGAGCGCGGAAGCAAATCGGGCCGGCTACGAGTGGAGATCGGAGGGTCACCGATAGAAGTGACGATGACGCAGCGAGACAAGCTCTGGCCGCAACTGATAACAATCCTTGGTTCCCGTCACTCGTCACTGCATTGTCCACCAGTTGTCGCCACCATGTCTGGCCCTTTAGACGACATCACCATTCCGACAAACCCGCCGCCAGAGCTCAAGTCTCGATGCGCTGACTTTCTGAAACGAGCGGCGGAAACTCGCAAGGCGGAGCCTGTCATCTCATATTGGTGTGAGTACGGCGGCACGGCGGATGGTGCAGTGGCACCGATCGGTCCACATAGACGGCAGCGTTTGAATGCTGGACGACACACATTCTGCAGCTCTGCTGAACCTGTGCTCATAGCTAACCTCAGGCACCCTCGCTGCCGCTGAGTCCGCGCTCGAGCTGAAGGACCGGTCGAGCGAGGGCACAAAGTTCCTTCTCTCGTTGATGGACACGCTGGAGGCGGTGAGTTTTGATGTGGCGCAGCGGCACTGCAGTCACGCACTCCACTCCGTTGTCTGTGGCGCACAGTCGCGCTGTGTGTAGAGCCTTCGTTGCAGCTTTCTTGATTCAGTCATAGCTAACCGCAGATGAAAGCAGCTCTTGCCGACAACGAGGCCGTTACGAGCGCGGCTGCGGGCGCAGCGTATGTCGAGAACTTTGCCCTGCGCGTGTTCATGAACGCGGACAATATGGACCGAGCGGGGAAGTGGGACAAGTGAGTGTCTTGACACCGAGCGTAGCGAGGGGCGACGATGTAGAGGTAGAGGTCGCCCCGCTTATCTCTCTATACGCCGGCACACTCAGGTCGCTTTGTTAGCTTGGACACTGTTGAGCCTACGAGCTGACGCCAGATCGGTGATCCGCGCATTCCTCGCCGCGAGCCACTTCTTCGGCGTGCTCAAGAGCTGTAACGGTGGAGTCCTGCTGGAGGAGGTGAGCTGAAATCGCGGTCTCGCAAACTAACGCCAGATCGAGGAGAAGCAACAGTACGCGCGATGGAAGGCTGCGGACCTGGCGAAGGCGCTGCGAGAGGGCAGGGAGCCAGTGCATGGACCTCGTGAGTACCACTTTCGCGGGGCGAGGGCGTCTCGCTCTGCCGTTGTGGAGCGATGGGCGGATCGTCGAAGTGCGACACGACAATCGGCGGCAGAATCGCGAGCTGTGATCGGCGAGAACTAGCTGACAACAGCTGTTCCCGAGGAACCCCTCGTCGACCCCGACCTCCCCTCCGCGCCCATCGATGCGGCAGACGCAGCGGCTCTGGGTCTCCCCTCGGTGCCCTCCGAAGGCTCGCCGGGCCGGCGCGCCAATGCGCCGCCTTCAGTCGAAATCCCCCAGGACACTAGCGACACCGGCAACTGGTCCACGGTAGCGACACCAGGCGTCGACGGCCCGGAGTCCAGCCTCCCCTCGATCCCCTCGCATTCGCCCTCAGGTTCGCTCTCAACACCCGTTGTCTCGCCCCCCGTTCCACCAAAGGACCTCCCATCCCCTCCCTCCATGAACACGCGCAAGGCCTCAGCGGGCAGTACGGGCAGCACGGGCAGTGGGGATGCCGGAACGCCGAAGCCAAGCAGCCCAAGGACAAGCAGTCCGAAGACGAGTCCGAAGAAGGACGCGAAGCCGCGCAGCAGCTCCATGTCGCGATCGCAATCTGGTGGTTCTGAGAGGGAAAAGAAGAATGTCCGCTTCATGGGACCTGACGGCGCGCCGCTGTCCCCCGGCGGGGAGATGGACGGGGACGAGAAGAGGTTTGACGAGCCGTCCGCCCCGCCGCCGAGCGAGGTTGGTGCCGCGCCGGCCGCGACGGCGCCGCCACAGTCGCCCCCGACGCCGACATCGGCGCGGTCGCCCGTCAGGTCTCCGGCTAAGTCGCCTGTGAGCTCGCCACAGGCCCCCCCGCCCGCCATACCCGGTGCCCTGGCGTCAATGCCGCCGCCCTTCAACGGCATGCCCGCCCCCTCGTCTCTCCCGGGCATCGGCGCTGCGCCAAGCCTGGCTGCGGCCGGCGCGCTGGGCGGAACGGGCGTGCTGGGCGGCAGCTACACGCCTCCCCCGACGCACCCTGCCCCTTCCACACATACTCACGCCCCCGCTCCTGCGCCTCCAGCTCCTTCTGCTCCTACTGCTCCTGCTCCCATTTCAGCTCCCATTTTAGCTCCAGCCCCAGTGCAGGCGTACTCGACAGGTCCCCCGCGCAAGTTGAACAGGAAAGAGACGGAGCAGGTACAGAAACATGCGCGCTGGGCCATCTCCGCGCTCGAGTTTGACGATCCCGAGACGGCCAAGAAGGAGCTGATCAAGGCGCTTGAGATGCTCGGATAGCCGCCCGGCGCCGAGCGCCGCGAGGCGCGTACGTGAGGGGAGTGCAAGTCGCGAGGCGCGTAAGGAGTGAGGAGTTAGTTGGTGTAGACTATTATGCATGTCACGATATATTCTAGGGTTACAATGGACTCTACCGCTCGTGTTACACTGAGACCTGCTTCTCGCTCTTCGCCTCCGCCTCCTTCTCCTTATCCCCCGAGCTCTCTGTCCGCGTCGGGTCCTGCGCCTCCATGGCCTTCTGATATGCTGCCTTACAGCTCGCCTTCAAGTGGCTCGACTTGAAGCCCTTGTTCCGGCTCCTCTCCTTGCCCGCGAGGTACATCTTGTCGATCTCGTCATCTTGCCCCAGAGCTTCGATGCGCTCGGGATGCATCCATCCCCAGGACCCTTGTTTGTCGTGGAACCGGACCAGCCACGCACGGCCCGATTTGGTCTCTTCGGCTTCTAAGGCCAACACGGAGGGGGGAACGATGGAGGGGTCGGCGCGGGGGTCGATCACGACACCGGGGAAGTAGGGGTAGGATGTCACTTTGGCCCAGACTGATGTCAGCTTCTCTTAGACCACATCAAAGCATGGGGTCGAACGTAAAGTACACTTACCCTGTGTACCCGGTGGATACGGGTCGGAACCGTCTGCAGGCAAAGCAGGCTTCGGTGCCACGAGACTCTTCCTCCGGTCCTTAGCCGGGGTGGACTCTGCCGTACTCCCTTCTTGCCCCGCGGGCGTCTTGGGCGTGATCGGGTCGTTCTTAGTGTCCCCGTCGGCGTCGGCGTCGACGTCCATCGACTCATCCTTTGTCGCCTTCTCCGGGACAGGCGTGGCATCCTTCTCAGGCTTGGACTTCGAGGGCTGCTCGACAGCCGTCTTGTCGGACGCAGCGTCGTCCGCTTCGCCATCGGCATCAGCAGGAGGCGGGGATAAGCTCGATCTGGGGAAGTAGGGCGTGACGGCGGAATCGGGGACGGGCGTGAGCTCCTCGTCCTCGCCCTCGGCGTCCACGTCCTCTTCCTCAGCCTTCTCCTCCTCCTTCTCAGGCGCAGGTTCTGCACCCTTGCGCTTCTTAGACGCAGGTGCATCGTTGGGTGTACTCGTGCGCTGGCGTTTATTCCTCTCGCTGGCGCCAGAGACACTCGATGCAGCACGGGAGGTGGACCTCTTTGGTGGCGGCGGGACCGTGACTGGGGCCGGCCGGCGGCGCTTTGAACCCTCGGGTAAGATCCAGCCGACGTTGAAGCGCTCGTACTCGTCCTTTGAGTCTAAGCTCTCTGCAATCAGATCCAGATTCTTCTCGGCCTGACGCCTCTCCCGCTCCGACATGGCCGGTACTGAGGTGACGCCTACGACACCGGGCTGTGATCGGCGAGACGTCTCGGACGTCTCTTCTGAGGCTTTGCGTCGTCCCGTTGTAGGTGGCGGAGACTCGGGAATTGTCGCAGCGGCGGCGGCACGGGACACTCGAGTAGAGCCACCGCCCATACTCAGTCGTTCCTTGTATCTCTCCTCGGCCTGCTCGAACTTTTTGTTGCGCTCGGCGGCAGACATTGTCTTCCGCTTCTTGGGAGAAGGGGGCGGAGGCGGCTCCTTCTCGACCTCGAAAGCGAAGATCGAGCGCAGCATGTCGCGCCCCTCCTCTCGGCCTGTCTCGGAGAGATCGGGGGCGAGCATGGTCTGCAGCCGTGCGAGCGACGTCTCGAGGTCGCCCACCTCCTCCGGCGTTGGTCCCCATTCACCCTCCTCAGGCGCTGGCGGCATGAGCTGCCCCGCGGCGGGGATGGAGTTCAGCGCGTCAAGGAGCGGCGCCGCGTTCTTCTTGATTCGCGAGGCCGTACGGTGGAACGACGTCTCGGACTTGTTGTACTGCATCGCATTGTCGAGCACGAGGTAGATGTCTCGCTGAGAGTTAGCTCCCCATGCTGCGACCCTGACTCACCTTGAAATCCGCCACGTTCAAATACTTGACGCTCTTGAGCTTTGCATCAATTTGCGTCCAGCTCATCGGCTCCTTGATCACGTCGTAGTAATCTGGCGCCTCCTCCAGCGTCACGGGTTGGAGGAAGAACTCGCCACGGTCCATTCTGTTGGTCAGCTCTGAGTCCGGGACAACAAGCTTACGCGACAATCTGGTCAAACGTGCTCCGCAGCGTCTCGTAGTGCGGGAAAATAAACGAGTCGACAACCTCTTTGATGACCTGCGCTTGGCGGAGTTTCTCCTTCTCGCGCTTGCGCACAAGCTCGGCCAGCATGCGCACCTTCTCGAGGTCGTTGCGAAGCATGCCGAGGAACTCGAGATTCTTCGCTTTCTCCGCGTCCGTCTGCTCCTTGCTCTCTGTCGTCGCCGTCCATGGCTCGAGGTGTAGGCGCTTCAGCAACGGTGCACCGCGGCGCGCCTCCCGCTTCAGGCTCCAGTATCTGCACAACCGCTCCACGAACGGTTGCTTCTTACGAATCGAAATCTTGCCTATATAGTCGAGCAGCTTGTTCACGATCATGCGCGGCACGATTGGTGGACCGGGGCGATAGGATTTAGCGTGCGCTCGCGCAGACTTGGTAGTCACTTTGCGCTTCTTGTCTGCGACGACCACCGCCTGTTCCTCCTCCTCCTTGCGGTGTTTCGGTGGCCGACCGCGCGGCCTCTTAGGCTGGCCACCGCTCGTGTTCCGGATCGAGTTCTTACGCGGCCGGCCCCGTTTCCGCGGTGGAGGCGTTACAACTTCCTCCTCTTCTTCCTCGTCCTCGAACACGTCAGACTCGGAGGTCTCGTGATACGACTCATCCTCGTCGTCATCGCCGTTTTCAATCGTACGAATGTCCCGCCAGTCAGCCTGATGTCAGCTAATCTTCGCCGAATGGCTAGCTTACCGGAAGGTGCTTCTCGCAATACGCCTTGAGCTGCCCGTCGGCACCCATGAGCTTCATGCTCATTAACAGCCCCGCTTGCCGCGCACAAGTGACGTGAAAGGCAGTGAAGCAGCTCTTGTTCTCGCACTGGATGCACGCGCCGACTCGCTCCTTACACAGCGAACAGTGGAGCTTCCACCTGCTCTTCGGGACCATGTCGACGCCCTCGACGGGCTCCATGTAGATCGCATTCCCGACACCGAGTTCTGGAATCCAGATAGCGCACAGGAGATGTGCCCAGTGACCCGTTGTCGTCTGCTTGAATGCGCCGCCCTCGTTCGGACAGAATAAACATGAGACGGGGTTCTCGGGAGAGACGGTGCACTTTCGGCACAGCCACTGGCCCTCGGGGATGTACGGCACACCGTAGCAGTCCTGGTGCACTGCCAGGTTGCAGCCGTCGCAGAAGACAATCGCGTTCGAGTTCTCGCCTTCCCCGTCGTCGCAAATCGCGCATTTCGAGTCGCCGTCCGGCATATTCGTCTCGGGCTGGGGTATCCGTTTGATCTGACGTCAGCTATCCTCCCATTCCCGCGAGCTTACCAGTGTGAACCACTCCTTCTCGAGCTTGTCCATGATAATCTCAAAGACCTCATACGACACGGGTCCGGACTGGTCCTTCTTCCTCTCGGCGTTGACCGTGTCGAGCCACTCCTGATCCTGCTCGTCCATGTCGTACTCGACCTGGGCGGCGAGCTCAGACTCTATCGGCTCGATGTATCGGATGTAGTGCTCTGGTCGCTCAAAGTCGGAGAAGTCGTTGTAGCCGTACGACCGCGCCTGCTCCGAGTGCACGCCGGCCGGCGCGAGGAGAGACTTGTCATCTGTGATCACGCGGAAGGAGACGGTCGGGATCTCGTACGTCTTCTCCCCGCTTGCGGAGGACATGGTGGACATGCTGGCCTGAAGCTAGCTTGCACGCGACGGAGACGTCGCGCGCTGTCTAGTGTGAGGGGGTTGTGTCGGACCTCGAGGCGGATGACGAAATGGCGAGGAAGGCGGCGGACATGAGCCGCGACGCTCGTCAACAACATTCGATGTGATCGAGGCCCCGCGCCGCGGTATGAGAGACTGTGCGGAAGCAGAGCCACGCAAACTTTGCATGGCTCTCACATGGCACCCTCATAGGAGCCCGCCGTCATGCTGAAACAGGAAAGAAGCGCAGGTGGGATGTGCCCTGAGGATCAAGTGGGGGAGGGGGATATGACAGGGGTCAACACGTGCTTATCTAAGGTGTGTTGTCCCTGCCCGCCCTTCTTCTACCCGGTGAGCCGCCGCCTCGGGTGCGTCACAGTGCGCACTCAAAGGACCATGCGTTCCACTCGCTGCGAGGAAGACCGAGCGCCCCCGTTGGGAATGCGGGAATGTGTTGTAACTGCCTACACATCCCGGGCAAGTTGCCCGCGAGGGTTTGAATCAGCGACCTTATCTTGTCTGCGGCAGAACAGGGAAACTCCATGTCAGGCTGTGCTTTCGTGCGCTAGGTTGATGGAGCGAGCACCCATGATCGCCCTGGTATGGGAGCGCACGTCAGCCTCTCCCTGTGAGTCCGGACTCTTCCATCGCCATCTGCCTCCTCGAGTCGATCCAGACGAAGCAACGTACGGCGGCAAGCGTAGCTGTACTGTCCATGGTTCAGATCCGCGCTGGATCCTGGCTGGATCCGGGATCCAAGCACGTGACTCTCACCCAAATTTGATTCCGCGACGCGCTACAGCTCCTGTACCGTCGTAAACATCGTACGAGACCTGCTGTAGGGTAACTGTATGCACCCTTGGGCTCTCCTGCGCCGCCCCCCTGAGGCGTCGAGTTCACCACCGTGTCCTGTATCAAGATAGGTGCGGAGACGGGACCTAATTGGGGGGCGGAGGCATTGTGGCGTTCTAGGCGCGACGCGAGCGCCATTGTCCCTACTTAACCTATCTCTGCAATGTTCTTCTTCCCCAACGTACGCGTCTCCACACGTATACTCCCTGCAATCTCTGCTCAACCCTAAGCATCCCTAAGCTCTCCATCCCTCCGGCCAACAGCATCATCGACATGTCCTTCGGCATCAACAGGAAGCGCGTCTGCCACCAGGTCCAACCTGAGGCCGCAGAGCTGCAGCGCCAGCTCGGGGCTACCATCGTCTCCAAGGAAATGGAACACGCTGTTCACGGCATGGCCGATGTTGCAGTGGCGACGCGCCCCATCAACACGGCTCGCAACTACCGGTCCAAGCAGCAGCAGTTCTCGGACTGGTGCGTAGAAAAGAACTTCGAAACAGGGTAAGTCACCAGGTGTGCAGTGTCGCGACTGCAGCCTCTCCTCATCTCCATATGTATATATATATGTAGGAGTATTGAGCCTGTCGGAAACCAGCGGAATCCAGCGGAATCCGCTAGGTTCCGCAAACATGAAGTGGAGAGAGAGAGAGAGAGAGAGAGAGAGAGAGAGAGAGAGAGAGAGAGAGAGGCTGATCATTCCGCACAGTGACATTGTCGATGCCAACAAGTTGGCCTTCTTCGTGTACGACTACGTCTTAACTCGTGGTGCCCTCAACGCCCCTCTGCCCGAGCCGCAGCCCAAGCCCAAGATTACAAAAGGGCAGAAGGGCCAGAGGGGCCGCAAGCGCAAGGCCGAGGCCGAAGCGGAAGAGTTCAACGAGAAGGAAGTGTGAGTTACAGCTCCGTAAC